TGGCAGAGTTTTACGATCTGGCACAGCTGAGCTTACTGCAGTGGTTTTTGAATCCTTCCTGCTGATGATGAGAGTGAACTCAGCTGTGGAGTTCCTCCAGCACACCTGTTCACATCCTGCAACAGAAAGGGAGGGGGAGGGAAGGCCAGCCTCTCAGGGAGGGGCTGAAGTGGCCAGAGGTGCTGGAAGGGCTGTGACAGTGGGTCTGAGTAAGATGGTTAAGGTTAGGGTTAAGGTGGTCTGAGTAAGATGGTTAAGGTTAGGGTTAAGGTGGGTCTGAGTAAGATGGTTAAGGTTAGGGTTAAGGTGGTCTGAGTAAGATGGTTAAGGTTAGGGTTAAGGTGGTCTGAGTAAGATGGTTAAGGTTAGGGTTAAGGCTGGGTTGGGGTTATGTTATGGGAATAGCTGGTTAAATTTAGGCATTAATAGGTAATTTGTAATATTTACTTCCGCTTCCGTCCCGATTCCGTATATGATCTAGTGCTGACCCTCAGCTCAGAGCTGCTTTTATAGCAGGTGACAGCAATTAGACCACACCCACTGCAGCTCAAAATACAAAAAAAAATACAGCAATAATTAACGCAGTGAATATATCCTCTACAAAATTACAAAAATATATCTCTTTATTAATTTAGCAGTGATTTATTATTTCTACCCCATTACTCAAGTCGAAAAATAAGACCCAGGACACCCCTCCTCTCTGCAGAGTGGATGCACCCGGAACCCTCTTTAGGTGCTAGACAAACAGGAAAACAAAAAGGTGAGTAATTACATGTTGCACGTTTACAAATTTAAAACCCAATCTTTAATAAACTTTATTTAAAACAATTTAGTGTCTCATTTCCCGCACCTGTGCACACCCAGTAATGGACTCTGCTACATTACAGTATCCCTATAAATATTTTAACTTCGAGGTCTTGTGTGCATCCCCAGTTTATCCTGCTGTGTGAATCAGGGCGCACATGCACAAGTGTTTTTAATTGAGAAGCAAGTATAGTCTTAGACATGGAAGATTTCTTTAACTGTAATGGTGTGTGAAATAGACCTAAGGAAGTTATTTCTAGTTAAGCCATTGAGTATTAAATTCTGGAAATAGTAACATATTCCATCTTTTATCAGACTTTGATTTAGTGTTAAATGCGATTAACAGCGACTAACTCCACACCAAAATATTTGAGTGAGTCAGCCTCCCATTTCGATCAATAACCATCTTTAATTCTTTGATGGTGGTCATAATAAGGATTTGAGATATGTTTACATTATTTTTTTATTCTGATAATGTCATGTTCGTCATTATTGGTAAGATCTGTGTTGCTGTGTGATATATCCCTACAACCTTGACTTTGTCTTAACTTAAAATGTACAGTACAACTTTTACTGTGAACCCTGTTATATCTGTATTACTGTAAACATTATTATCTGAAGAACTGAACTGAACATATTGTTTTACCCACATTTTTACTGCACTATCTATATCGTGGACATGCATCATTTGTATCTCAAGTGCTGACATCTTCTGTTCTTTTGCTTATTGCTACAAATCATATCAAACTGTAAAAAAGAAAAAGTTAGTTCAACTCAAAATTTCAAAGCAACCAGCTGCGAAGGATTTTTGAGTTGAAGGCATTAACTTATTTCTTCAAGTTTTGAAGAACTACACTTATTAAGTTGTGTCAGCTAAGTCTTTAAAGTTCAGATTACTGTCCCCTACAATAACTTACTATTTTGAGTTTAAATTAGCCCCCACATTAAACCATCATGATGTCTATTTATATAGCACATTTTACAGACCAAGATCACTTGGGCAGGGGAAACCCGAGCACCCGGAGGAACCCTATGCAGACACAGAGAACGTGCAAATTCCACTCAGAAAGGCCCTGTTCCGATTGGGATTCAAACCCAGGACCTTCGTGTCAAGAAGCGAGAGAGCTATCCACTCAGCTACTGTACCGCACACACATGGTGAACCCGATCAGTGGGGAAAACTAATGTGTTTAAGACTGACCCAGAGAATATACAGGGCTACTTTGGCTTGGCCCTGTCGATTACGGTTGGTAAAAATAAATACAATGATTTTTTTGGTCAAATTAGTTTATTCAAAATGTTGAATGCAGCCGGTTGCTATGACAAATATTTAAATGAGCAAACGCAGATAAGTTGACCTCACTCTAGCTCGGTGAACTGTAAAAACGACAACTCAAAATTGTTCACCTTACTCAGATTTTTGCATTCACTGACAATAAAATTGCCAGTTAGAACTGGAACTGTCTGTTGTGAGCCACTTGAACTCACTTTCAGAAGTTCACTACAACTTCAAAGTAAAATCAACTTAAAGCTGCACTAACTGACTTTGGGATTTTGAAGCCGCGGACTCGCTGGCCTTGCTCTTTCTGCTCCCCTCCCCGCACCCACGAAGCTATCTCCCCCCACACACACCCACTGTTGTTGACGAAGCTAGCGTCTTCCAATATGGATAAACCATGGATATGGATTTTCACGTGGATGGCGTGACCATAGAACGATAGAACCGGGAAGCGCGGAGGAACGAGACTTTCTTTTGGATGGCTGTCTCGCTGTGTAAGCAGTAACCGGTGACGAAGACGAGGAAGCTTCAGGTTAGCTCCGCCACTTGTTGTGCTAACTCAGCTGTCTGTGCTAACGGACCTGTAGATTTCTTACGAAAGTGGGGGCTAGTGGTCCGCTGTGATTGGTCACAATCCGCGACCCGAAACACATTCTCTTCCTTGTTTCATCAAAACTCAATCTAAAATATAATGTCACGCCAGTACAAATCTGCGCTACTTTTTCTTCAAAAGGACGTTTATCCCAATGCACTGCATGGACATGGATAGCATTTTTGTAATGAATACAAAAATAAAGTCAGTTAGTGCAGCTTTAATATATCAAATAAGATGAACTTTTCATCAGAAACTTCTGAAGGTGAGTTCAAGAGGCTCACAACAGACAGTTGCAGGTCCAACTGGCAATTTTATTGTCAGTGAATGCAAAAATCTTTTTAAGGTGAACAATTTTGAGTTGTATTTTTTACAGTGCAAAAGCCTTGTCTCCTCTTTCTCGATTTGAAGGGACTCGATAATAAACCGTGCCTTGTCTTCTGTTCTCGAACCTTAACCCTCTGGGGTCTAGAGCGTCGGATCCGACTCCTGCGCACATGTTTTATAAATGTTCAATTTTCTCATGAACGGCAAAACGTAGCGACTTACTTTTTTTTTCTCCGTGAAGTACACATTTCAGGCATTACAGCGCTAGTTTTGTTTTGTCTGTGTGACTTTTGGGGAATTTTCTACGTGTGTTTGAAAGTTGGTGTCCAATCGGATCTTCGAGCGGTCTCCCGTGAGGTAAAACAGCCAAAACAGTAAAGTTATTTTGCTTACACGCTGACACAGGGACTGCCAAAGATTGTCAGAGAGTAGGATGATTCACTCTCCTGTGTGTATTTATTGTCCCATAGTTGAAATTACAGCTGCGATTGCAATTACTGATGCGTAAAAGACGCATTATTTTAGCGGAATGTTACGAAAATGCGTCCCCGACACAGCTAATGTAGCTTTGTATCACTGATCTACGTGATCTACGAGTGATGTGTGTGTTCAGAGTCTGGGCTTGAAAGTGCATTACACAAAGATAGGAGGAGACGCAGATGCAGCGCTCACAAGAGCCAGCACCTGCCTGAAGAGTGCGCATTATTGATGTAATTATATTATATATTTATTATTGACATTGATAAATACATTATAATGATATGATGTATATGAATATAAGATGTTGTTTTTCTTTCTTTGTTTTCTTAGTTTTTTTTGTTTTACATATCTTACAGCTGTGATACTGAAGCAATATATAGACATAGACAAACTGCTTCAGGAAGGGCATCAGGAGTACAGCGTTTTTTTTCACTTGTAGTGGAATTTTGTAAAAATTATAATAGTCACAGGTTCAATTTTTTTCCCCATCAACCCCAAGACCCTAAATAACATTTCTATACAGTGTAAAAAGTTAGCAATAGCATTTCATTGTGTTTTTCAAAACATTTTGGTGAAATTGAATTTCCGTTTCATTTTTTTCTTTGTCTTCATGATTCCATATTTTTTATATAATTCATATGACAGCTGTACACTATGAATATTATAAATCCACAGGTTGTACTGAAAAAAACAAAGTTTACTGCTTGACTCTGCATCACAAGATGACTGTTTTATGAGCAATTATACACAAAGAAAACCAGGCGAGGAAAGTTCCCCAAAATGAGCTTAGACCTTGAAGGGTTAATTCCAACATACAGACAGAAACCTCAATTCACCTTTTAAACAGCTGACCCTAGACCTGTTTTGTATTTCTGCTCTTTTACTGCATTTATACTTGATTGTGTATTTCTGTGTTTTTACGTACCCACACCGGTGCTCCGTCTGTAAATGAAGATTAATAAAGTTATTTGAATTGAATTGAAGTCTAATAAGATGAATACAGCATGTTGTGATCTGAGTTGTTCACAAAATGTTACTTTTACAAGACCCTTTCTGTTGGAAAGAAAAAAATAGGAACTTCATATTTTTTATCATAATTGTGTCAAAATACGGACAAAAGCGTTATACATAATGTCTATTATCTGCTGGCAGCGCTGTAGTCTTCATTTATTCTCTTGCTTGTTATGGATTTGGACATGTCTAAAATGTGCATTGGGGAATTTAATCTCAAATACAAAACAACGCTTCATGGATTAAGTTAGTGTCACATTAATCTCCCAACAATAACCACTTCATGTTCCCTATTTGAACATTGCTTAATAATGCGAGTAACACAATGAAACAATAAAGAAAACGGGGAGAAAAGATGCAACAACGATCAATGGATAATAAATCTCATGTGTTGATTTGCTTTGGGACCGCTGCGCTCTGATGTGGTTCTTAACACAAAGCCAACTGGTCTTTCAACTTGTATTCTTAGTTATTTGTTATCTTACAATGCATTTTATGTGTGCTCAGGTGCGCTCCGGGCTTCCTGGGAGAGTACTGCCACCATAAGGACCCCTGTCTGCCTGGCTACTGCATGAACGGAGGGAGTTGCACTGTGTCGTTGTCTGGGGGTGTGCCTGTCCCGGGGAACCCCACCTGCACCTGTCCCATCGGGTACACAGGCCAGCACTGCCAGACCCCGCAGAACTCCTCCTGCTACCCCAGCAACCCCTGCACCAACAAGGGGAAGTGTGAGCTGGTGACGGCTCTGGACAAGTTCAAGTGCCGCTGTCCCAGAGGGTGGTCAGGTAAAGTAATTAGAATAGTAATTATCTATTTCGAACTTGTGCACCAAAAGACAATATGTTTGAAAAAGGGGTTGGACGAAGCAAACCCTTTTCACTCATACAACCAGTGTGGGCGGGTCCTGGCTCAAAAGTGGCCAAAATAACGTGCGCTGACATGCTGCAGTACCACCCCGGGCCTGTGGGGGTGGACCCAGAATAAGAATTAGCCAATGCTAACATATAGCATCTTCTTTGAAATTACTTAAGAAATATAAATCTGACAGAACGACCTCCTATTTGATTTCCAAGTATCTTTTGTTTTAACTATTCTATTGCTCATTGTATTCTATTGTATATGTAAATTGTAAGTGAAGGTTATTTATTTATTCGATTGCCTTTTCCCCCTAGCTTGGTTATTCTAGTCCTCTACTTGTGTTTGTTTATGTATATGTTCCATTGTTCTTAATAAAGTAATAAAAAAGAGAAAAATATAAAAAAAAAAAAATAACGTCTTTACAGGATGGTCCAAAAGTCGTCTCTTGGCCCAAAGCTCCGTTCCACATGTGTGTCAATGCTGAGTGTTCTGGACCAGTCTAGTTTAGTCGCTTTGATTTTTTTGAAGTCACTCGTTTAAATGAATGGGGCTCGTGCAGCTGACGCATGCACAGATGCGTTTTTTCACATTTTCCACCCCCCGCGGCCATTTTGAATTACTCCATGAGAGCCCAATTTTTGGCCCATTAGTTAGAACGTCCGTTTATATTTACCGTCTATGCATACAACACAAAGCGCTCACTCAGACAATACACAGGCCCAAATACGCTCTGACTCCTACACAAGTCCATCCATCCATTTTCTTCCCTTTAATCCATTTCTGGGTCAGGGGGGTGGCAGTCAGAGATGCCACCCAAGTCTCATAGCACCAGCCCCTCACTGACCCTCTGCAGGTGGTGAGTCCACAGGAGGACGGCTGCTCTCTGAGTGTGAGCATAGCCTTGATCTTTCAGTGGGGGCTTTGGGCAAAGTGGGGTTAAGTGTCTTGCCCAAGGACACAACGACAGCAGTCATCAGTGGGAGTCGGTGGAGAAGGTGCAGAGGTGGGAATTGAACCCACGACCTTCTGGCCTTAAGGCCAATGCTCTACCAACTGAGCTACTGTCGCCCCTCCTACACAAGTGAAACATATTAATTCCCCCCCGTAGACCAAATACAAAATTAAAATACAATACAATGTGAAACTAATATGACTCATTACACACAAAGTGAGATCAAACCTTTATTTGTTTTAATGTTTACAATTAACTATAAATGACTTGAGTCTATGTCATATATTGGTTTCACATTTTAAGTTGAATTGTAGAAATAAGTCTCTTGAACAATATTCTGATTTGCTAGTTTCATCTGTATATTCTCGGTTAAGTACTGCCGGGTCAATCAGGCGTTAGGTTTTGAATCCAATTTTGAAGTTGAATCAATGAATGTCAACTGCATGAAAATAAGTTTATTAATACAGCGCCTTTTCTAAACCAACTGTGTTTTTCTTTAACAATTCATACCTAAACATAATAAAATTGCTTCATTCATGTGACATCATGTGACATCACAACATTCCAAAGAGCTTATAGTTAAACATGGTGCTGGAGGGCGGTTTAAAAATATTTCCTGGGAACAACGTTTAGGTGTTTTTTATGGATTTATGAATACAGTAATTTATTTATAATTTCTGCACCAGTCCACATTAAATATAAATGCAGTTCCACATATTCTTTGTCAACTTTGGTCTAATTATTTTCTGATGAATATGTCTAGAAGTGATGACAATATTCAAAAACATTGTAACTAAGTAACGTTTATTTATATAGCACATTTTACAGACCAAGGTACAGACCCAAAGCACTTTACAATGTTCAGAGTCAGATATTGTTCCAATCCTTCCACACACGGTGATGACAGAAGCAAGTCCAGAACACACTGGACCATCAGCTCCAACACCATCCATTCACTCTCTCATTTACATTCATACCGGAGCACCCGGAGGAAACCTACGCAGACACGGGGAGAACATGCAAACTCCACTCAGTTCCGACCGGGATTTGAACTCAGGACTTTCTTGCTGAGAAGCGAGAGTGCTATCCTCTCAGCCACATATGCATGACGTTTGGCCAGTGGATAATGTCACTTATGCTGATCCAGGAAAACATTTGGACATTTTGTTTTCCAAGATTTCTTCATAAAAAATGCTTCTTTCCCACAGACTTGGATTGGCACTTTCAAGTACATAAACCTGTTTGTAGATAAAAAGCTAACGTTGACGATGATACTGAGACTTGTCTGCGCAGGCCCTCGGTGTGAGTTCGAGGACAGCTGTCTCTCCGGCCCCTGTGCTAACGGCGGCGTGTGCACGGCTCGCTCCAGTCAGAGCTACGACTGCTCCTGTCCGTCAGGATACACAGGTCCCTCGATGTCTCAACGACACCGACGAGGTGCGCGGCCACACCCACAATTTGCCAGAACGAAGGCCTGTGCATCAATACTCCCGGCTCATACAAGTAAGTCTGAATACACACTGTAAGTAAGTAAGTAAGTAAGTTTTATTTATATACCGCCTTTCACAGACCAGAGTCTCAAAGCGGTTTACAATTGTTATTTTTGGGCACTTGTCTCTCACTCCACACAGAGATGGGAGCGGGGCCAGTACAGGAGGCACATGCCAGAACTATTGGGCATATTTTTAGTGGTAGGGGAAACCGGAGTACCCGGAGGAAACCTACGCAGACACGGGGAGAACATGCAAACTCCACTCAGAAAGGCCCTTGTCCGGCCGGGATTCGAACCAAGGACCTTCTTGCTGAGAGGCGAGAGTGCTATCCACTCAGCCACCGTGCCGCCCGTGACTGCATCAATAGTGGTAGAACATGTAATAGACTGGTGCTCTAGAGTTCTCTTTTGCTCTGATATTTTGCTTAATCTGACTTACTAACTAATCTGTCTGATGTCTGAGAGTGTGTGTGTGTGTGTGTGTGTGTGTGTGTGTGTGTGTGTGTGTGTGTGCGTGCGTGTGTGTGTGCGTTTTGTCTCATTCCATTCATGTGTATTTTAACATTGTGTATGATTTGATTAATTGCACTGTATGGGATTTTTTTAATGTGTTTAATATTGAATGGGGGATTGAGATTATACAGGTGAAAATCTGAAAATTAGCATAACAAATGTATTTCTGTAAATCTATGTATTGTTGTCCAACCAATACATGATATTGATTCATTATATGCAAAGTGACCTATTCCAAGCCTTTGATTATGGCTTACAACGGGCGATTTTTTACAAGCAGTGAGAGAATTATCAACATATCAAACATAAGGGCTTTGCGTGTTCTGTAAATCAACTTTTGAGCAATATTCTGAGTTTCACCTGTTTATATTATTGTAATGTATCCAGGATTGAAATAATCAAATCTAATGATTCTCTGAGTAACTGACTACAATATGTTGCAGGTGTATTTGTGACTCTGGCTTCACGGGGCGACACTGTGAGAGCTCATACGTGCCGTGTTCCCCTTCTCCCTGTCTCAACGGAGGAACCTGCCAGAGCTACGACTTCAGCTACTCCTGTCACTGCCTGCCCGGTACGACCTTAAACCGATTTCAAAACAGCAAAACGCCAAAATCCACTCACCGCCTTCTTCATGTGTGCATCTAGATACACAGATGTACACTCTTCTCAGGTGTAGCATACATTTCAGGATCTACAATCTCCAGTGGGGCTGATAAATATATTGTATTGATATCAAGATTATTATTATATGACTTGGATCGTACGCGCGCTCTGATTGGCTGATTTGCGGTCTGATATTTTCCCATCTCGGACCGTTACCATGACAATCAGTCCGCAGCGCGTATCAGATTTTATATCGTTCTTCGGTAAAAAATAGATATTTAGCGAGGACTGGGAGCATTCTCAGTGAAATCTATCATCAGGACGAGTTGGAAGAGCCAGAGCAAGTAAAAAACAGCAAATAACGACGAAAAACACAACTCTTAACAGTCAAGAAGAGATCGACAACTTGGTTACAGACCAGAAAGGTAAAAACAGGACCAGGAAAACCAAGTGGGACATGAACATCACAAATATCTAAAAAGCATTGGTAAAGACACAGACTGAGAACTTACAGCGGGCGCCTCAATCCTCTGATCCAGTGTCTCCCAAAGTGGGGTCCGCGGCCCCCTGGTGGGCCGCGAGGGTACTGCAGGGGGGGCCGCGGGAGGTCAATAAAAAAAAAAATATATATATATATAATTATTTAATGACATATTTGTGTTCATTATTTGACTTGAATAATACCTGTACAATTTTGTAGCCCAAAGGCCCCCCCTGAAAATCAAGGCTATGCTCACACTCAGAGAGCAGCCGTCCTCCTGTGGACTCACCACCTGCAGAGGGTCATGAGGGGCTGGTGCTATGAGACTTGGGTGGCATCTCTGACTGCCACCACCCCTGACCCAGAAATGGATTAAAGGGTAGAAAATGATGGATGAAAAAATGGGGAGCCTTCCAGGTGCCTTGTAACTTTGGACCTGTTTTGGTACAGTAGCCTCCTTTGTGGTTTCTCTCAAGAACATTATAGTGACAATAGTAATTTAGCGTTTTCACTGCTGCATGTTGAAGAAATACAATAGGGTCTCTCATTCGCTTTGAGTTGAGAGCTGATGGGTGCTCTCTCTTGTCGCCCTCAGTATCTGCCTGACGTGATCATACACTGTCTGCATGTATTACAGCACAGTAACCATTAGAATATCCTGATTCTGTAGATTCCGTGTTCAGATTCAGTATTTATATCCATGCACTGTGTGTTTTGTGAAGGCATATGATGTCATGGGCATGAAGCTGTGTTCTGATGGTTTCCACTGAAATATTTATAGAGAATCTTCCTGTCAAAATATGAAGTTTTGATGTGTTGTTTAAGTCTGCACCCCAACTATCTTACTGTAACTGAGACACGACAGATGAGTTTATCCACACAGAGATGTACAGCTTGTAATTGCTTTATTCTCTTGGATTCGTGCTCTGGGACAGCATCATCTGCTTTTGGGCCTGTTTAGCAGCTGGACTTCTGCGGGCCGCTTGTTGAGACACAGAAGCGAGACTGGACATTCGGAAAAAACACATGTTTGGCCACGAATGCAGCCGGAGAGGCACATGCACATCCGGCTCAGTGTCCAACGGTAACGGCCAAAACATCACTTATTTTCACAGGGAGAGGGAGGAATGATCCCATTTCTGCTCGTTCATGAGTTCCCCAGAGCCCCTCCAGTTTTCCCCAACGCAGGAGACATGATGAACCCGACATCACTGTCCAGGTTTTTCCACTGCGCTCGAGTGCAAGGCCTCGGGAACCCTTTAGCCACCAGTGAGAAAGAGCAAATGTACTCATCCACCATTACTGTCAGGATCGTTTTAAGGATGCAGACTTAAAAGCATGGCAAAAAACCTGAATTCAACATGAAGAAACACTGACGGACATTGTGATTGTCCTTTTAATTGTAAGGAAAGAAAATAACAAAACTTTGGAAAGTGGAGAAAGAAAGAACTTTTAGGAGAAAAGCATGGTTTGGTAGAAAGCAGCAGCTCGGAGGCTGGCACAGAACGACACATCACTCCGTGTGCTGTCGTCTGCTACATTGGGCCCTGACGCTTTTAGAATTAAGTTTTTAAAATTGTACTGTTAGTATTTAAATCTCTGCACTACCTGCTCCGTCAATATCAGACGGACTTTCTACTTGCCCACTCCGGAAGAGCCCTGATGTCCTCTTCTGCACTGTCCCAGTCTAGACTATATACCAGAGAAAAGAGGCCAGTCCACCGGTCTAGACTAAAGACCAGAGGAGACCAGTCCAGGTCTATACTAAAGACCAGAAGGAGGCCAGTCCAGGTCTAGACTAAAAGACCCGAGGAGACCAGTCCCCAGGTCTAGACTAAAGACCAAGGAGACAGTCCCCTGGTCTAGACTAGAAGACCGAGGAGACCCAGTCCCCCAGGTCTGACTAAAGACCAGAGGAGACCAGTCCAGGTCTATACTAAAGACCAGAGGATACCAGTCCCAGGTCTAGACTAAAGACCATAGAACGAGTCCCCAGGTCTAGACTAAAGACCAAGGAACCAGTCCCAGTCTAGACAAACGAACATAGGAGACCAGTCCCAGGTCTAGACTAAAGACCAGAGGAACCAGTCCCAGGTCTATGACTAAAGACCAAGTAACCCAGACCCAGGTCTAGACTAAAGACGGAGAGGAGGCCAGTCCCCGCAGGTCTAGACTACAGAACAGAGGAGACCATTCCCAGGTCTAGACTAAAAGACCAGTAGGAGACAGTCCCGGGTCTAGACTAAAGACCAGAGAGACCAGTCCCGAGGTCTAGACTAAAGACCAGAGGAACCATCCCAGTCCAAGACTAAAGACCAGAGGAACCAGTCCCAGGTCTAGACTAAAGACCAGATGAGGCCATCCCAGTCGAGAACTAAAGACCAGAGGAGACCAGTCCTTCAGGGTCTAGACTAAAGACCAGAGGAGACCAGTCCCCCAGGTCTAGACCTACAGACCAGCAGGAGCCAGTCCCCTGGTCTAGACTAATAGACGCAGAGGAGAGACAGTCCCAGGTCTAGACTAAATACCATAGGAGACCAGTCCCCAGTCTAACTATAGACCCAGAGGAGACCATCCCAGGTCATCGACTAAAGACTCAGAGGAGACCGATATCCCAGGTCTAAGACTAAAGCACAGAGAGGCCAGTCCCCGGCTAGACCTAAAGACCGAGGAGACCAGTCCCAGGTCTAGACTAAAGTACCAGAGGAGACCAGTCCCAGGCAAACTAAAGACCAGCGAGACCAGTCCCAGGTCAAGACAAAAGACCAAGGAGACCATCCCAGTCTAGACTAAACAGACCAGAGGAAGGCCAGTCCCAGGTCTAGACTAAAGACTCAAGGAAGACCAGTCCCAGGTCCTAGACAAAGACCAGAGGAGCCAGTCCCAGGACTAGACTAAAGAACCAGAGGAGCCAGTCCAGACTAGACTAAAGACCAGATGAGGCCAGACCCAGGAGCAAGACAAAGACCAGAGGAGACTGACCCTTTGCTTGTGCAGGCCCAAACTCTGGAACGCTCTCCCCTTATTGTATCAGAGCTGCCCCCTCTGTAGAGAGCTAACCCTCTGTAAGGTGAGCTAACCTCTGTGGGAGCTAACTCTGTGGAGAGCTAACCCTCTGTTAGTGAGCTAACCCCTCTGAGGAGTGCTAGCCACTGTAGTGAGCTAACCTCTGTGGAGTGCTAACCCCTGTAAAGAGCAAACCCTCTGTAGTGAGCTAAGCGCCTCTGGGAGTGCTAACCCATCTGTAAAGAGCTAACCCTCTGTAGAAGAGGCTAACACCACCTGTAAGAAGAGCACCCTCAGTAAGAGCTAACCCTCTGTGGAGTGGTAACCCTCTGTGGAGTGGTAAAACCACTGTGGAGTGCTAACCCTCTGTAGAGAGCTAACCCTCTGTAGAGAGCTAACCCTCTGTGGAGTGCTAACCCTCGGTAGAGATCTAACCCTGCTGTGGAGAGCTAACCCTCTGTGGATGCTAACCCTCTGTAGAGAGCTACCTCCTCTGTGGAGTGCTAACCCTCTGTAAAGAGCTAACCCTCTGTGGAGAGTCTAACCTCTGTAAAGAGCTAACCCTCTGTTGAGTGGTAACCCTCTGTTGATTGTAACCCTCAGTGTAGTGGTAACCCACTGTGGAGTGTTAAACCCTCTGAGGAGTGCTACCCTCTGTATAAGCTAACACTCTGTGGAGTGCTAACCCTCTGTAAAGACTAACCCTCTGTGGAGAGCTAACCCTCTGTACAGAGCAAACCCTCTGTGGAGTGGTAACCCTCTGTGGAGTGGTACCCTCTGGGGGGGGGAGTGGTAACCCTCTGTGGAGTGGTAACCCTCTGTGGAGAACTAGCCTCTGTAGAGAGCTAAACGCCTCTGTAAGAGAGCCTAACTCTGTAGAGGAGCTAACCCTCAGTGGAGTGGTAACCCTCTGTGGATGGTAACCCACTGTAGTGAGCTACCCCTGTGGAGTGGTAACCCTCTGATAGAGAGCTAACCCACTGTGGAGAGCTAACCCTCTGTGGATGCTAACCCTCTGTAAGAGAGCTAACCTCATGGCGAGCATAACCCTCTGTAGAGAGCAAACCTCTGTGGAGCAGCTTAAAGACGTTATGACGGGTTTGTTATAATTATAAATACAGTTTTAATACCAGTTTAATATTAGAGATGAGAACTAACCTAAAGGTTTCAAAATCAGTTGTTGTGTTTTTTGTCTGATTCCCCAAATCCAAAATAACCCCCCATAGCAACGCCCTTAGAAAACGAAAAAAAACTTCACAGCCCATTTTTTTTTTTTTTTTTTTTTTTTGGTGACGTCAGAGTGGGTACGTTTCTACGCTGTAAAGTGTTACAATTTGGTATTTGTATCTTTTTCGCGGATATCAGAGGACAATGCCGTGTACAGCGAGTGCTAAGATAAGTACTAAGAATGTCACATTTCGTTGTCACTGAGATAGTCCATGGTTGTGTCGATGACTGTCCAATCCAGATACCTTGGGTTCAATCCCACCTCAGACACCATTTTCATTCTCAAACGGCAATTTTAATTGTAGTGAGTAGTTGTCGCCTGTAGAAGGGCAGTATTGTGTTGGGCATAAAGTGGAGAGAAAGAGAAAAGGCATCCTGTGGCATAGATCCATGGTTTTCAATGCTTGGGCGTAACCCCCTATGACGTCACACACAGGTTAGAGCATAGACAGCTTAAATTCATGAAAAACACGTTCTTTTATAAAATATAGGGATTTTTTTGCCGGAATCTCTTTCAATTGACATGTCATCAATTTTGTTATCCACTATTTTTTTTTTAAAACCCGTCATAAGTCCTTTAAATCACAGCTAAAGACACATTCTTTGACTTGCTTTTTAACACAAGCAATTTGAAACTATTTATGATGCGTGTCCCTGTGTGTATTTGTGTTATTAATATAATGCTCCTGTGTGTTATTTGTGTGTATTATAGAATGCCTGAGGTGATTAATTGTGTGTATATATAATGTCCTGTGTGTTAGATTTGTGTTTATTAGATATTGTTCCTGTGTGTTAATTGAGTGTTATTTATATAATGTCTGGTGGGCACTATTGTGACAGCCCGTCCTGTTTAAAAATGTTCTATATAAAGAAAACTTGACCCTTGACCCTACCATTCTCCCCATAGAACCTGCTGATTGTTCAAATTCATTAAATCCTTACCCCCCAGCTTGGTTTAACTGTTCGCTTCAAATCTAATTTAAATAAAAGGTCCAAAACAGATAATACATAAAATAAAATAAAATAAAATGTGCATTTCTGACACCCTCTGTCTCTGACCTCCACCCTCTGTCTCCTGAACCTCCACCCTCTGTCTCCCTGACCTCCACCCTCTGTCTCCTGACCTCCACGCCACTGTCGCCTGACCTTCCACCCTCTGCACCTGACCTCCCCCTCTGTCTCCTGAGCCTCCACCCTCTGTCTCCTGACCTCCACCCTCTGTCACCTGACCGCCACCCCTGTCACTGACCTCCACCCTCTGTCGCCTGACCTCCACCCTCTGTTCTCACCGACCACTCACCCTCTGTCACATACCTCCACCCACTGTCTCCTGACCGTCCACCCTCTGCCTTCCTGACCTCCACCCTCTGTCACCTGACCTCCACCCACTGTCTCCTGACATCCACAACTGCAGTCGCCTGAGCCTCCACCCTCTGTCTCCTGACCTCCACCCACTGTCTCGCTGACCTCCACCCTCTGTCCCCTGACCTCCACCCTGTCTCCTGACCTCCACCCTCTGTCATCCTGACCTCCCACCCTCAGTCTCATGACCTCCACCCTCAGTCTCCAGACCACCCCCTCTGTCGCCTGACCTCCACCCTCTGTCGCCGACCTCCACCCTCTGTCTCCTGACCTCCACCCTCTGTCTCTTGACCTCCACCTCTGTCTCCTACCTCCACCCTCTGGTCTCCTGACCTCCACCCCTGTCTCCTTACCTGCCCACCCCTCTGTCGCCTGACCTCCACCCTCGTGTCTCCTGACCTCCACCTCTGTCTCCTGACCCTCCACCCACTTTCTCCTGACACTCCACCCTCTGTCGCCTGACCTCCACCCGCTGTCTCCTGACCTCCACGCCTCGTCTCCTGACCTCCACCCTCTGTCACCCTGACTCCACCCTCTGTCTCCTGACCTCCACCCTCGTCTCCTGACCTCCACCCTCTTCTCATGAGCCTCCACCTCTGTCGTCCTGACCTCCCCCCTCGGTCGACTGACCTCCCACCCTCGGTCGCCTGACCTCCACCCTCTGTCCCTGACCTCCACCCCTGGTCTCTATTTGACTTCCAACCTCTGTCTCCTGACCTCCACCCTCTGTCTCCTGACCTCCACCCTCTGTCCTCTGACCTCCACCCTCTGTCGCCTGACCTCCACCCTCTGTCTCCATGACCTCCACCCTCTGACCTCCAGACCACCACCCTCTGTCTCCTGACCTCCCCCCTCTGTGCGCCTGACCTCCACCCTCTGTCTGCCTACCTCCACCCTCTGACTCCTGCCCTCCACCCTCTGTCCCCAGACCTCCACCCACTGTCTCCCTGACCTCCACCCTCTGTCTCCTGACCTCCACCCTCTGTCTCATGACCTCCACCCTCTGTCTCCTGACCTCCACCCTCTGTCGCCTGACCTCCACCCTCTGTCTCCTACCTCCACCCTCTGTCTCTTGACCTCCACCTCTGTCTCCTGACCTCCACCCTCTGTCGCTGACCTCCACCCTCTGTCCGCCTGACCTCCAACCTCTGTCGCCTGACCTCCACCCACTGTCCCTCCTGACTCCACCCTCTGCGCCTGACCTCATCCTCCTGTCTAGCAGACCTCCACCCCACAGTTTCCTGACCTCCACCCTCTGTCTCCCTGACCTCCACCCTCTGTCGCCTGACCACCACCCTCTGTCTCCTGACCTCCATCCCTCTGTCTCCTGACCTCCACCCTCTGTGCCTGACTCCACCCTCTGTCGCCTGACCATCCACCCTCTTCCGCTGACCTCCACCCTCTGTCGCCTGACCACCACCCCTCAGTCTCCTGACCTCCACCCTCTGGCGCCTGACCTCCACCCTCTGTCTCCTGACCTCCACCCTCCTGTCCTCCTGACTCCACCCTCTGTCGCCTGACCTCCACCCTCTGTCTCCTGAAACCTCCACCTCTGTCGCCCTGCCTCCACCCTCCTGTCTCCTGAACCTCCACCCTCTGTCTCCTCAGCAATCTTGTGGTATCAAAGTGGCCGTCGCGGTCACAGGCTTCGCGGGGGTGGACCGCGCGAGGCGAGGGCAGCTGTTGGAGATTGAACAGGCCTCAACTCTCAGGACGCTGAGAGTACAAATGTGTGGCCGTGGAACCTGGCTGGTAGTGCTGAAGATGTTCCACAGCCAACACGTCTCGTATGAGTTACAATTCATCTCTATAAAGGGAAGAGAAAAGCAACAATAAACATTCAAGTTTGTTAAAAATGGTGGAGCTCAAGAATTAACCGATAAGGCTTTTTTATTACTAAACTGTATAAAGCCCTGTATCATCAAACTCTAAAAGACAGCCACGCCCTATTGGTGAGTGAATGTTAGGGAATTAAAGGACATAGAATTCAGAATGATAGTCATGTCCACAGTTAATAGTGAGTCCAATACGTGTCCTTGGAATAATATACTGTTTATATACCTCCCACTCCTCTGTAACAAACCATCTAAAACTTTTTTTTTTCTTTTTTTTCTTGGTCCTTTTTTTTTAAGGTAAAATAAAACCATATATTCTGGACTTGTTTTACAAAAAAAACATCAATTTATGAGTTATATCAATTAAACAATGTATCGGAAGGTTGTGGTTTGATATAGACTTTTTAATGAAAAATAAAAAATAAAAAGATGTTTTATTGCAGAGTGTCATTTTGGTCATACAATATACAGATAACTGTTTGCTATATGTAATATATATATAAATATATATATTTTTTTTATTTTTTCAGAACCCTTGCACAATAAGAACAAGAATGTACATGTACACACACCAAACATGACACATACATCTAGAATATCGAAGATATAGTATTATATACCTTTTGCTTCTTCCTACTCCTTCTTCCTACTTCTTCTTTGAACATGTGAATGATTAGACATGTTTGGATTGTTTGTGGCTTATTAGAAGTAAGCAACTCTTGTACAAAATAAACTGTACACATACACATAAGATAGCGAGATAAGCAAACCTTCCAATCAGTTCCAAAAACAAAAGTGCACCAAATAGACAATAAGTGAACACTATACTAATAAAAGTGAAAACCTCTGTAATACTTTCTTATCCGTGATACGCTAGATGATTAGAGTTAGTGTTGAGCAGAGCAATCTGTGGTTTAGAAGAGCCTGCGGGGCTTTTGGATTATGCTATGTTTACAGTTTATAAAGGGGAGTGAGTCAGAGCGATACAACCAACTGAATTCCGGAAGTGTGTGAATTGTTCTTTTAATCCAAATATAGTAGTTTTACCATGTACTGTTCTTTAGGGTTTGTCATGGACGCAGGGTTTTTAATGAATCTCAGGATGTAGACAAACTAGTTACCTTGGACTTCAGTAAGGTATAAGTGCTTTATGAAGTGTGTTAAACCCATCTCTTGCTACAGTCCCTCCAGTGATCTCCAGCCGTGGGGGGCACTGTCACTGGTGGGGTCAATGATGCGGTCAGACTGAGTGTTAGGCACTGGGTCCCCGCTGCCCAGCCTCACCTGGCTACCAGGACGGCAGCCCTGTGGGCCAGTCTGTCCCCATGAATACAGGTCAGTCTGGGCTTTTACACACCACCCCCAGACATTCATCATGCACACCGGCCCTTTCAAATACAAGTGAAAACACAGAATCATTCAGTAAAAGTGAGGAAAAAGTAATGTCTTGATAATATCAGAAACTCAAATGACATCATGTAATACATTCAGCAAGATGTTATCACACAAACCTGTCATAATTTAGTTTGTGTGTTTGAAATAAGACATTGTCAACATTGAAGGTTGAATTTTCAGAGAAAAACAGTACATATTTATGCACAGTGGTCACCCTGCTTCCTGTGTTGGTTCTCTTTGCATTTCTGTTTTGTAATTGTGGTGATTCTCAAAACAATATGTTGTATTATCAGTGTACATCTGGACATGTGCGAGGTTGAAACAGTAAAACAAAGATGTAAGTTGATCTGTGTTTGAAATCTGAAAGCTGCCGTTTCTGCCCTTTTCCCTTTGTCCTTCACATTAAACTTTGGTACCTACTGGAAATAAAAAATGCCACCACATTGAATCAGCATCTTAATCACGCCAAAAAATACACACACCAAAGAACTTTGTTTGTGTGAAAGACGGCAACTTATACATGGATGCATACGGAGGTCCCCACCCTCTAACCCGACTGTTTACCCTCAGTGGAGTCTGGGGGCCGACTCCTGTCTAATGAGCATTGCACAGTGTCACAGACACCGGCCGCTACACCTGCGTGGCTGTCCAACGCAGGAGGAGAACAACAGAAGCACTATGACCTGCGGGTGTGTTAGGTGAGTGTAAGCTTCACCAACTGTGATAACGGCCTCAAGCCGGCATCTGTGCAGACTACACCGAGTGCTTCTTCCTTCATAGAAGTCACTCATTTTAATCATGAAGAGCTGCTCCACCGCAGCAAACCACAAAAGTCCAAATAAAAATGCTTTGAAAAAGGCTTGAGGAGAACATGTTCATAACCAAACCAAATAATTAAGCAAGAAAGTTTTATAGCACAACAATTCATACACATAAACATTCCACACAAATTATTCTAAAACAGGTGATATATGTACCCAGCTGTTAATTGTGGTGCCACCAGCAAGTGATCTTTCAGAGGCAAAGCAGGTCAGTCCTGATTAAACTGTGTAAGGAGAGACCTTCCTGTAACAAGGAAAGGTAATTATGATTGAAAAGGCACTAATGTTTAGAAAAATAAACAATCTGCTTGGGTCTGAGTAAGATGGTTAAGGTTAGGGTTAAGGTGGTCTGAGTAAGATGGTTAAGGTTAGGGTTAAGGTGGGTCTGAGTAAGATGGTTAAGGTTAGGGTTAAGGTGGTCTGAGTAAGATGGTTAAGGTTAGGGTTAAGGTGGTCTGAGTAAGATGGTTAAGGTTAGGGTTAAGGCTGGGTTGGGGTTATGTTATGGGAATAGCTGGTTAAATTTAGGCATTAATAGGTAATTTGTAATATTTACTTCCGCTTCCGTCCCGATTCCGTATATGATCTAGTGCTGACCCTCAGCTCAGAGCTGCTTTTATAGCAGGTGACAGCAATTAGACCACACCCACTGCAGCTCAAAATACAAAAAAAAATACAGCAATAATTAACGCAGTGAATATATCCTCTACAAAATTACAAAAATATATCTCTTTATTAATTTAGCAGTGATTTATTATTTCTACCCCATTACTCAAGTCGAAAAATAAGACCCAGGACACCCCTCCTCTCTGCAGAGTGGATGCACCCGGAACCCTCTTTAGGTGCTAGACAAACAGGAAAACAAAAAGGTGAGTAATTACATGTTGCACGTTTACAAATTTAAAACCCAATCTTTAATAAACTTTATTTAAAACAATTTAGTGTCTCATTTCCCGCACCTGTGCACACCCAGTAATGGACTCTGCTACATTACAGTATCCCTATAAATATTTTAACTTCGAGGTCTTGTGTGCATCCCCAGTTTATCCTGCTGTGTGAATCAGGGCGCACATGCACAAGTGTTTTTAATTGAGAAGCAAGTATAGTCTTAGACATGGAAGATTTCTTTAACTGTAATGGTGTGTGAAATAGACCTAAGGAAGTTATTTCTAGTTAAGCCATTGAGTATTAAATTCTGGAAATAGTAACATATTCCATCTTTTATCAGACTTTGATTTAGTGTTAAATGCGATTAACAGCGACTAACTCCACACCAAAATATTTGAGTGAGTCAGCCTCCCATTTCGATCAATAACCATCTTTAATTCTTTGATGGTGGTCATAATAAGGATTTGAGATATGTTTACATTATTTTTTTATTCTGATAATGTCATGTTCGTCATTATTGGTAAGATCTGTGTTGCTGTGTGATATATCCCTACAACCTTGACTTTGTCTTAACTTAAAATGTACAGTACAACTTTTACTGTGAACCCTGTTATATCTGTATTACTGTAAACATTATTATCTGAAGAACTGAACTGAACATATTGTTTTACCCACATTTTTACTGCACTATCTATATCGTGGACATGCATCATTTGTATCTCAAGTGCTGACATCTTCTGTTCTTTTGCTTATTGCTACAAATCATATGCAGACACAGAGAACGTGCAAATTCCCACTCAGAAAGGCCCTGTTCCGATTGGGATTCAAACCCAGGACCTTCGTGTCAAGAAGCGAGAGAGCTATCCACTCAGCTACTGTACCGCACACACATGGTGAACCCCGATCAGTGGGGAAAACTAATGTGTTTAAGACTGACCCAGAGAATATACAGGGCTACTTTGGCTTGGCCCTGTCGATTACGGTTGGTAAAAATAAATACAATGATTTTTTTGGTCAAATTAGTTTATTCAAAATGTTGAATGCAGCCGGTTGCTTATGACAAATATTTAAATGAGCAAACGCAGATAAGTTGACCTCACTCTAGCTCGGTGAACTGTAAAAACGACAACTCAAAATTGTTCACCTTACTCAGATTTTTGCATTCACTGACAATAAAATTGCCAGTTAGAACTGGAACTGTCTGTTGTGAGCCACTTGAACTCACTTTCAGAAGTTCACTACAACTTCAAAGTAAAATCAACTTAAAGCTGCACTAACTGACTTTGGGATTTTGAAGCCGCGGACTCGCTGGCCTTGCTCTTTCTGCTCCCCTCCCCGCACCCACGAAGCTATCTCCCCCCACACACACCCACTGTTGTTGACGAAGCTAGCGTCTTCCAATATGGATAAACCATGGATATGGATTTTCACGTGGATGGCGTGACCATAGAACGATAGAACCGGGAAGCGCGGAGGAACGAGACTTTCTTTTGGATGGCTGTCTCGCTGTGTAAGCAGTAACCGGTGACGAAGACGAGGAAGCTTCAGGTTAGCTCCGCCACTTGTTGTGCTAACTCAGCTGTCTGTGCTAACGGACCTGTAGATTTCTTACGAAAGTGGGGGCTAGTGGTCCGCTGTGATTGGTCACAATCCGCGACCCGAAACACATTCTCTTCCTTGTTTCATCAAAACTCAATCTAAAATATAATGTCACGCCAGTACAAATCTGCGCTACTTTTTCTTCAAAAGGACGTTTATCCCAATGCACTGCATGGACATGGATAGCATTTTTGTAATGAATACAAAAATAAAGTCAGTTAGTGCAGCTTTAATATATCAAATAAGATGAACTTTTCATCAGAAACTTCTGAAGGTGAGTTCAAGAGGCTCACAACAGACAGTTGCAGGTCCAACTGGCAATTTTATTGTCAGTGAATGCAAAAATCTTTTTAAGGTGAACAATTTTGAGTTGTATTTTTTACAGTGCAAAAGCCTTGTCTCCTCTTTCTCGATTTGAAGGGACTCGATAATAAACCGTGCCTTGTCTTCTGTTCTCGAACCTTAACCCTCTGGGGTCTAGAGCGTCGGATCCGACTCCTGCGCACATGTTTTATAAATGTTCAATTTTCTCATGAACGGCAAAACGTAGCGACTTACTTTTTTTTTCTCCGTGAAGTACACATTTCAGGCATTACAGCGCTAGTTTTGTTTTGTCTGTGTGACTTTTGGGGAATTTTCTACGTGTGTTTGAAAGTTGGTGTCCAATCGGATCTTCGAGCGGTCTCCCGTGAGGTAAAACAGCCAAAACAGTAAAGTTATTTTGCTTACACGCTGACACAGGGACTGCCAAAGATTGTCAGAGAGTAGGATGATTCACTCTCCTGTGTGTATTTATTGTCCCATAGTTGAAATTACAGCTGCGATTGCAATTACTGATGCGTAAAAGACGCATTATTTTAGCGGAATGTTACGAAAATGCGTCCCCGACACAGCTAATGTAGCTTTGTATCACTGATCTACGTGATCTACGAGTGATGTGTGTGTTCAGAGTCTGGGCTTGAAAGTGCATTACACAAAGATAGGAGGAGACGCAGATGCAGCGCTCACAAGAGCCAGCACCTGCCTGAAGAGTGCGCATTATTGATGTAATTATATTATATATTTATTATTGACATTGATAAATACATTATAATGATATGATGTATATGAATATAAGATGTTGTTTTTCTTTCTTTGTTTTCTTAGTTTTTTTTGTTTTACATATCTTACAGCTGTGATACTGAAGCAATATATAGACATAGACAAACTGCTTCAGGAAGGGCATCAGGAGTACAGCGTTTTTTTCACTTGTAGTGGAATTTTGTAAAAATTATAATAGTCACAGGTTCAATTTTTTTCCCCATCAACCCCAAGACCCTAAATAACATTTCTATACAGTGTAAAAAGTTAGCAATAGCATTTCATTGTGTTTTTCAAAACATTTTGGTGAAATTGAATTTCCGTTTCATTTTTTTCTTTGTCTTCATGATTCCATATTTTTTATATAATTCATATGACAGCTGTACACTATGAATATTATAAATCCACAGGTTGTACTGAAAAAAACAAAGTTTACTGCTTGACTCTGCATCACAAGATGACTGTTTTATGAGCAATTATACACAAAGAAAACCAGGCGAGGAAAGTTCCCCAAAATGAGCTTAGACCTTGAAGGGTTAATTCCAACATACAGACAGAAACCTCAATTCACCTTTTAAACAGCTGACCCTAGACCTGTTTTGTATTTCTGCTCTTTTACTGCATTTATACTTGATTGTGTATTTCTGTGTTTTTACGTACCCACACCGGTGCTCCGTCTGTAAATGAAGATTAATAAAGTTATTTGAATTGAATTGAAGTCTAATAAGATGAATACAGCATGTTGTGATCTGAGTTGTTCACAAAATGTTACTTTTACAAGACCCTTTCTGTTGGAAAGAAAAAAATAGGAACTTCATATTTTTTATCATAATTGTGTCAAAATACGGACAAAAGCGTTATACATAATGTCTATTATCTGCTGGCAGCGCTGTAGTCTTCATTTATTCTCTTGCTTGTTATGGATTTGGACATGTCTAAAATGTGCATTGGGGAATTTAATCTCAAATACAAAACAACGCTTCATGGATTAAGTTAGTGTCACATTAATCTCCCAACAATAACCACTTCATGTTCCCTATTTGAACATTGCTTAATAATGCGAGTAACACAATGAAACAATAAAGAAAACGGGGAGAAAAGATGCAACAACGATCAATGGATAATAAATCTCATGTGTTTGATTTGCTTTGGGACCGCTGCGCTCTGATGTGGTTCTTAACACAAAGCCAACTGGTCTTTCAACTTGTATTCTTAGTTATTTGTTATCTTACAATGCATTTTATGTGTGCTCAGGTGCGCTCCGGGCTTCCTGGGAGAGTACTGCCACCATAAGGACCCCTGTCTGCCTGGCTACTGCATGAACGGAGGGAGTTGCACTGTGTCGTTGTCTGGGGGTGTGCCTGTCCCGGGGAACCCCACCTGCACCTGTCCCATCGGGTACACAGGCCAGCACTGCCAGACCCCGCAGAACTCCTCCTGCTACCCCAGCAACCCCTGCACCAACAAGGGGAAGTGTGAGCTGGTGACGGCTCTGGACAAGTTCAAGTGCCGCTGTCCCAGAGGGTGGTCAGGTAAAGTAATTAGAATAGTAATTATCTATTTCGAACTTGTGCACCAAAAGACAATATGTTTGAAAAAGGGGTTGGACGAAGCAAACCCTTTTCACTCATACAACCAGTGTGGGCGGGTCCTGGCTCAAAAGTGGCCAAAATAACGTGCGCTGACATGCTGCAGTACCACCCCGGGCCTGTGGGGGTGGACCCAGAATAAGAATTAGCCAATGCTAACATATAGCATCTTCTTTGAAATTACTTAAGAAATATAAATCTGACAGAACGACCTCCTATTTGATTTCCAAGTATCTTTTGTTTTAACTATTCTATTGCTCATTGTATTCTATTGTATAATGTAAATTGTAAGTGAAGGTTATTTATTTATTCGATTGCCTTTTCCCCCTAGCTTGGTTATTCTAGTCCTCTACTTGTGTTTGTTTATGTATATGTTCCATTGTTCTTAATAAAGTAATAAAAAAGAGAAAAATATAAAAAAAAAAAAATAACGTCTTTACAGGATGGTCCAAAAGTCGTCTCTTGGCCCAAAGCTCCGTTCCACATGTGTGTCAATGCTGAGTGTTCTGGACCAGTCTAGTTTAGTCGCTTTGATTTTTTTGAAGTCACTCGTTTAAATGAATGGGGCTCGTGCAGCTGACGCATGCACAGATGCGTTTTTTCACATTTTCCACCCCCCGCGGCCATTTTGAATTACTCCATGAGAGCCCAATTTTTGGCCCATTAGTTAGAACGTCCGTTTATATTTACCGTCTATGCATACAACACAAAGCGCTCACTCAGACAATACACAGGCCCAAATACGCTCTGACTCCTACACAAGTCCATCCATCCATTTTCTTCCCTTTAATCCATTTCTGGGTCAGGGGGGTGGCAGTCAGAGATGCCACCCAAGTCTCATAGCACCAGCCCCTCACTGACCCTCTGCAGGTGGTGAGTCCACAGGAGGACGGCTGCTCTCTGAGTGTGAGCATAGCCTTGATCTTTCAGTGGGGGCTTTGGGCAAAGTGGGGTTAAGTGTCTTGCCCAAGGACACAACGACAGCAGTCATCAGTGGGAGTCGGTGGAGAAGGTGCAGAGGTGGGAATTGAACCCACGACCTTCTGGCCTTAAGGCCAATGCTCTACCAACTGAGCTACTGTCGCCCCTCCTACACAAGTGAAACATATTAATTCCCCCCCGTAGACCAAATACAAAATTAAAATACAATACAATGTGAAACTAATATGACTCATTACACACAAAGTGAGATCAAACCTTTATTTGTTTTAATGTTTACAATTAACTATAAATGACTTGAGTCTATGTCATATATTGGTTTCACATTTTAAGTTGAATTGTAGAAATAAGTCTCTTGAACAATATTCTGATTTGCTAGTTTCATCTGTATATTCTCGGTTAAGTACTGCCGGGTCAATCAGGCGTTAGGTTTTGAATCCAATTTTGAAGTTGAATCAATGAATGTCAACTGCATGAAAATAAGTTTATTAATACAGCGCCTTTTCTAAACCAACTGTGTTTTTCTTTAACAATTCATACCTAAACATAATAAATTGCTTCATTCATGTGACATCATGTGACATCACAACATTCCAAAGAGCTTATAGTTAAACATGGTGCTGGAGGGCGGTTTAAAAATATTTCCTGGGAACAACGTTTAGGTGTTTTTTATGGATTTATGAATACAGTAATTTATTTATAATTTCTGCACCAGTCCACATTAAATATAAATGCAGTTCCACATATTCTTTGTCAACTTTGGTCTAATTATTTTCTGATGAATATGTCTAGAAGTGATGACAATATTCAAAAACATTGTAACTAAGTAACGTTTATTTATATAGCACATTTTACAGACCAAGGTACAGACCCAAAGCACTTTACAATGTTCAGAGTCAGATATTGTTCCAATCCTTCCACACACGGTGATGACAGAAGCAAGTCCAGAACACACTGGACCATCAGCTCCAACACCATCCATTCACTCTCTCATTTACATTCATACCGGAGCACCCGGAGGAAACCTACGCAGACACGGGGAGAACATGCAAACTCCACTCAGTTCCGACCGGGATTTGAACTCAGGACTTTCTTGCTGAGAAGCGAGAGTGCTATCCTCTCAGCCACATATGCATGACGTTGGCCAGTGGATAATGTCACTTATGCTGATCCAGGAAAACATTTGGACATTTTGTTTTCCAAGATTTCTTCATAAAAAATGCTTCTTTCCCACAGACTTGGATTGGCACTTTCAAGTACATAAACCTGTTTGTAGATAAAAAGCTAACGTTGACGATGATACTGAGACTTGTCTGCGCAGGCCCTCGGTGTGAGTTCGAGGACAGCTGTCTCTCCGGCCCCTGTGCTAACGGCGGCGTGTGCACGGCTCGCTCCAGTCAGAGCTACGACTGCTCCTGTCCGTCAGGATACACAGGTCCTCGATGTCTCAACGACACCGACGAGTGCGCGGCCACACCCACAATTTGCCAGAACGAAGGCCTGTGCATCAATACTCCCGGCTCATACAAGTAAGTCTGAATACACACTGTAAGTAAGTAAGTAAGTAAGTTTTATTTATATACCGCCTTTCACAGACCAGAGTCTCAAAGCGGTTTACAATTGTTATTTTTGGGCATTTGTCTCTCACTCCACACAGAGATGGGAGCGGGGCCAGTACAGGAGGCACATGCCAGAACTATTGTACATATTTTTAGTGGTAGGGGAAACCGGAGTACCCGGAGGAAACCTACGCAGACACGGGGAGAACATGCAAACTCCACTCAGAAAGGCCCTTGTCCGGCCGGGATTCGAACCAAGGACCTTCTTGCTGAGAGGCGAGAGTGCTATCCACTCAGCCACCGTGCCGCCCGTGACTGCATCAATAGTGGTAGAACATGTAATAGACTGGTGCTCTAGAGTTCTCTTTTGCTCTGATATTTTGCTTAATCTGACTTACTAACTAATCTGTCTGATGTCTGAGAGTGTGTGTGTGTGTGTGTGTGTGTGTGTGTGTGTGTGTGTGTGTGCGTGCGTGTGTGTGTGCGTTTTGTCTCATTCCATTCATGTGTATTTTAACATTGTGTATGATTTGATTAATTGCACTGTATGGGATTTTTTTAATGTGTTTAATATTGAATGGGGGATTGAGATTATACAGGTGAAAATCTGAAAATTAGCATAACAAATGTATTTCTGTAAATCTATGTATTGTTGTCCAACCAATACATGATATTGATTCATTATATGCAAAGTGACCTATTCCAAGCCTTTGATTATGGCTTACAACGGGCGATTTTTTACAAGCAGTGAGAGAATTATCAACATATCAAATAAGGGCTTTGCGTGTTCTGTAAATCAACTTTTGAGCAATATTCTGAGTTTCACCTGTTTATATTATTGTAATGTATCCAGGATTGAAATAATCAAATCTAATGATTCTCTGAGTAACTGACTACAATATGTTGCAGGTGTATTTGTGACTCTGGCTTCACGGGGCGACACTGTGAGAGCTCATACGTGCCGTGTTCCCCTTCTCCCTGTCTCAACGGAGGAACCTGCCAGAGCTACGACTTCAGCTACTCCTGTCACTGCCTGCCCGGTACGACCTTAAACCGATTTCAAAACAGCAAAACGCCAAAATCCACTCACCGCCTTCTTCATGTGTGCATCTAGATACACAGATGTACACTCTTCTCAGGTGTAGCATACATTTCAGGATCTACAATCTCCAGTGGGGCTGATAAATATATTGTATTGATATCAAGATTATTATTATATGACTTGGATCGTACGCGCGCTCTGATTGGCTGATTTGCGGTCTGATATTTTCCCATCTCGGACCGTTACCATGACAATCAGTCCGCAGCGCGTATCAGATTTTATATCGTTCTTCGGTAAAAAATAGATATTTAGCGAGGACTGGGAGCATTCTCAGTGAAATCTATCATCAGGACGAGTTGGAAGAGCCAGAGCAAGTAAAAACAGCAAATAACGACGAAAACACAACTCTTAACAGTCAAGAAGAGATCGACAACTTGGTTACAGACCAGAAAGGTAAAAACAGGACCAGGAAAACCAAGTGGGACATGAACATCACAAATATCTAAAAAGCATTGGTAAAGACACAGACTGAGAACTTACAGCGGGCGCCTCAATCCTCTGATCCAGTGTCTCCCAAAGTGGGGTCCGCGGCCCCCTGGTGGGCCGCGAGGGTACTGCAGGGGGGGCCGCGGGAGGTCATAAAAAAAAAATATATATATATATAATTATTTAATGTTAAATTTATAATGTTTTGTTTGTAATATTAACATATTTGTGTTCATTATTTGACTTGAATAATACACTGTAATAATTTTTGTATTACAATGTTTGTAGCAGAGGCTATTTCCCCAAAATAAAATAACCAGAAGAGCCTATTCTTAATGTTGTCTTCTTGGTTATTATTTTGGGGGCCACGCAGACCCGTCAGATTTTTAAGGGGGCCTCGGTGTTACTGAGTTTGGGAATGGCTGCTCTGATCAGTTCTTCGTGTCACAGTTTGAAAGTTTGGCTGCATGTGTTTTTAGTTGAAACCGATCGATATTTGCATATAATGCAAATATCGATGTTTTATTCATATAATAAAACATGTGTTAACCTCGCGCTCGTTAAATAAGCCGCTAATATAGAAGAAGTAGCAAAATAAACATGGATTATATTATATATCCAATACAGCTTTACTCTTTTGTATTATCAAATCTGTAGTTATATTGTATCAAAGTCTTGCTGTATGTCACCGTCTATGTCGTCCACAATAATCTCCGCTGTAATTAAGTTCTATTTTTGGGATTTTCAACTGAACCGTATATGAACTCATTAATTATCTCCTTTACAATGTACTCTTATAGACTGCTGAAGTTGATAGTACACAGAGACTTGTTCTGGTTCCTGCATGACAAAACAGCCCTGATTTGAGAGAGTTACAATGTGTTTAACGTACAAACAGTCTGTTCTCTAGCGTGCTGCAAAGTGACGGCAGAGATAACAGACGACACATGAATACTGTTTATCCAGCACCAGGACCTTTGATAATCCTCACCCACCATGTGCTAATATACACCTGGTACTACATAAACAACAACCTTCGCTCAAGCTCAGAACGGTTCTCCCTCATCGAGTCTTGCTCAAATGTTGTGTTCTATGCGTAAACGGTACATATGTCTATAGATAAATGGCTAATAGGGAAGTGCTCATGGACACATTTTTTAGCTCCAACTCACTTACATTGAATCGTAAACTCCTCGAGCTCAGTAACTGTGTCTGTTATCTTTCACCAAATTAGGCATTAGCTCGTCAGTAGCGTGAGACGGGACAGACCGGCACTGCTCCTGATTGGCACTTAGTAAATCGGCTGTTCCTACCAACAACTCTGGGATACATTTGGCTTCACGTTGTTGCTCAAATAGCCTGTTCAAGCTAGCTCTAAATGGCTTCTTCCACATTAAGGCGAACAGATGGGTGTCTTCACCACTCGGTCATTCCACTTCTACTAAACAATCTATGGTTCTAGGTTAAAACGGTATTATCTTGAAGGCAACACTTTTGAGTTACTATCTGTAATTCTTGCATGATTTTAGGAATGTATGTTTTCTATTGTGAACTGCAATGTACAATTCTAACCTTTTCATCATATTTTCTGGATGTAGTTACAGGTAAGTTGTAAGTAATGTTTATTTATATAGCGCATTTCACAGACCAAGGCACAGACCCAAAGCGCTTTACAATGTTCAGAGTCAGATATTGTTCCAATCCTTCCACACACGGTGATGACAGAAGCGAGTCCAGAACACACTGGACCATCAGCTCCAACACCATCCATTCACTCTCTCATTTACAGTCAGACCTATTGTGCATGTTTTTAGTGGTAGGGAAAACCGGAGCACCCGGAGGAAACCTACGCAGACACGGGGAGAACATGCAAACTCCACTCAGAAAGGCCCTGTTCCGACCGGGATTCAAACCCAGGACCTTCTTGCTGAGCGGCGAGAGTGCTATGCCGCCCATAACTTAAGTAACTTATAGGGACAGGAGTTCTATCATATTGAGACTTTTTTCTTGACACTTGTAAGGACCAATGAATAAATAGATACATAATTAATTAAGTATAACAAGAATACGTACATAAATATTAAAGTAAAAGTGACTAAATGCTGAATGTTTGTGTTGTTTTCAGGGTTTAACGGCACAAACTGTGAGAACAACATAGACGACTGCCCAGGCCACCAATGTGCCAATGGAGGGACCTGCATGGACGGGGTCAACACTTACAACTGCCAATGTCCTCCAGAGTGGACAGGTACTTTCAGTTTATTCATAACAGTAAGTAAGTAGTAAGTAATGTTTATTTATAAAGTGCATTTTACAGACCAAGGTCACCCAAAGCACTTTACAATGTTCAGATCAATATCCTAGGATTCAGTTATAGTCTTGTTAGGGAATTCTCTTCTTGCACATTGCCCTTAATGCTTTGCGGAAGTTCTTTCTGTGGATATTTTGGTTGCCTGTAAAATTGTTTTGTGTTTTTGATGTTCAATGATTAATTAAGAGCACAACTAAAGTAGCGTAGTTTTTTCAGTTGCTTTACCCACTTTGAAAGAGCAGAGCGTTTTGCTAATGTGCAAGTGACAACAACATCATACATTTTACATGCCAAAAGTGCTTTTACAACATCAGACTTTCAGGGGGGCTTGAGGCAATGTGCGGTTAAGTGTCTTGCCCAAGGACACAATGACATCAGTGGGAAAAAGTGTACATTTGGAAAACAATTAATATTGGTCAGAAGTGTATTTATTTCTGTATTCAACCTAAAATTTGAAATTAATATATTGTATAGACTAATTGCATGCACAGTGACATGTTTACCCTTTTAGAAAAAATAATGTGTCAAATAATAACATTTTCTGAGATGTTTTATCAGGTTTTCACAAACTCTGAGCCAATTATCAACATTATAACAATTAAAGGCATGATATATCTCACATTGTGCGTAATGAGTGTGTCATATATTAGTTTCACATTGTAAGTTGAATTAAATACATAAGTAAATGGCCTCCTGGACCATATTCTAATTCTTCGAGTTTTAATGAATCATATCGTAGCCTTGAGAGAACCCTGCCCTAACTGCGCTGTTAAACCCCACAGGTCAGCACTGCACCGAGGACGTGGACGAGTGCCGCCTCCAGCCCAACACGTGCCAGAACGGGGGCACGTGCAGCAACTTACCGGGCAGTTACGTGTGCGTCTGCGTCAACGGCTGGATGGGGCCCGACTGCTCAGAGAACATTGATGACTGTGCCAGCGCAGCCTGTCATACGGGGTCCACCTGCATTGACCGTGTGGCCTCCTTCATCTGCGTCTGCCCGCACGGAAAGACCGGTAACGGGAACGCGCCACAATGATAATGTGGTCATCGTCACGGTTTAGTGCTCAGTAGATTTAGTAACTTAACCTAGAACTATTCAGTGGCATGAAGTACATATGTAAGGTGGAAACAGTGCAAATATCAAAGCATCTGAATTGTTTTAATATAAATTGTGAGTTTCAGTTTGCTGCACGCTAAATTAAATACATTGGAAAGCTGTCTGTTTCTAAATCACACACTCAGTCACTATTAGTTCATGCTGTACTGTATGTCTTTTGCAAAATCATTGACAATATACTCTGGGTTAGCTTTGTGTGCGTTTTGCTTAACAAGATATTTTGCTTCTTCTAGATATTTAAAGCAGTTTTACGTAAATTACCCATATGCACATAAGCAGAAGAGTTTATGACCTGGATTTGAAGTTTAGAGATTTCACCTACATAAATGAGACAACGGATTCCATGAAAATGAATGTATTATACCCACTAATAAGATGTATGACCCTATTAGGATTAATACCAGTATAGAGTTGTGCTATACTAGTATTCACTTTACTTTGTGTGTTTTGTTACTGTTCTTTAACCTGTTTTGCCACACTCAAATTTCCCTACTGTCGCATAAAGGATCTCTTAATCTTAATATTAATGTATATCAAGTCTGACATGCACATTGTAATTTCTGTCCTTGTCGCCCATAGGTTTGCTGTGCCACAGAGATGATGCTTGTATCAGTAACCCGTGCAGAGAAGGCTCCCACTGCGACACAAACCCCATCAGTGGCAAGTTTAACTGCAACTGCCCCACTGGGTACATGGGCAGCACTTGTAACATAGACCGAGATGAATGCAGCATCGGTATGACCTTCTCCTACCTTCCCTTTAGTCCCTTTTATCGTCAGGGGAAATTCGTTTTTATCGCTTGGTGCTCTCTCTCGCAGGTGCAAATCCTTGTGAGCATGGAGGCCAGTGCGTCAACACAGACGGGTCCTTCACGTGCAACTGTGTGCGGGGCTTTGCCGGACCTCGCTGTGAGCAAGACGTCAACGAGTGTGCGTCCAGCCCCTGTCAGAATGATGGCACCTGTTTGGACCGCATTGGAGAGTACACCTGCATCTGCATGCCTGGTATGTACAGTATATAAGGAGAATCGCCCAAACCCCTGAAGGGCATGGATGTTCAGTCTGTTTTCTCTTGCTCCAGGATTTGAAGGGACTCATTGTGAAATTGAAATGAATGAGTGTCTGAGCTCACCTTGTCTGAACCAGGGGAAATGTTTGGATCAGGTCAGTCGCTTTGTCTGCGAATGCCCGGCAGGTTAGTAACGTTTAGGTAGTGAAAAGAAAATATTTTTGTGCTTACTTTGACAATCATTCATTATGTATGTTGCTTCCTTTTTCAGGTTTTAGTGGTGAAATGTGTCAAATAGACATTGATGAATGCTCCAGTACACCCTGCTTAAATGGAGCTAAGTGCACTGACCGGCCAAATGGATACGACTGTGAATGTGCAGAAGGTCTCCAAATCACTTTAGCTCCAGTAAATCTGAATGACTCGATGGTACATTGTTGCTAAATGCTACATGTTTCTTGCATAGGCTTTATGGGTGTGCTCTGTGAGGAGAATGTCAACGACTGCATGCCTGAGCCATGCCATCACGGTGTGTGCAAAGACGGCATTGCCACGTTCTCCTGCGATTGCCACCTTGGATACACAGGCTCCATCTGCAACATCCAGGTGCAGGAGTGCCACAGTAACCCCTGTCAGAACAGAGGCCGCTGCATCGACCTGGTTAACGCTTACCAGTGCAACTGTCCACCAGGCACCACAGGTGAAGGACACTATCACTGAGATTGTGTGTGTGCGCACATTTCCAACACTTAAGCTTCCTTTGTTGTAAAACTCAACATTTTATCCATTGTATCAGTAAGTTGTAGTTATGACTGTGATCTTTTGAAAACATGGCGTCCTGCTGCGTGATCGCGGCTGCTCCACATGTTGCTCTGCAAGCACAAAGCTCTGCATGCTGTACCAGCCCGAGGCCTGGTACTTGGAGCTCAGCCACACTCCCCAAAGGCTTAAATTGTCATGTTATAGTTTGGTCTTTTTTGGTTTTGTAGAAACATTCAGTTCTGCTTTTCTGGAGTTTCTTGTTCCTTTTTATTACTGTTTACATAATTGGTTCAATTCCCTTTTAAATTCATGAAAAGGCCTACATACATTCTTACAACATTGTTTGGTTTATGCTACACTATTTTGTGGCATTTTGCTCCCCCTAGTGGCAAGTAAAAGGACAATCACAGTTATGCAAGTCATTATTTTGCTAAAAAAAAAAATTTCCTTTAAATTCTCAGGAGTGAACTGTGAATTTAATGAAAATGACTGTGCTAACAAACCTTGTGAAAATGGAGAGTGCATTGATGGCATCAATGATTATGAATGTGTCTGCACTCCAGGATACACAGGTAAGAAAGTGACTCTCACTAAGTTAAGGATTAAATGGCCTGGCAATAATAACCATATCACCAATGGTCAAATCCTGTAGGAGTGAAGTGCAATGTGGAAATTAACGAGTGTGCCTCAAACCCGTGCATGAGTGGGGGCACTTGTGTGGACAAAATCAACGGTTTTCAGTGTCTTTGTCCTTCGGGCACCCATGGTCCTCTGTGTCTCTCTGGGATGGACCACTGCGTTCACCGGCCCTGTCTTCATGGAGACTGCATTGAACAGCAACATGGGTAAGCATTAAAACATAAGGCTATTAAGCTGAGATGTGAACTGTATAAATGTCCATTCTTTGTTCAGATACCACTGTGATTGTGAGCCTGGTTGGATGGGAGAGCATTGTGAGTCAGAGAGAGACGAGTGCCAGAGTAACCCTTGCCAGAATGGAGGCAGCTGTGTCGACCATCACAATGGATACACATGTCAATGTAAAACTGGTTACAGAGGTAAATACACATTGAAATATCATTTACTGTCATGACTAGTTCATTATCTGGTATTGTGGTGTTCTCACACACTGCTGCGTCTCCTACAGGTTTGAACTGTGAGATTGACATAGATGAATGTGCCTCTCGGCCATGTCAGAACCACGGTATCTGCAAAGACGGAGTCAATAGTTACAGCTGCCAATGTAGTCCACCTTTCACAGGTCTGCAATTTTTAGCATATTTATCATGGATGTGTGGAGTAAAGCATTTGGATGAAATTCTTATTTCATTGTGTTCTGAAAGGAAAACACTGTTCCGAAGAGCTTGCTCCGTGTGCCTCTCATCCTTGTGAAAAAGGCGGCGTTTGTCGTCCAACTCCAGACTACACATCTTACATCTGTCTGTGTCCAGTTGGATGGAAAGGTATACATCTCTATACATTAAGATAATCAATAAATATTGATTTACAGCAGGGTTATATGTCTTATTAACATGTTTGTCAACGCTTCCAGGCCCACGCTGCAGTGAGGATGTTGATGAATGTAAAACAAATCCTTGCAAAAACAACGGCCAATGCATTAACAGTCCTGGCAGCTACACATGCAGGTGTCTCTCAGGGTACAGTGGACACAACTGCGAGACAGACATAGACGACTGCTCCCCCAGTGAGTTTCACTTATTATGTTAATTACATCCATTTAAGGGGACATATCTGAAAAATCTACAATGTTTTAGTTTGCATTTACACGCTCAGAGCTGTTTTAGTGCAATTCATGTTTGTTGTTTCTATCCTATATATCTTTTGTTCTCCCCTCAATCCTCTGACTGCAGACACCTCCCTCCCTCTGGCTCTTCTTACTATGTTCGGTCATTTTCTTTCCTGAATCTGTCGAACGTGGACCCACCCGCCTCACACAGCCTTTTGCTCATAGGAAAAAAAAGTATTATATAAATGTAATTTGGGTTATGCCACCTTCAAACAATATTATTTATTTGTAAATCTGCTGTAAGTCTGTAGAATCACATTAAGCTCTTGCTCTCTCTCCAGACCCATGCCTGAATGGAGGGTCTTGCGTGGACTCTGTGGCTGGCTTCACCTGTGATTGTCGCTTGGGATTCAAAGGGGACCGCTGTGAGACTGAAGTGGATGAATGTGCCTCACAGCCCTGCAGGAATGGTGCCGTGTGCAGAGACTATGTCAACAGCTTTGTGTGCGAGTGTCGTCCCGGGTTTGGCGGGATTCAGTGCGAAAAAAACATTATCGTATGCACAGAAAGGTAGGACAACTATTTAACAATCATAAAGGGCTGTAACAATTGATTAACTGCTACTAATTGGTTATTGAAAGTTATTGAATAGTTGTCTATTTTGAACCTTACATAAACTTAAACATGTTGAGTAAATGTTATGACTCAGATCATGAATGAACCCTATGCACAATTTCTAACACTTTGACATTGAAACGTTTTAAAGTTTTATATTTAATAAATAAATTATTAGTTGGTTCATAATAACCAACCTTATCAACAATCCTTATAGCATTTTTTGCAATTTAAATAAAGAATCTATAAATATTTTTTCCAGCATTCCCCCAGATCTCCGCACAATATGACAGATTAGACAGAACTAAAGAACTATAGATCAAAAATAATCCCCTTTTATTCAAGTTCCTTGTTTTGAATAATAATGACCTTGACACTTTATGTTTGACATATTCAATGTGCTGTTTCCAACAAAGTTTATGATCTATGATTACTCCAAGAAATTTAGATTCAAAAACTCTTTAAATTTCGACTCCATTTAGATGTAATTTCACACTATCCATTTTTTTGTTCCCTGCAAATATCATACATTTTGTTTTGTTTTCATTCAAAGAAAGCTTGTTATAATCAAGACAAATTCCGTTTCTACTATTTGCAATTCATTCGGTTTTTTACCACTACAAAGTTTGTATCATCCGCGAACATGATGAATTTAAACATAGAAGATACTGCAAAAATATCATTTACATATAGTGTAAATAATGTTGGTCCCAGGACAGAACCCTGGGGTACTCCACACACAACTTTTTCTAACTGTGAATCCACGTCATCAATTTGTAGACATTGAAATCTGTTATTTAGGTGGCTTTGTAACCATTGATTTGTTTTACCACGAAGACCATAATATTCACACTTTTTCAACAAATATGCGTGATCAGTCGTATCAAAGGCTTTTCTCAGATCGACAAACACACCCACTGCATAAAGCAGTCGCAACATGTTCTACACACTCCATCACTGCGAGGGATGTTGGACGACTGCTTCTAAAGCCGTGTTCAGGGTCATTTAATAAATCATGTTTGTCAATAAAAGCATCAAGTCTAATTTCATTCCATTGTAGATTTGGCTTTATGTTTTGGATCAAGAATTTGGACCATTCTTCTTAACTTCTTCCATATCCCGTTGCATAGAAGTAGAAATGGTGGAAATGGACTTCAAATTAAAAGCAATCCGGTGCGTGGTTAGCCGCAGGAATCTTGTCTAAAATGAATGAGTTTTGAGCGAATCAGCCTTTCTTTTATTTTTTTACCGCTATGTGCAACTCTGCCTGGTGAAAAAACTGTGTAATCGTACCGAGCAACACAATCTGTAACAAGTCATCTCTATGAGGAGCATCACTTTGTTCTGGTCAAATGTAGAAACTAATCCCATATTCAGTGACAACTATTCGATTATCAAAATAATGAATGTCATTTTTTGTTTTCATTTTAGTCAATATATTTCCATCTTGGTTTTTCTTTTGCAGTTCTTGCTTAAACAATGGAACTTGCATTGATGACATAAACACCTTTTCATGCCGATGTCGTCCTGGTTTCTATGGCACGTTCTGTGAATATGAACATAATGAGTGTGACTCCCAGCCCTGTAAGAACGGCGGGACCTGCACGGACGGTCTGGGCACATATCGCTGCACTTGTCCTATGGGATACAACGGACAAAACTGCCAAGTAATATCATGGTGTACACTGTCTTCTACCTGAATGTGGTTGCTATTATATTTAATCTTGTGTTTTTTTGTGTAGAATCTTGTAAACCTGTGCAGTCATGTTCGCTGTCACAATGGAGGGTCCTGCTCACAGACCACAACCACTTGGACCTGCCACTGCACCAGGGGGTGGACTGGGATGTATTGTGACGTGCCCAATATGTCATGTCAAGACTTTGCTGCCAGAAAAAGTAAAATAATTAGACATTGAAATGCATTTGTTTCACATATTTTGTTGTGAGCGTTACCAATGTGGTCTTTCAGGTCTGAAAGTGGAGGATGTATGCAAAAATGCTGGGAGCTGCATTAATGTTGGGTATTCCCATGAATGCCAGTGCCAGCCTGGATACACGGGCAGTTATTGTGATGAGATGGTCGATGAATGCAAATCCAACCCGTGTCGGAATGGGGCCACATGTGTAGACTATCAGGGCACTTACGAATGTAAAGTAAGTATTTCTGAGTCATTCTGTTGCACTTTTCTCTCTGTCTAAAGTCAAATCAACTAACAAATACTTTGGTTGTATTTTACCAGTGTAAACCAGGCTTTCAGGGAGTCAACTGTGAGTATGATGTTGATGAGTGTCACTCCAGGCCGTGTCTCAACGGAGGAACCTGCATCAATCTCATCAACCACTTCACCTGCGCGTGTCCACCAGGAACACACGGTAACTATTACTTTACCCTCACTTTGAATACACAATCCTCTGCACATTTCATCCATCTCTCTATCGTCTGTCCTCTTTGTCCTGTAGGACTACAGTGTGAAGTAAATGAGGATGACTGTGCTCCCAAAGCTGGCTCCTCGGAGCCGCGATGTCTGAATGGGGGCCAGTGTGTGGATGGGATTGGCCGTTTCAGCTGCACGTGTCCTCCTGGCTTTGTAGGAGAACACTGTGAAGGAGATCTGAATGAGTGTCTGTCTGAGCCTTGCCAGGCCCCCGGCAGCCTGGACTGTGTGCAGCTGGACAACAACTATCAGTGCCGCTGCCGCCTGGGTTACACAGGTAGATGTTGATCATGGAGGTTTTTCAGCAGCAGGGGCCTCTGGGGTAACTGTGTTCCATTCCCTGTGCTCCTAGGCCGACACTGCGAGTCCATGGTGGATCTGTGCCTGTCCAAGCCCTGCCATAGCGGTGGGACCTGTTCTATGAACATGAGCTCAGTACATGGTTACACTTGCTCCTGTTCTCCTGTAAGTCTGTTATATCATCTCGAAACAACTCTTTCTGCTTCTTTCTACTTCTCTAATAGTAATACTAATACTAATTCACTGTAGACTAAATACTTAAATATTTATATTTCTCCTATTTTCAAATTTGCTTCAGAAGAATAAAACAGGTATGATTTCTAAATAGCTGTAGGAGGAGAAGTGGTTAATGCAGTATTTTCATTTCATTCAAATGTATATGTTTTTTCTCTTTAGGGTTTTACTGGATTCAACTGTGGCGAGCTGGAAGGTTACAACTGTGCAAAGCTGCGGTGCTTGAATGGTGGACACTGCGTAGACCAAACATCAGGACACCTGTACTGCCAGTGTCAGCCCGGCTACAGCGGAGCACGCTGTGAAAAATGTGACTGCATTAATGGAGGAACATGTGCCAAAGACCCTTCAAACAGCTTCTCATACATCTGCCTCTGTCCCCCACAATTTTCTGGACGACAATGTGAGACCAAAGCTTCACTAAACAAACCACGCAACCACATTGCAGTTTGTCCTTACCTTCAGTGTGAGAAACAGTCTGGAGATAAAGTGTGTGACGATCAGTGTAACAACTATGAGTGTGAGTGGGACGGAGGAGATTGCTCTCTCAACTGGAAGCAGCCCTGGGTTAACTGCACCGCTAGTGTGTTCTGCTGGGACCTCTTCAAGAATGGACAATGCAATAGGGAGTGTGACAACCCTGGGTGTCTGTTTGATGGCTTTGATTGTCTGGAGGATATTCCAGAGCCTTGCAAGTATGTCTCAATATTGTTATATTATTTACATACTGTATATAAAACCACGCTGCAACAACGCTGTGTTTTTTCTCCAGATATGACAAGTACTGTGGAGATCACTATGACAATGGCTTCTGTGACCCAAGTTGCTACACTGAGGCGTGTGGCTGGGATGGCTTGGACTGTTCAAAAGATTCCACACCCAAATTATTAGGAGGAGTTCTGATCATTGTGGTTCGGCTTCAGCCAGAGGAGCTGCTTGGAGGCTTGAGAGGCTTCTTGCGTTCCCTTGGGGCACTGATACATACAAATGTCAAGGTGAAGTTGGATGAAAATAATAAGCCAATGGTCTACCCTTATTATGGGCAAGAGGAGGAGACTGGGTGGGACCTGTTTAAGAGCCGAAGCAAGCGTGAACTGGACAGAGAAGTGATTGGGTAAAGCTTAAAATGTTTAGCTTATTGTATTCAATCATACTGTAAAATTTACATATTTTATTTCATTCTTGCTAACAGCTCTCAGGTCTATCTGGAAATAGATAACAGAGAATGCTTCCAGAGATGTGTCTCAACCATAAATGAAGCTGCATCCTTCATAGCCGCTGCTCACATCAAAGCAGATCTTCCATATCCTCTCATATCCATAAGCAGTAAGTTCACACTATATCCCACTCTACAATTAATACACATTTCTCACATTGTTTAATAATGTGTGACTGCTCTGTCTCTCCTAGGTGATCCAACTATAGTCCCAAAACAAGACTATTTGATGTATGTGATCGGAGTAGCCGTGGTGATTATTCTGCTCATCGTTGTCTTGGGTATGTTAGCAGCCAAAAGGAGACATAAACAGGGCGTCTTGTGGCTGCCGGATGGATTCTTGCCTAGCAAACATGACAAGAGGAGAGAACCTGTTGGCCAGGATGACTTTGATCTGAAGTAAGTAGATCAATGTTGTATAATGTCGGCTGTACTGGAAAAAAGTACTAACTTGATGAATATTTACAAAAAGACACTTCAAGACACAGGACATTGGCACGGGCGACCAGGGTTCGGGATGGATGGAAGATGAAGCGGCTGCCAAGAAGCCGAGAGTGAGTCAACTCCAGACACAATGATACTTTTTTGTCATTAAAGGTCTTTGTAGTAAAACAAGCTATTCGTGTAGACGGAGAACAAGCCGCTGCTTCCTATAAGTATGGACGGAGGTGTGGATCAAAGACAGTGGACCCTACAGCATCGCAAGGCTGCTGATATCACCCTAACTCCACCACAGGCAGACACGGACAGCGATTGCCTTGACGTGAATGTGAAAGGTCCAGGTGTGCGGAATCCTGCTGCGTTCGATGGATCTATGTCTGCAGCTCTAGTGTTAACTGTTGTGCTTAACATTTCAGACGGTTTCACACCACTAATGCTGGCATCATTACGTAACGGTGGAGGGCCTGACTGTAGCATACACGGAGAGGAGGAGGAAGAGAGTGGAGGAGAAGAACAGGGACCCAGTGTCATTTCAGACCTTATAGCTCAAGGTGCTTCACTGATGGCTCAGACTGACCGCACAGGAGAGACCGCTCTGCATCTGGCTGCCCGCTACGCCCGAGCTGATGCTGCCAAACGGCTGCTGGACGCTGGAGCTGACCCCAACTCTCACGACAACATGGGCCGCACTCCGCTCCACGCAGCAGTGGCGGCCGACGCACAGGGAGTCTTTCAGGTCTGTGCACTTAAACAAGCCCTCTGCACATGCTCCAAATCATTGCCATTTCACTACAATGTTATATTTTTCCATAGATCCTCATCCGTAACCGTGCAACCGAGCTCGATGCCCGAATGAATGATGGTACCACACCTCTGATCTTGGCTGCCAGACTCGCTGTGGAGGGCATGGTGGAGGAGCTCATTCACTGCCACTCTGACATCAACGCAGTAGACGACCACGGTGAGGCTGCGGTTTGACATTTCTGTTACATTTAGTGCTATACCTGTTGTATGACCATGTTCACTTGTTCTGGTTCATCTTAGGCAAATCTTCTCTGCACTGGGCAGCCGCTGTGAACAATGTAGAGGCGACTCTAGTTCTTCTTAAAAATGGAGCTAATCGTGACATGCAAGATAACAAGGTTTGTTTGTTTGTGTGTTTGTTTTCTCTTTTGCTGTGGCTGTTTTTGGATATAATGCAATCATACTTTTCTACATTTCAGGAGGAGACACCCTTATTTCTTGCTGCCAGAGAGGGTAGCTTTGAAGCTGCTCAGGTTCTTTTGGATCACTACTCAAACAGAGACATAACTGATCATTTGGACAGGTTACCCCGGGACACAGCTCAGGAGCGCATGCACCATGACATTGTTCGTCTGCTTGACCAGTACAATCTGGTTCATAGTCCTCATAATGGGCAGCACATGGGAGGAAACTCCTCTATTGTTTGTGGCGCTAACGGAGCTGGCTACATCGGCATGCGTACTGGGCCACAGGGGAAGAAGAGCAGGAGGGGTGGAGGTGGTGCGAAGGTGGCTGGTGGAGGGCCGAAGGAGCTTAAGGACATGAAGGCCAAACGCAGAAAGAAGCCTGCCGGAGGAGAGGGGCCAGGGACCGGAGGCAGCTCAGCTGGAAATGGAAATTCAGTAGGCGCCCAAACTAATGGTGTGAAGACGGCAGGACTTCCTGAGAGCTCCATCACCATGTCCCCTGTGGATTCCTTGGAGTCCCCTCACTCGTACACCGGGGAAGTATCTGTGCCTGTGTCCACTGCAGCTAACTCCCCTCCCCTCCTCAGCAGCCCAAGCAGCAGGCCTCTGCTGCCTCCAGTCAGCCACATGCTGGGCCAGCAGCAGGGCTGGGTGGGCATGCCTAAACATGGCTACAACGGCCCCATGTTTGGGCTAGTTTCACACCAGATGAGTGGACCGCACTCTGGTATGGGCCAACACCGAAGCCAGGGGGCCATGCTTACACCAATGAATGTGACCATGAGCAGAGAGCAGCTTCCTCCCATCGTCACCTTCCAGATGATGGCCACAGGAGGAGGGCAGCCCATGTTGAAGCCACCTCAGCCTGGCCAGGTCCAGGTCACACAGTCCCAAGGTCCAACCACCCAGCAGGGGGGTCCACACCTGCACTGCTCCCAGATATACCAAATGCCCGAACAGATGAACATGGCACATGCCCTGTCCCACACTCACCCTCATACTGTCAATCACAATCACAGCATCGATGGCCAGTCCCGAGCACTGCCGTCTTACCCCACCATGCAGAGCCCTGTGGATAAATACCCCACACCCCCCTCACAGCACAGCTACACCCCTGCCAGCTCAGAGGGCACCACTCCGGCTCATTCTGCCCACCCTGCCAGTGAGCACCCGTACCTCACGCCTTCTCCAGAGTCCCCAGATCCATGGTCCTCCTCCTCCCCTCACTCCAACTCGGACTGGTCAGATGTGACCACAAGCCCCACCCCCCTGAACAGCGTCCATCATGCACTAGCCTCTTCACGCCGCACTCACATTCCGGAGCAGGCGCAGCATCCGACGCAGTCACAGCAGATGCAGCAGACGCCACAGCAGGCCCCGCTGGGGAACATGCAGGTGTTTGCATAGACTTAACCAAATGGACTACATCTTTATTAGTGACTCTTTGCTCTTTTTCTTTATAAGTATCATATGTTTTTCTTTTAAAGGTTGATTGTCTCTTCTTTCTTAATGCACTTGATAAATCTGTGTTTTCTTTCCAAAAGTATTACTCATAAATATGCAAGTTCTTGTTACATTATTCATGGATGGCTTCAGTTTGAAGACTTTGGACTTTAAATATGTTCATAAGAAATCATTCAGAAACCACTGACTTTGTAGACAACTGGTAGAACTGGTATTGTATTAAATGTGTTGCGTGTACAATGTCAATACTAACGTGTGGAAAACTTAAAATCAAATGCTTTCATATGATGGGTCAAATTATGCTTTTATTCTTAAAGCTGAACAATTGAATATGATGTAAAGTCACAGTGTCCCCCGGAAGAGGAGTATTTTCACACTCCAGGTTTCTCTCATGCTTTAGATGAAGTTTACTTCTTGTGGTGGCGTCTTACTTAATACAGCGTTTTTATCTTTCACAAGATTAGTGCCAAATTTACATAAATATAGACACAATGTATTTTTTATATCATCAAGTTGAAAACATTATTTTTTTAACAGTAATACACAAAAGAGTCTGTCCAACTCAGTGTGAGACTTACAGCATATTCTGCTTGTACATACAGAGGTTGCCAGTGTTCGTGTATAAAGGTGTCTTGCTCTGTTTATGAAAATATTGCACTTCTTCAGTTACTTTGAATGTTCCAGAGGTGCGAGTTTCCCTCTTTAATGTCTCTTTATCTCGTCTTCCAAAGTCATACATCGGATTTGCTTTAATACAATCAGTATTTTCTGCACTTTTAATAATTGTCCTTGCGAATAAGAGTGGAGTAGATCCTCTTATTTGACTCTCACAGACAATCTTTCATGAATCCCAAAAATAGCATCACAATATTGTGGACCAATTTTGTATAATTTGTTGCCATTTCTTTTTTAAGATATGCAAAGTTATATTTAATTAAATAAATAAAAACGTTTAATGCAACCTAACCATACAATCATCTGTAATTTAACATGTTTAGCTTTTTCCTTGTTCTGTATATAAATGTTGTGTTCATTGTACTTTGTTACCAAATAATCCATGATTTACATATTATGTTACATGAAGTAGTTGTCAGCATATTTGTATACGGTAGAAATAAATAAAGGCATTTTGTTTAAAAAATGTTGCCCAATTAAAAGTTTAGTACAAACTCTCATAAAGTTTCTTTCTGCTTCTAAAAATATTATTACTGAATTAGGTCCGAATAATGACCACACTCATTCTCCCTTTAAATTCTGTATATTTTTTTCATACATGTGTTTGGGGGTTAAATAACCAACTACTTCTGGAAGACATTCAGAATACTAATTTTGAGAAACTAATCAGTGACAGTTTTTCTTTCAAACTGATTGACCTATTAGATAGATACTTTATTGATCCCCTGTAGGAGAAATGCAGGTGTCCAGCAGCAGAAGACTGTTGTACATTTAAAAGGATCTCTTTTAAATGTATTTTATCTTCTGTAAAAGCCCCCTGTGTGGACTAGTGTCGAAAAATAGCATCTGTGCTACAAGCAATACATCTGGTTCGTCCAATGTTGTTATGTCCATATTAAATAAATAAACAATAAAACGTTCCGTTCGGCAGCGTAGTGATAGGAGCCTGTTGGTTGCCACGGTTACTCCTCTGAGAGGCCATAGTGTCATGCAGAGGGTGTCTGGAGTTACCCAGGATGCACTGCAGTGCCCTCTCCAGCACAGCTCCCACAGAGTCCACACTTCTCCCCATCACAGAAACACATTTCCTGATCAGCCTGTCGAGCCGGTTACACACGGCACTAGCTACAACAGACTGGTAAAATATGAGCAACACCTGAATGGTCACATCAAAGGACCTCAGTCTCTCAGAAGAAGAATCTGCTCTGACTTTTCTTATGGACAGCATTGCCCTGGGCTGAGCTGAGCTGAGCTGAGCTGAGCTGAGCAGTCTGTGGTCCAGGTGGACTCCAAGGTACAGTATATGTATGACTGTACTTTGGTTTATTGTCATAAAAAAAACAAAAAAAAAATACACTATGTTCTTTCTGGCATAGTTTGTCACAGGCTCTACTTTCAATATGTAAAATGTGACGTTTTTTGAATGACTGTTTTTTTGAAATATTTGAGCAACACTTTTTGGATGTGGGTGTGAGTGTGTGTGCCATAAAATGTATTATTTTGCATCAGAAACCGTCTCATAACTTTCTTTTGCTGTTTTCCAAAAGAGACTAGGCAAGTATGATGAGGCTCTAAAGTTAAACTAAATAGTGTCAAAATCACTTTTCACTGTTTTCACAAACACCTCATTTTCTCAGCTTATGTCTGAGACTATAGTGATTTTTGTCAGACTTCACTCTATTCGACTGGAGATCACAGGAGAACAAGCTAGAAACAAACTTATTTTGGCTGCTGAAAGTAGGCAGTCCAGTCTTTGATTTTTTACACAATACTCTGTTGGTCTGGAAAATCTGTGAAATTGTCAATATTTTGTATTAGTGTGCAAAGGAGACAGTATTTGCGGATATTTCATCAAAATACAATTTGGAATTTATTGCAATATTTCTTGAATGATTGCCAGAATACGTAATAAAACCAAAAAAAATAAAACCTATAATATATATAAATATAAAAACATAATATTTTCAAAAACAAGATAGGGGTCCAGGTGGGAGTAATGACAAACGCATAGCAACAATATTACTTTATGATAATAACATAAAAGTCTTCCTATGTGTGCAGAAAGCAACACTCAGACAGGACCAAAACCATAAAATATAATCTGTGACGAAAATATTCCAGTTGTCTCCGGCAGGTGGCGGTAACGCGCTTTACAACGTGTCGCTCCCACAGAAGAAGATGAAGAACTTTGTACACGGAAGTAGAGCGTGCCCGCCCCGTGGCTCGCCCCTCTCACGGACCTGACGCCTGATTCCAGCCCCTGTTCGCCGTGTGTGGGTCTCTGCTGGAGGTTCGTGAGGAGCGGGGTGCACTGGCCCGGACGATGGCGCTCTCTGCGGGGATTCTGTCGCGATAATCCGGCCTCTAAAGTGGACAGTGCGTGGGTTCAATGGACTGCAGGTCGGAGCTGGTGTTGTGACAGCTGGTTACCTGTGTGTGCACGCATGAAGACGTCTGGAGCAGATTTTTAACAAACATACACGGTAATTATGAATGGTTGCATTGATCACAGAACACAGACTGAAAAGTTCTTTGTTCAGCACTTTGAGTTGCCTTGTGTATGAATTGTGCTATACAAATAAACTTGCCTTGCCTTTGCAAAAATACGGAAATAATGTGCTTCATTATAGAGATATCTGCATTTATTTTGCCTTAAACTCCTCTTATTAAATGTAGCCAAACGTATTACTATATTAAACAGTATATGTATGATCAGAGTAGGATGAGACCAGGGTTAAAGCTGATAATCATAGCCCATAGATGACACATACTGTCAAAGAAGAGATGTAGAACTTTGTGGTAGATTTTTTTTCTCATGTGGATTGGCCCAGATATTAAGAAGATATTTCTAAACAAAGACTTTATCTGACTTTTGACACTTACTGTAGTTACCAAGAAAGATTCTTCAACTTCCTCCACCACAATTTTTAACTATAAGCTCTTTTTGGAATGTTGTGATCCCAGGAACTGCAAACTGTTATTACTATGTGCATAAAGTAGTTTTTCTCATTCCACAGAAAACAATATTTACACAGTCTACTGAAACTGTGTCTGAAATCAGAGCAACATTGTTCACGTTTAATTAATTGTGAATGTAATTATTTTTATATTTTGTACATTGAAAGTGTGCATTTATGTCCCAAAAGCCTTCTTTGGACAAGTGTTGAAAATTAGCATGGTCTTGCTTTAACACTAAAGGCATCTGGTGTGTCCAATGTAACCGTGTTGTGTCCATATGAAATAAAAAACTGCATCTTTAAAATGATATCATTGTCTATCTTGTATTTCTCACTGACTGTATTTCTGTGCACAGTCTTTGTCTCGATCCAGCCGTGGCTATGGCGTCTTCCCGGCTCAAGTACATGTCCCTGGGTGTGCTGGTGTTCCAGACCACGTCCCTTGTGCTCACCATGCGTTACTCTCGCACGCTGCAGTCGGACGGCCCGCGGTACCTGGCCTCCTCCGCTGTGGTGGTGGCCGAGCTGCTGAAGATCCTCACCTGCGTCATGCTCGTCTTCAAGGAGCACAGTGAGAACACCCACTGAAGTCTTATTTGTTCAACACCAATACTCACAAAGCTTAAGCATACAGAGCACACAAAATAATCTGACTGTATTTATCCACCTGATGCTTTACCTTAGCACTGACATGTTGGAACAGTAATGAGCTCTATGCACGCATCACTTCCGCGTTTTATTTAGAACCCCACTTGACTTCCTGTGCGCGGGGAACGGCTTGAGTTTCACTGGAGTTCAGCGGATGTTTACGAGAGTTTCCTAAATAATGCTCAAACGGGAATTAAACTTTGAGGATACTGGGCATTTTTGCGACACAGCAGTGCTCTTTGATTGTGCTGTCATTGTGTTTTTATAAACTTAACTAATCTCTCTGAGTGGCCACAAGCTCTACCTCAGAGAGAAAGCACGTCGACACTTTTGGGTCAGTCTCAGCTGAACGTATCAATCTAATTACCAAAAAACGTCACTACAACAACTCCCCTAAAAGCCATAGCGTTAGCACAGACAGGAAGTGAATTGTAAATAACTTTTCTATAATTTATTGTAAAAGCACTTTTGATCTTCACACATTCTTTACTGTAGCAGAAGAAGTCATTTCATGTCTGCAGTGTAAATGAAGGCGCCATACAACCAGAGAAAACAATAAAGCAGAGACAATGTTTGGCCAAGTTTGATCAAGTGAATTTTTTTTGTTGGGCCTAAAGGATTTAAAATGAGACGAAAGTAAAAGGAATGTAGGAGATGTAGTTGACTAATCGGAGCAATCGTTCCATTTCCCCAGAGATTGCGAGCAAACTGCGACTCAGAAAGAAAAATCTTATTATATCTGTGGTCACGATTTAAAACCTCAGGAGACAAAAACTCCTATTGTCTGCCTCCATCTTTACTGCCTTATTTCTGAGCTTGTGTCTGAGCTGAACTGAACTTTATAATTGCTTCTCGATGTATTGTACTCTAATAATAATACAAATTTAAAGCTAATCTATATTTTCAATGAGACTTTATTTATAATGACATCATAACTGTGCGTGATTGTCCATTATGTTATTATACTCTATTCTATAATCTGAAGATTTTTGGGTTAGGAATGTACACTTTGTATCGTCTGGTCCCAAAATCATAAACAAAAGCCCATGATTCAGAACAATTCCAAAACTCTGGATTTAACATTGTTCAGAAGACTGCTGTTTAATCGTCCACCTCGACCACAGTGAGGAGCAAACAATTGAATCTGTTCTGGACAACTATCCATTTTGACAAATTAAGCGTCAAGTCCAACCCTGAGCAACAATAGCGTGAATATCCTTTCATTCTGTTTAAGTGCGTTGCTGAGCTTGAGATGGTGTCCGTGTAAAACCCTCCGTTGATGATGTGATGATATTTGTATTCGTCAGGCTACAGTATGCGAGCCCTGAACAGTATCCTCCGTCAAGAAATAGCGCACAAACCGATGGAGACGTTGAAGCTCGCCATCCCCTCGGGCATCTACACTCTCCAGAACAACCTGCTGTACGTGGCCCTGTCCAACCTGGATGCAGCCACTTATCAGGTAAGGCAAGTTTATTTGAATGGCCCAGTGAATACAAAACATGAAAACTTTAAACTCCTACACACAGAAAAAGCATGAATACTCTCACAGTACAATAACATGAGAATGGATTTAAATATCTGCATTTAAACATGGTCAAAGTAGAAGCCTTTATATTGTTTTGGTGCGGGTCATATTTAGATCGGCTTGATTGCAGTTTGTATCGTACACTGGCTCTATTCTCTGAGCCACAGAAGCCAGTGCAGAGACCTGAGAACTGGACTAGTGTGATTGTACTTTCTGATTCTAGTCAGGATTCGAGCTGCAGAGCCGATTTCTCTGGACACAGCGCTTCTCTCTGGACACTGTGCTTCTCTCTCTGGACACTGTGCTTCTCTCTGGACACAGCGCTTCTCTCTGGACACTGCGCTTCTCTCTGGACACAGCGCTTCTCTCTGGACACAGCGCTTCTCTCTGGACACAGCGCTTCTCTCTGGACACAGCGCTTCTCTCTGGACACTGTGCTTCTCTCTCTGGACACAGCGCTTCTCTCTGGACACTGTGCTTCTCTCTGGACACAGCGCTTCTCTCTGGACACTGTGCTTCTCTCTGGACACTGTGCTTCTCTCTGGACACTGTGCTTCTCTCTGGACACTGTGCTTCTCTCTGGACACTGTGCTTCTCTTTCTGGACACTGTGCTTCTCTCTGGACACTGTGCTTCTCTTTCTGGACACTGTGCTTCTCTCTGGACACTGTGCTTCTCTCTGGACACTGTGCTTCTCTCTCTGGACACTGTGCTTCTCTCTCTGGACACTGTGCTTCTCTTTCTGGACACTTTGCTTCTCTCTCTGGACACTGTGCTTCTCTCTCTGGACACTTTGCTTCTCTCTCTGGACACTGCGCTTCTCTCTGGACACTGTGCTTCTCTCTGGACACTGTGCTTCTCTCTCTGGACACTGTGCTTCTCTCTGGACACTGTGCTTCTCTTTCTGGACACTGTGCTTCTCTCTCTGGACACTGTGCTTCTCTCTCTGGACACTGTGCTTCTCTCTCTGGACACTTTGCTTCTCTCTCTGGACACTGTGCTTCTCTCTGGACACTGTGCTTCTCTCTGGACACTGTGCTTCTCTCTGGACACTGTGCTTCTCTCTCTGGACACTGTGCTTCTCTCTCTGGACACTGTGCTTCTCTCTCTGGACACTGTGCTTCTCTCTCTGGACACTGTGCTTCTCTCTGGACACTGTGCTTCTCTCTCTGGACACTGTGCTTCTCTTTCTGGACACTGTGCTTCTCTCTGGACACTGTGCTTCTCTCTGGACACTGTGCTTCTCTCTCTGGACACTGTGCTTCTCTCTCTGGACACTGTGCTTCTCTCTCTGGACACTTTGCTTCTCTCTCTGGACACTGTGCTTCTCTCTGGACACTGTGCTTCTCTCTCTGGACACTTTGCTTCTCTCTCTGGACACTGCGCTTCTCTCTGGACACAGTGCTTCTCTCTGGACACAGCGCTTCTCTCTGGACACTGTGCTTCTCTCTGGACACTGTGCTTCTCTCTGGACACTGTGCTTCTCTCTGGACACTGTGCTTCTCTCTGGACACTGTGCTTCTCTCTGGACACTGTGCTTCTCTCTGGACACTGTGCTTCTCTCTGGACACTGTGCTTCTCTCTGGACACTGTGCTTCTCTCTGGACACTGTGCTTCTCTTTCTGGACACTGTGCTTCTCTCTGGACACTGCTTCTCTCTGGACACTGTGCTTCTCTATCTGGACACTGTGCTTCTCTCTGGACACTGTGCTCTTCTCTCTCTGGACACTGTGCTTCTCTCTCTGGACACTGTGCTTCTCTCTCTGGACACTGTGCTTCTCTCTCTGGACACTGTGCTTCTCTCTCTGGACACTTTGCTTCTCTCTCTGGACACTGTGCTTCTCTCTGGACACTGTGCTTCTCTCTCTGGACACTGTGCTTCTCTCTCTGGACACTTTGCTTCTCTCTCTGGACACTGTGCTTCTCTCTGGACACTGTGCTTCTCTCTCTGGACACTGTGCTTCTCTCTCTGGACACTGTGCTTCTCTCTCTGGACACTGTGCTTCTCTCTCTGGACACTTTGCTTCTCTCTCTGGACACTGTGCTTCTCTCTGGACACTGTGCTTCTCTCTCTGGACACTGTGCTTCTCTCTGGACACTGTGCTTCTCTCTCTGGACACTGTGCTTCTCTCTCTGGACACTTTGCTTCTCTCTCTGGACACTGTGCTTCTCTCTGGACACTGTGCTTCTCTCTCTGGACACTTTGCTTCTCTCTCTGGACACTGTGCTTCTCTCTGGACACTGTGCTTCTCTCTCTGGACACTGTGCTTCTCTCTCTGGACACTTTGCTTCTCTCTCTGGACACTGTGCTTCTCTCTGGACACTGTGCTTCTCTCTCTGGACACTGTGCTTCTCTCTCTGGACACTGTGCTTCTCTCTCTGGACACTGTGCTTCTCTCTCTGGACACTTTGCTTCTCTCTCTGGACACTGTGCTTCTCTCTGGACACTGTGCTTCTCTCTCTGGACACTGTGCTTCTCTCTCTGGACACTTTGCTTCTCTCTCTGGACACTGTGCTTCTCTCTGGACACTGTGCTTCTTTCTCTGGACACTTTGCTTCTCTCTCTGGACACTGTGCTTCTCTCTGGACACTGTGCTTCTCTCTCTGGACACTTTGCTTCTCTCTCTGGACACTGTGCTTCTCTCTGGACACTGTTGTGTGATTTCTTGTGTGTTGTATGTGTATCAGGTGACGTACCAGCTGAAGATCCTGACCACCGCTCTGTTCTCCGTGTCCATGCTGGGCCGCAGGTTAGGCATCTACCAGTGGCTCTCTCTGCTCATTCTCATGACTGGAGTGGCATTTGTGCAGGTAAAGTGGTTGTTTTTGAGAATATTTGCTGTCAGGTTTAGCAAAAGACTTTAGAAGAGTCGGCTGAGTGCTGACGTCACTCATATTGTTTGCTGAAATGCAGATAAAGCGGTTTTGAGCCGACTCAAACAGCAGGAATCTGAAGCCAAATGACGTGAGACAACAACGGCCTGGCAACCAAAGAGCCAATCAGGATATTGGGGATCGAAGGTGCCTGATTGGTGCCTATGGCTCATAGAATATCTTTAAAACTTATGTAACTCTAATTACAATGTGAAACTGTCTCATAGACTTATTTCAAGCAAAGTGAGAAACGTAAAGTCTTTATTTGTTTTGTTTATAATTTGCTCACAGATTTTGAAAAAAATGGGTTGTCAGCAGTGTTGATGTTACTTTTAAAACATTTACAAATGTTCTTGTTACTTCTTTAAAAAAAGTAACCTGTTTCTTTACTTAAATACTCTCTAAGGACAGTAACTTCTTCACTTTACTTTTGTGTTACTGTTTAATGCCACTGTGAAGAAAATAGATCATTCTTTCATGCTCTTTATGATCAAAGACACCACAGAGCAGGTCACATGGTTGTATTTCATGAGCTCTCACTCGGGACAATCTCTTTACGATCTCTGACTCTGAGCCTGATCCTTTACTCGAGTACCTCAGCGTCTGCACTGAAGGACGCTACGTCAAGGGATGTGTCCAAATGAAGCTTGTATTACAGACCGGATATGAGAGTAACTGCAAACACGGTGTGGTTTACAATTCCTCAACAAACAGACATCTGCTCCGTGAGTGACAGGGGCGTGTACCGATCGGGATGGGTTACTTTTGTGGCCTCTCTCGAGTGTCATTTGCAACTCGCCTGCGGGACACTTAAGAGTGAATCTGATAAACTCTTGTGATACTATAAAATCTTTGTCTGAGCAAAAGCACACAGTATATTGTAAGTTTGAAATTGATTAGACTATTATCAGAGCAGCCCGACCTGAGAGACAGGAGAGTCTATAGGGCATTTCATACTGTCAGCGTGCGTCACTCAGTGTGGAAGAATATCAAGCTGGTTTCTGCTCAGTTGTGTTGGAATGAGCCGTATGTCTATAAGAAATGTTCCTGAGTAAGTGACTATAACCACCTCCAAGTTACTGCTCTGCCATAAGAAGTAAACCATTCTTTGAGTCCAGTACAGTTTGTTCTGCTGCTCCACATGATGCACGCTTGGTTGTGTGTGCGCAGTGGCCTTCGGAGTCTGCGTCGGCTGCAGAGGAGGAGGCTCTGTCGGCTGGCTCTCAGTTCGTGGGGGTGATGGCGGTCCTGGTCGCCTGCTGCTCCAGTGGCTTTGCCGGAGTTTATTTTGAGAAGATCCTGAAAGAAAGCAAGCAGAGTGTCTGGGTCCGCAACATCCAGTTAGGTGTGTGCCACAACCATACACTGCTTTATAATGTTATGAAGCGTAGTTGTTTAAAGCTGGGGTACCTACATTTTCAAACCATATAATTGCTTCTCAGTTTTCACATACTTGTATTTCTGGTCTCTCTCTGGTACAACTTTCAATCAGCTTTTTCAGACAGAATAATGAGAGGACGACTTACTCAGCCCAAGGCATCATAATGTGAAGGGCTCTCTATCGCAAACTACACGAAAGATACATGTTTTGTAAGATTAGAAAGTTATCAAAGATTAAGAACAGAATGTTGTGCTCCGATATAGTCACACAATGTTACTTTCACAGGACTTTCTGTTGCAACTAACTAACTAAATGAATGATTGAAAAAGATCGGCTCCTCTGTATTCATTCCCCTTGTACTTTCCCGCATGACGTCTTTGCAGTATTCTTGCTATACAGGTTTGCTTCTATGATTATGTCTGCTAAATATACATACAAAATGGCACTACACAGAATGGTTATCTAACATCGTACTCTTAAACTATCTTTATGGTTTAATACATTTGTTAGATATCTGACTTATTTCGTTCCCACAAAAGAACAAACCATGCAGCGACGTTTTAAAGCTGACTCTGCGTTTCTTTTCCATAGTCTATTGTACGCAGAGCCAGCTGGGTTAAGACAAATGTTCCTGTCTAGTTTATTTTTACCCGGGAACGTGTGAACCCTCCAGTGACACTATCTACTCTACAGTATGGGAGAAAAGACCAAAGCTTTGTGTTTATATTTAGGGATGTTCGGCCTCGTGTTTGGCCTTTTTGGCATGCTGCTGTATGACGGAGACCGGGTTCGAGAGTCCGGTATGTTCCAGGGGTACAACACGCTCACCTGGACCGTCGTGGCGCTGCAGGTAAGACCGCGACCCATTTGTTGTGAACCCTTATCCGTCATATCTCATCACAGAGTAAGCTAAAAATGAAGCTTCAAAGTACCTGTCCTGTTCTCACTTCCTGACTGAGTGTCCAGACGTTTGGCGGTCTCACATCTCCCCAGCTGAAGCACATTTTTCTATTGGTTTCTATTTCTCTGGTTCTGAGATTGAAGCATGAGAAAAGTAATGACCACCAAAAATGCCCTTTGCTTTGTAAAAGAAACAACCACAGTGTGAGTCACTCCTCATGTAGATGTTTTTGTGTTGTCGTGTGAGAATCCGAGACATTTTGATTGAGTAACAGCAGCCGCTATTTTCTGAGGGGCATACAAGTGCTTGATGACCGCTACTTAGCACTGACAACGTGAAGGATTTGCTCAGTGTATCATAACTATTTCAGCGGATTAGAGACAAGCTGTTAGGACTTAAAGAGCGACTAAACACCAAATCAACTTTTTTTAACTCATAAACTGCATAAGTATGTTTATTGTAGTGCTGTCTACATATCCTGGTCATTTTCTTGACATTTTAGTTCAAATTAAATAAAATATCACATTTGAGCCAAAAAACGCTGTGTGGCGCCCTCTCTACCTTTCTGGTGGTACTACATTTGAATTTGGTTCTGGCCTCTCCATTGACTCTGAAGTTCTCTATGACATCAGTTGTTTTGTGTGACGTCAGTCTGTCAGAGCCAGTGATATAAACCCATTCAACTCTCACACACGCCCCAGCTGCAGTTTGGAGTATTCTGGCGCCATCTAGTGGATTAAAATTAAATTACATGAGTCATTCTGAGATTATTGAGTGTGATTAAGTTCAGGTGTGTAGCTTTACAATTATCTTAGTGTGTAAACAAGGGTGGAATGAGACTTTCTGGTCTGTAAACTATTGCTTTAAGCAGCAATGACAACTGTCTGTTTTTTTTTTGTGTGACAAGTGAGCTGTCAATCACAGCCCAGACCACGCCCAACTCTAAGCCCCCCTTCTTGTCCCTTGGTCCTCCAGGCAACGCCCTTTTTAGTGGGCGGAGTCAGGCTGGGCACAGGTGTTTAGTCGCTCTTTAACTGAGTTGAAAGGCGTATGGGAGGATTTTCTTCTTCAGGGTGGATCATCTAAACCAGGGGTGTCCAAACTTTTAAGTAAGAGGGCCACTTTAGTTCACCAGACTAGTCCTGGGGCCGACATCACAGACTGAAAAACTGTCTTGACTGGGATCGGGCTGTTCTGAGCTTTATGATGATCTATAATGGAGCTGAAGTTGGCTGAATGACAAATGTTTTCCGTGGCACCATTAACAGAAGTGACACAATCAAAAACCACAGTATGTGCAAATAAAGTCAGCGACATACAGGGCTTTAGAACATGGTCTATATTGGCTGAGCTGAAGCTGGATGGATGACAAGGGAAGACAGTGTTTATGATCTCCAAGACTACTTTGGGTTAGCGAGGCAGAGGGCCACATACAATGACACTGAGAGCCGCATTTGGCCCCCGGGCCTGAGTTTGGACATGCCTGATCTAAACTATTGGTCCTCCTAATTGTCAATCATTCTGCGAGACACGTTTTATTAAGCGTTCCTTCTGAGAAAAGTGGTTCTTCCTAAAGTTCAGGAAATCCGCCCGTTAACCTTTACTATTATCATCAGTTTCCTTATCCAGCGGCCAAATGTCTGCCTTCTTTCCTCCATGACTTTAATCGTAGCAAGTGGCTAGCAAGCACGCTCTTTTGTTCTTGGGGCTAGGCTTTCCCTCATGTCTGCAGATGTCCTGAAAGGCCTTGATAAAATGAGTGCGTCATCACATTGATTTCAATCCAACTGTAGATCTAAATGGTGGTCAAAGTTTACCCCTCTAAAAATGGTCTCCAGCCTTATCCAGGGTAAATTCTCTACTGACACTAAACGGTGTATTTTGAGAGCTGTTTGAAGCAAAGGGTTTCTGTGGTGATGATCCAGGACACTTTAACATTCTACAACACGTATGACATTTACCAACATGTATATTCTTGATGTGTTTAAACTGTTGATTCTCTGATCTGTGTTGGTGATTTCAATGGTTTTGTTAAGTCTCTGAGATTATGCTGTTGTGATTTAGGGCTATACAAGAATAAATTGTATTGTATTGCAAGAACACCAAAGATGCAGTTGTGTAGCCTTGAATTAATGGACTCTCAATAGTCGCACAACGTGGACTTTTCTGAGGTTTTTCCAATATAAACTGAATGTACATTGTGGCCACCTGCAATCGTTGGACATGGTCTTGCGTCTTTTCCCCTTGTGCCTTAGTTTAGTAAATATATTTTAGCATGTCTCGCACCAGGGAGAGGGCTTTCTAACATTTTCACATCTGGTTCTGTGTTTGTTTGTGCAGGCGCTGGGGGGTCTGGTCATAGCGGCAGTTATAAAGTACGCAGACAACATCCTCAAGGGCTTCGCTACGTCCCTCTCCATCATCCTGTCAACGCTCATATCCTACTTCTGGCTCCAGGACTTTGAGCCGACAGGGTAAACCGACACTCTCACTGTTGAATTAGCCGCCTTACATTAAATTGACTATTAATTTTGTTTTTTTGTCTGTAGAGTGTTCTTCTTGGGAGCAGTTTTAGTCATTGTGGCTACTTTTCTGTACGGATATGAAGCCAAGCCAGCCCCCAACCCCAGCAGAGCCTGATACTCTGCCTTTGGACAAAAGAAAGAGGGGAAAAGTCTGAATGCGGACAGAGAAGTTACCGAAAGTGCCTCAGCTGAGTAGTCGTCTGGCAAACAGGACTGAACGTGTTAATGCTTCATGTTGATTTCAATCTCGTGCCACAAAAACAATACCGACTGAACCAGAACCAGCCTGACCAGCTTAAGTTACTTCCAACGATATTCACAATGCATCAAAGCAGTCCTACTTATGACTCGCTTAAAAACTTTTGATTGTGGTTGATTTCTCCTTTTGGACCACATTTTACTTGGTGACTGGTTTAAAGTGGTACGTCTTTTTGATATTTTATGACAAACCGATATAAGGTGGAACCCTGAAACTTCAGAAGAGATGCTGGACGACTGAAATCCTTTAACAGAAATAGATCAAATGAAAATGTAGGAAAACATTTGTGCGAAGCCAGTGTCCTGTATAGAAAGTGTCTCCTGATTCAGAATCTCCTCCAGTTCTTGTCTTCCCTTTAGAACAAAACAAACAAACTCTGGATTTCTAAATAACCTTTTGGGCTTTACCACATTGTCACGATTGTCTCCACTACTGTATTTTTAGCGTCTTGTGTTACTAGGCAACATAGTCGTCATGCCATCTCCATCATATGTGCTCCGCAGTGGGCTTTAATGATTTACTATGAGAATTATTACGCAAAATACATTCTCTCAATTAGAACTTCAGCTGTTCTGGTTTCAAAGGCAACGCTAATGTATGATTACCGGTAACATTGAAATGATGTCCCTTTCCAAAGCACTGGTAATCAGCGTTAAACTTCTGCTGTTCCATGTTTAGATTCTCGTATGTAATCGTGTAAATATTGATACTGATGAAATGTTTGGTATTATTTAAATACGACCACTGGGCTTTTGGTTTTTTCATTTCATTCATGGGATCTTAATATCTTTTATTTTAGTTACAACTGTTGATTATTTTATAAAACACAAGTTGATCAAGCCAAGTCTTTGTCATTCATGCTCCCCATATAACTGCCTTGCTAGAATGAATCCAGAAAGTAGGCATCAATCTCTTTATAATTTGTTCATTTTATTCCATTAAAAACACAACATGCAAAAGCCACACAATCTGAGAAAACCCAAGATGGCAGAGATCCCATGATCCCCCTCTGCATTTGGACTGATCACTGGCTGTAACCCGAGAATAACAATAGTCTTCGTGACCGCTTCGTTCTTCAAATCTTCAGGCACATCTGTTAAAGACACTTGAGTCACTTCGTAGTAGAATAATACTCTGATGACACATTAGGTTTCACACAACATGTAACGACACTGACAGACACGACCTGTCGGCTCAAAGTGCTGCTCTCCTCGTGGCCTTGATTGTCAGTGTGAGTTTTTAATCATAGCTACAACAGGCCAGTTAAAAAATACTTTTACCGAGGCCATTATATTGTGTGCTTGTTGAGATTTGCCCTTATCAGGAGGCAGAGTGGTTGTAATGCTGATGAGGTGAACATGTGAAGGCTTTTTGGCTGGACTTAATCCATAAGTCAAATTCAATTTAGTCTACCATAACGAGAAATTGTTTATTTTGTGTGAATTGCTAAATCTCTATAATGTTCAAGCTTATGTAAACAGTCTCCATTTGAAGAAGATTCCAGGTGACCTAGTACTAAAAGAGGGTAAATGAGGCTTCTGGTGTGAGGCAGAATGGTGTGAAAAGCAGCAAACCCAACAGTGACCCAGGTTTCCAGTATCAGAAACCGCATCACAAAAGCAACACCTCATTATAACTTATCTATGTTAAATAAATAAGCAGTTAAGAATCTTTATGCAAAAAAGTAAGTTGTCACTGGCAGAGCAGTGTAGTTCAGTCGTGGTTAAGGCTGATGAACAGGCTCTAGTTAAAAGTCTATCGCTACAGAACAGAAGCTGGGCCCCCATGTTGTGGGTTGGCCAGGATAAAAACTACACCAACAAGCTTCATTGTCAAAGGCAGCAGTGGGACTTAAGGCAGCTGTCCCCTCTCCACACGTTCTGGGAGCGTTGTGTCAGCCTTCTCATTCACTTTCTGCTGTTTTTAAGATGTGTTCATCAGACTCATTTAGATGGTATGACTACTAATGGAGGGCCTCTTCTAGGTCTCCACATCAGAACCTGTGCATCGTTGGCGTTGGGCCGGCCCAAGGCGTTATGAGGTATGGCCTCCATTCGGGTGAGGACTCTGGGTTGATCTTGATGTACTCGGCCCACCAGCTGTGCCCGGGAGCCCAGAGGCAAACGGGGATTGACCACAATATCAACCCTCATCCTCCACTTGATGGTGTGAAGAAAGATCTTCTCCTTGGTGGTAGTGTTGAGTGCCACCAGCCATGTGGTAAAGCTCTGGTCCCTTTTAATGTTAGTCAATAAAGGCGTATTGGATTCACTGACTGGCACAGCCCAAGTCACACTTGGGTAGAAATTGTCATTCATGCTGACGATGAAGCACGAAGGCTTGGAGGTGGGGCCCACGATAGTGACAGTCTCAGTTGTGTTTCCGTACCAGGGGTAGCTTACACCATCAGAATCACTGATGGCTTTAACCAGGCCGTCCCGCAGCTGAGGCAGCTCCCAACTTGACCTGAAGAGCATAGAAGCATGGCATTATACTGGAAACCATGGGAAACAATCCCTTCTCATAATTCCCAAGTAAAAAGGTAGGATACGGAGGATGAATCAATTTAATCAATTTCTCATTTTAGACAATACACACATTTAATGTTTAACTATAATGAATAATCAAAATCAATCACGGATGAATTAGTATTCCTGTCATTGGAGAGTCTGACATGTTTGTGTGTGTATATATATATATATATATATATATATATATATATACATATACATATACATATACACATATATATATATACATAATATATATATATGTGTGTGTGTATACATACACAAAACGACGGGCGTTTGAATAGAATGAAATGAAAGTGCGTGTCCAAAGAACTTTCCGTAGCATATGTGTCATGTGATGTGGACCTGTCTGTAATACTTGTGTTCCTTTGATACAGCACAAACAGGACCATTGCTTTGGGATCTCAGATGAATCCACTCACATGCCTATGTCTCCGTAAACGTTGTAAAACTCCATCTGGGTGCACGCCTGGATCCATCCCACCACCCACGTCTCATGGCGCGGTACCGGGGGCATAATAATCCGTGCAGAGGCTTTAAAATACGGTGTCTTGTAGCGTAGTACAATGGGAGAGTTCTCCTCGATGACAGTGGGGCAGTGGTCGATGGTGGCGGACAGGTCGTACACCACTATGTTTTCCCGTTTGATGCGGCTCTTGTTGCAGGCGATGCTCTGGATACACCCCATGTCTGGAGGAGGGTTTCAGCGGCTCCACGGCTGCCAGTGCCCACTGAACTTGTCAGGCCCGGGGAAACACGGCACACGGTTATTTGCACGGGATATCATGAGGCAATGCTGCTGGATGCTAACGTTGCAGGATTTCAGAGCAGAAATCAAAGTAACCCTTTATGAGAAGAGGCATCTACCCCACACAGTCCTCATTACAATCGCCATAGAATACTCTGGACATTATCTCTGGCTCCAGACTCAGCCTTTGAACCTCTTCTTTCTCCCTCTGGTAGGCATGTCATAGCACACAGGACTGGCGCTAGAAGTGTTGAAGCATAGGTCTCTGTTTGCACCTTAACCTCAGAACCATGCCGGGCTGCACCGCCTCACACAGGGCGGCATGTCCCCGAGAAAAACAGCCCGATCACGAGCATTGGAAGCCCGTGGCATCGTCTTGGAGAGGTCGCAGAAATCAAACACACACACAGCTGTCAGCGGCTGTAATCACGCCAAAGCCACTAAAGCAATGTCCTGGAGGTGCCTGTCCTGGAGGTGCCTGTCCTGGAGGTGCCTGTCCTGGAGGTGCCTGTCCTGGAGGTGCCTGTCCTGGAGGTGCCCGTCCAGGAGGTGCCCGTCCAGGAGGAGGCTGTCCTGGAGGTGCCTGTCCTGGAGGTGCCTGTCCTGGAGGTGCCTGTCCTGGAGGTGCCTGTCCTGGAGGTGCCTGTCCTGGAGGTGCCTGTCCTGGAGGTGCCCGTCCTGGAGGTGCCTGTCCTGGAGGTGCCTGTCCTGGAGGTGCCCGTCCTGGAGGTGCCTGTCCTGGAGGTGCCCGTCCTGGAGGAGGCTGTCCGCAGGTCCGCTCACATCCTCGTGTGTGTCGCTGTTCAGCTGCGCGGTGCTGAAGCTGCGCCAGGGGCCAATCACAGGCTCAGGAACACACACAGTCTGTCTGCTCTGGACACTGTTAATCATGGAGCTTCCTTACAATTACTTGATTACTCTATAATTACAATGACGCTACAGTAACGCACAGTAATAGGCGGACTTTAGATTACAGTTACTAACACAATAGGCTACTTTGCATCTGACAAAAATAGCATATAACTGTGCCTATGTCTCAGAAAGATTAACCTTTTTCTATTTCAGAGGAGCACCGTCGATGCTGTGGAGATGTTTTAATCTGGGTGTTATAATCATTTTTAACTGTTTTTCTATTATATCACATTTAAGAAACATCAAATCCCATTTACTAAATTAGTCAAATCAATATGTTGTTTTAAAATGTAATAAATCCTAACGTAAGAAAGATGTGGTCACGTGACTATTGCACTTCCTGGTTATGAACACGCATGCTGCTGTGTCAGATTTATAAACAAAACAGAAATACTTGGTTTATAATGCATAGTTTATAACAACGGAGCCCGTCTTAACTTGGAGGAACATGGTACGGCTGGCAGCTTTCTGAGCTCTGTGAAACCATGAGTGAAACATGCACGGTGTGGGCGACTAGGAGCGAAGTGGTGCCGCAGAGCTAATGCTAATGCTAGTGCTAATGCTAATGCTAGTGCCGATGCTAGTGCCGATGCTAATGCTGATGCTAATGCTAGTGCCGATGCTAGTGCCGATGCTAATGCTGATGCTAATGCTGATGCTAATGCTAGTGCCGATGCTAATGCTAATGCTAGTGCTAATGCTAATGCTAGTGCCGATGCTAATGCTGATGCTAATGCTAGTTTTCACGAGCGTCTTATATTATGTTTGTTCTTTTACAGATATCTCACTGTATTATTTAGCATGTGTATAACTAGTAACCTTCAGTGCAATGATCGACAAAACATGACATTTTATTGTGCGTTTTAGCAGTAATTCTGTCAGTTCTGGCTAGTTTTATTTGTACTACGTTGGTAGATAACTATAATACCCGCAATAACCTATTGTAGTTTTTTGAAGTTAGAGGCATAGAGGTCATACCTTGAAGAGCAGAAGTATAAAAGTCCAAGCCTTTGTGAATAAATTGATTAAGAACATATTTATTTGAGACTATAAATGCTTCATACTGGTAGATTCATGCTGCTAAAATCTGGAGCAGTCTTCCTGAAGATGTGAGACAGGCCTCCTCTCTGACAATGTTTAAAACCAGGTTAAAGACAGTTCTGTTCAGCTGTGCTACAACTGAGGGATTTTATATTTTTATCTTTCTTTTTAATGTTCTGTGATAATTTATGATTTTAATGCTTTCTTGTTTTGTTCAGCACTTTGAATTGCCTTGAGTATGAATTGTGCTATATAAATAAACTTGCCTTGCCTTGCCTTGGTATAGGACATATGGTGTAATTAAATGTTAAACTCCCAGAAGTGGACCAGTTAATACTACAGTTTGGTTCAACACTAGTTTAGGCCTGTCACATCTTTTAGATCAGATTATTCAGACAGAAAAGTGAGAACCAGAGGACCACCCTCTCTCAGCCAATCAGCTCACAGCCCAAAGCTTTAATCTGACTCTTTCTCACGAGTCTGCAAAAGATATAGCGTGTTACTTTGATTGCAAAATGTTTCTGTCAGAACAAATAAAATGTATGTTTATGTGGAAAAACGTACCAAAGCTTTAAGACAAATGCTGCCAAATAGTAACAATTTTCACTTGTTGTTTTAATTTTATTTAAAGTAACAAAGTAACTAGTTTAAATTTTAAAATGTAAGGCCCTAAAGTTTGTTTGTTTGTTTGTTTATTTATTCATTTCAGGCATTTCACATGAGGCAGCAGTCACCTCTTGTTCATCATAGTTTCCAACAAAAAATTAAAATAAGTAAAGCATTGCTAAACATGCATGAAAATAAAATAAAAAAATAAACCAAAATATTTGCCTGAAAGTAAAATGATGTCTGAAAAATAAGTAAGTAATTTACTGATAAAAGGAAAACATACTAGACACTGGAGTACTTGCCTCCTCTGCTTAACCCTAACCCTTAACTTATTTTCAACATTCAAGCATAGTTCTTTGTTTGTATGTAATATGTAACTATTGGTGGGTTGTTTTGATTAATCTACTCATTTCCTTTCAGGTCCCATCCGATTTCAAAACCCTGATCCAGAGGTTTTATCACCTTCAGTCCGAGCGCGTGGAGACATATCGCCTGTTTGAAGAGTAAGTTCTAAGCAGAAAACTAATGAAAAGAAAATGCTCTTCAATGACGCATCGGGTGCTCTGTTCTGTGTGTTTTTGTTTTCTCGTTGCCTTCCAGAGGACACGAGGCGTACTTGAGGACAGGACCTCACTATGACTTTGACCACTACAAGCAGCTGGTGCATGAGATAACCCAGGCTTTTAACGGCATCTCAAAGGAAGTTCTGGAGATCAAGGAAAAGCTGCACCTTGACTTGGACCGGCCAGACCTCTGCGAGCACATGGACAAGCTGCAGAGCAAAGAGAAGGAGAAGCTAGAACTGGTGAGTGCTTTCTTACAGAAGGGAGGGTAAACAAGAGACAGCTGCCTTCCCATCGCTCCCCATTTATCAAATACGCTCATAATCAAGAGTGTAATAAATGTCAATCCATCTGCGAAGATTTTCAATGTCAGGGGCAGATTTTTCAATACCTTAAATAAAGGTATAGATAATTGTTCCATTGCCACATCTTTTCTCATTCAAGCCATTTTTATTAAATTATTCAAAAAGAAAGTGCCATTTCAATCATTTGTATCCTCTGCACCACATATTCATAATATTATATAATGTATATGATAGTAATGGAATGTGATTGCCTCTGTGTGTCAATTAGAAAGGCAATCTATGCCAATGCTAAACTATAAAAATTGGCCCATCAGGTAACTAGATCTGTTCATTGAACGGGTAGTTGGATATCCTGATTGGGCTTAGGTCTTTGTTGACCCAGGACATTTCACGTAACACGTGTTATTCCTTCAGTAGCTCAGTTTTATATGGACATTATTATGAAAAGAGCATTGTCATGTTTGAGCAGTAGTGTTCAGGGCTTATGAACGCAGTTCTTTCTTTTCTAAAGTTTAAAAACGCCAGCATCATAAATGACCACAAGGGGGTGCTGTTGTGAACAATCAGTTTCCAGAGTTTGATTTCACAATATGTTATGAGGGATACACATTTGTGAAGAGTGTATAAAACTGCATGGTTTAAACTCTTGACCCTCCCAATGCAACTGTTCAAAGAGTCTGATCTATTCTCGTCTTCTCCATCTGCTCCTTTGTGGCTTTTGTGTGTTAGTATTTTTATTCTGCAGCACAATATAAACTATGGGCCTTCTTTGTATCGGGTTAAAACAGTTTTATTACCACTCTCACAGTTTATTATCAGTCTCTCTCAGATCCAATGACTGTTTGCCATAAATCAAATGTGATGTGCCTCTTGTGCAGACGGCCAAACTGCAGCTGGCCAAGCAGTGTGCTCAGGATCACCCAGAGGACGAGGAGGTTGAGGAACGCATCCAAGAGATCAAGCATAAGTAAGCCCCGACCTGTGTCCTGGTGCTGGGACTGCTGTTCGAGGACAATTCTTCAAACCAATTTGTACTGAAGACTTTCTACTTTTTGACTCTAAGGTGACATAATGGAACATAATGATAGAAGCCACGGATCCAAACAATTACACTTTCATTGGCTCATTGCCATGGTTAATGAAATGTCTTCCAAACAACCATTAATTTATGGTTATAGCTATGAATCTATATTTGTTTTAATATTGAACATGCATTTATGTATGTTTTGTCAAAGTAAAAAGAGCACTCGATTAATCCTAAGGCAGTGCTTCCCAAGTGGAGTGCGGGGCCTCCTGGGATCCTCAGAAGAGTGGGAGAGTCAATGGTTGACCCATAGACTGTATTTATTAACGAACATAGTCACGCCTAACTCCGCCGTTCTAACTACTGGGCCAAAAACTGGTTCTCATGGAGTGATTCAAAATGGCCGCGGGGGCTGGAAAATGTGAGAAAACCACATCTGTGCATGAAGTCAGCTGCACGAGCACCATTCATTAAACGCAGAGACTTTAAAAATCACAGCGACTAAACTAGACTGGTCCAGAACACCCCCCTCAGCATTGACACACATGTGGAACGGAGCTTGAGCCAAGAGACAACTTTTGGACCATCCTGTAAAGACGTTTTCGAGAGGTAAGAAGATGCTATATGTTAGCATCGGCTAATTCTTATTCCGGGTCCACCCCCACAGGCCCGGGGTGGTATTGCAGCATGTCAGCGCACGTCATTTAAATTTAAAATTTAATTAAAACAAGTAAAAGTAATAATATAGTATGTATTATATCAATAATGTTGCATTTTTACCAACCCATATGATTTTCATTTGTATAATCTATAATTGTAAAAATGAATAGATTTGATTAACAGAACGTTTGCGAATGAAGCGTATCATTGAAGAGAGTGTCCCTGTTCATAAAGTGCATGGTGTGTCGTGTTTTTCTACAGAATCATCAAGCAAAACATAAGCTCTGAGTGAGATCAAGCATTGAAGAAGCTAGGGAAGTGGTATTGGACCAAGTGACGAGATCTAACTTTTGTGCTCATAGTACGACTCTGACAGACTGTGATGTGTCATTTTAAAGTGGCGTTATAATGAACTCATTGACTGCCATTGACATATTTCTCTTGGACCCTCTTTTCGACTGGGGATAACAGGACAATAAAAATAGCTAAAAACAAACTTATTTTTGCTGATCAAAGTAGACAATCCAGTCTTTCAGAATCAGGTTTCACATTTCACATAGTCTTAGGAAATAATATTCTATGGGTCTTGAGAATCAGTGAAATCATCAAAAACGGCTGCCAGTGTTGAAATACAATGGACATGATTATATGTTTACAATTTAGTTTTTTGGCTCCGTTCACCCCGTCATAATAAATCCTCATGTAAGCATTTTTCAATTAGCTTCTGCATGAGGAAAACTATGGGCGACATTAACGTCTTCTATGGTCCACTGCACACATTATACACACATGGTATAAAGGTGATCAGTATAAACAAGAATTCACTCTCAATTTTTTTAATAAAAGTTCAGAAAAATATATTTCCATTTATATTGTACAATACATTTCACATAAAAATAATATAATTTATAGCTGTCCATGTTTATGTTGGTACTGTAGGTTGGTGACCGAATACAGATATAAGCAGCAGTTTACATGTCATTCTAGTTAACATAGAAGATTTTCTCTTTACATTTCAGATGTTTGTACTGCAGAGGTCCTTAAACTTGTGTCGTCACCGAAGAGCTGTAAAAATGTTTGAAAATGCTGCATTGTCTCTTCTGTTATGGTCCACTTGGGTCCTGTAAAGTGAAGGGGCTCAGGCCAAAGAGGCGTCTGCAGAGCCCCCGGACCTCTCTGGGGGCCTGTAGCTGTCAGTGCTTCTCCATACTGCTCCGGACTCCGACACAGCTGTGCTATGAATTATCGTCGCTTAGAATCTAAAGAGGCAAAAGCAGATGTTTTATAGCGGGACAATTAAACAAGGCAGTCATTTACAGTTATGTATGAAAGTTTACACACCCAGGCAGAAATGTTGACTATGAATGAATCTTTTATCGCTCATTGTCTGTGGCTGTCTGTGTGAATCCAGTTATTGTCAAATGTGTTTTCAAGTGACAATGAAAACAGTAGTTCTGACCCTGATCAGAAGTCTCCATCCCCCAGCTCTCATTAGCGGATCGCCCCTTTAAAACATCTACAAAATCCTCTCTGATTCCCATTCTCAACAAATGGTCAACCAATTTGGGGAAGACATTCCTGGGTCGCCTTGGCTTGCTGTAGTCACAAAAGATTACAGTCAAACATTTGCTCTTCTGATAAACAAAATACAGAATGAAGCAACCCAGAATGTCTTTTGTTTTTAGACATGTTTACCACAAGGCTTAATGACGCAAGGTCAAACATTCAGCTCAAAGCAGCCATGTCGGAGCTCATTTTGAGAGTTGCAGAGGGAAATCCAGGGGGAAATGTGTTTTTTGTTTAGTACTTTTCCTTGCTAAACCGTCTGCATACTATCCTTCAGTGATGCCAGCAGCTCTTTCTTCAGTCTCCATGTGGGGAGTGGGGGGGGGGGGGTGTTGGGGGGGGGGGGGGGGGGGGTTCCCCGCAGAATGAACCCCCCCTTAAAAGCCCAAAGGGGGGTCCCCCCCCCCAAAAAGGTCCCCCTTGGGGGGTTTTTTTTTTTTTTTTTTCAATTTTTTGAAATCCTCACCCCCCTTTTTGGAAACAATGTCCCCCTTTCCCTAAAAGAAAAACTGGGGGGCCCCACCCCCCCCCAAAAAAAAAAAGGGGGGGCCCCCATGGCGAGGGGAAAAAAAAATAAACATGGCCCCCCCCCCCCCCCCTTTCCCGTTTCCCACCCCTTTCTTTTGGTGGAGGGTCCCCCCAAAAATTTTTCCCCCAGCACATTTCCCCAAAAAAAACCCCGCCGAAAGCCGGGTTTCCAGGGAACCCACCCTTTTTTTTTTATTCCGCCCCTGGGGGGGAGTTGGGGGGGAAAGGGGGTTTGGGGGGCCCCCCCCCCTGAAAGAGACCCCCCCCCCCCCAACAAAATGGTTAAAGAAAGGGGGGCCTGGGGTTAAGGTTGCCCCCAGAAAAAAAGGTTTTGCCCAGCCCTTTTGGGTGGGGCTTGTTAAAGAAAAATCCATGCCCCCTGGGTGAAAGGCCGGGCGAAGGTTGGGGGGGGGGGACCCAGAGGGTGGGGGGTGGGTGGCAGGGGCCCCCGGCAAGGTGGAAGAAAAGTTCCATACCAGAAATTTTCTGGGAAACACCATTGCCCCCTGAAGGCCTCCCCCCAACTTATTTTGGGGCTCCAGGTTGGGCAAATTCACCCCTTTTTTTTTAACAGGAAAAGGTGGGGACCCCGTGGGTGGTCCCCCCCCAGGGCCCCCCGGATTGGGTGGGCCTTATTTGTTGAACCCCTGAAATGGCCCCCCCCCGAGCCCCCTTGGAAAAAAGGGGGGCCATGGGGCCCCCCCCCCATGGGGAAAACCCCAAGGTTTTGGGTGGAAAGGGCTTTTTGGTGGGGGGGGGGGGGCCCCATAGACCCTGGGGTTGGGGGGAATGCCCCCCCCCTTCCCCCCCCCCCCCTCCCCCCTGTCCCCCCAAGGGTCCCCCAATGTTGGGCCTGGCCCCTTCCCCCTTTTCAAAGAGAGAGCCCAAAAAAAACCCCGACCCCAAAAACTCCCCCCCCATAGGGCCCCAAAAGTTCAGGCCCCCCCCATGGGAAAAACTTCCCCCCCCCCCCTTCTCCCCAAATCCCCCAGCACGGCTATTTTTTCCCCCAAACGTTTTTTTTTCAAAGCCCCTTTTTGCAAGCCAAACAACAAAAGCAACAAACATTCCCCAAAATGTTTTTTTTTTTTTTTTAAAACACCCACGAGTTTCCAAAAAGCCCCCGGCACAAAAAAACACATGTGTGCCTGTGTTTTATTTTAACACCCTTCCCCCCAACCCGCCCTATGCCAACTGGGTTCCCCCCCCAGTGTCAAAGCGCTCCCCACCGCCCCCATGGGGCCCCCTGGGGGGGTTTGGGTGCCAAGGTTTCCCCCCCCCCCCCAGGTGGGGCCTGGGGGTTCCCCCTGGGCCCCCAACAGACCGCCGATTAAAAACTCCCCCCCCGGGAAAGGCCCTTTTGCCCCCCCGTTGGGGGGTTTTATTTTTTTTTTTGGGAGGACCACAATGTTCCCCCCCCCCCCCCCCCCCCCCCCTTGGGAAATGAAAGGGTGGCGTGTTTTTTTTTTTGTATATTTTTTTATTTTTTTTTACAGGGGGGTAAGGAAAGAATAGGGAAAAGCCCGGGTTGGGGGTGGTGGGGGGCCCAAAATGGGGCCCACCCCTGAGGGCCCCCCCCTCCAGGGCCCCCTTTTTTTTAAAATCCTGTGAAAAATAGTACCTGGGGGTTTCGGCAAGGAAAAAAGGGGATTTTGGGGTTTAAACGGGGGGAGGGCGGTGGGGAAAGGGTGGAGGGGAAAAAAAAGGGGGTGGAACCCCCCCCTCCCCAACTTTCCCTTTTCCAAAAATTTCCTTTTTTGTTGAAACCAATGCCCCCCTTGGGTCCCCATCCTCCCGGGCGGCCCCCCCCCCCTTTTGGTTTTTCCCCACACGACCCAAGCCCTGACCCACACCCCCCCCCCATGGGTTCCCCCCCACCCCCCCTCCCACCCCCCCCCCCCCCCCCCCCCCCCCCGCCCAAGGGCCCCCAAAAAAAATTTCGGACTCCTCGTCCTTCCAAAATTCCGTACCATCGGGTAAAAGAACCCTTTTGTTAGGGGTTTTTCCTAAAGAAATACCAAACAACCAAACTTTATTTTTTTTTTTTTAAAAATCTAAAACAATTTGTTTAAGGGTTTTTAAATTTTAAAAAGAAAAACCAATCCCTATTGATTTTGCCCTTATGGCCCCCCCCAATGGGTTGTGCCCTTTTTTTTTTTCCAATAGGACAAGGTTAAAAATTTTTTTTTTTTGTCCCTGGACCTCCCACAAAGACCCCAACATCTTCCCCTCTTTATGCCTCCCGGGTTCCCACCCATTTTAACCCCCCTGGGGAAGGCAAGCCTCCCCCGTGGGGGGGGCCCACCTCCCCCCCCCCCTGGCCCCAGCCCCCAAAAACTCCTTCCCTGAGCAAAACTCTCTGAGCTGGGGCAAAAACAATAAAAGCCCTCGTAGCTCCCACGTTGGGGTGGCCGCCCCTCACCCCGCCCAGTTTATTTTTATTTTTTTTTTCCAGGGCGGTAGCCCCTTCTTTCTGCACCTTATTGCTTCCCCGGTTGTTGGCCCTCAGCTTTTTTTCCCCCTGCAGCCGGCGGAATCCAAGTCCCCCCCATCCCACCCCCGGAACAAAGCTTTTGGGGAAAGCCAAACTAGCATAAAAAAACACCCCGAGGGCCAGAAACCAAAACCAATTTTTTTATTTTTTTTTTGTGGGCACAAAATTTTTTTCTTTTTTATAGGAAAAGAAACAATCCCAGAACAAAACCAAGCTGGGGATTTTTTCTACCTGTGAATTTTTTCCAAAATTGGCCCCTACGAACCAGACGGAGCGGAGGAAAGAAAGTTTTTTGCCCTGGTCCCCCCCCCCCATTTTTTGGCCCTGGGTGTTTGTTTTTTTTTTGATCATGGTGGCAAAGCAAAAACTGGGGGGATGCTTTTGTTATTTTATGACCCATGTTACAAGGTGTGTTTCCCCCCCGGGAACATTTAAGGAAATACCATTTTCCCGCTAACAAAGGCCCTCAAAGCGGAACCCAAGGTTTCCCCCCCCCCCCCCCCCCCTTCCCCCCCCCCCCCCCCCCCCCCCCCCCCCCCCCCCTGGCCCTCCCACCCAATCCCAATCTCATCCAGAACAATCCCCCTGCCAAAAACAGGGAAAAACTGGAAACTTAGGGAAAAAACTTTTTCCACATTAAAAATAGGAAGAAAACTCCAAGGACAGACCTCCCCCTAAAAAACCCTCCCAACAAATTAAAATAGGGCTTTTTTTAATTTTGCCCCTTGGACAAATTTTTCCAACCCCCCAAATAAAACGGCCTCTCCAGAGTCCCTGGTGCTTCAGGAGGAAAAAATTCCCCCTGTGAACCAGGAAAAAAATGTGATGAAAAGCTAGGTGAATTTTTTTTTTTCCATGATTTTTTTTTTTCCTGAATATAAACAAATTGGTGAATTTAACGATAATTTTTTAAAAAAAAGCAAGTGTATTTTTATTGTAAAAAAAACCCATTTTGTAAAACCAATTCAAAACATAATGGTTTCCCACACCTTCCCCCCGAGGGCGAGGCCCCCGCTGCTGCGGACCCCTAGCTGAAAGGTGAAAAAACAGTTAAGGAAAAAATGGTTAATGGGGTTTTTTGAAAAAGATGGGCGTATATTGTTTTTTTTTTTTTTTGAACGTGGTTTTTTAGTGTTAACCTTATAGTCTCAAGTCAGTATAACAAAAATTTTTGGGGGTTAAAGTAGCTCAGCCAAAGCAATATTTTAAGTTACACCACAAATCCAAACCCAACCACCCTTGTTATTTTTTTTTGAAAAAAAATAATTGGGTTTTTTAAAATTGTTTGTTGGGAAGGTTTTTCCCAGTGGGAAGTTTTTTGAAAAAACAAGGCAAAAAAATAGAGAAAAGAAAAAAAAAGGCCCCGTTTAAAAAAAAAAAATAAGGGACCAATAAATAAAACAAATAAAACTAGTAATTGTTTTTTTTTTTTCCCCCTTTTTTTCAAATTTTTTTTTTTTTAAACTAAACCCCCCCCCTTCCCCCCTTCCTTCCGTCCCTTTGTTGGGGGGGCATTGCCCCCCAAGGTATTTTTTTTTTTTTTTCCCCCCTTGTTATGTGAAAGGGGACAAATAAAACAAGATCCCCTGAACCCCTTTTTTTTGCCCCCGATTTTTTTTTTGCATTTTTTCACCCACTAAAAAATTGTGGGGGGAAATTCGAAACCCTGCCGGAAATATTAATTGTGGCAAAAAAGCCCTAAAAAGCCCCCCCGTTGGTGGTAATGTGTGGAAATTTTGGCCAATCACAAAATTGGGTATATTTTTTTTTTTAACATGGAAATAGCCCTTTCTTGGTTTTTTTTTATTAGTTTATATTTTTTTTATTTTTTCCAAAGTGCAATTCTTGAAAGAAACGCCCCATTAAAAAAAGAAACATAGTGGAAAAACGTAAAAAAACAGCAAACTTTTTTTTCCCCCCTGGGAAAAAAGGCCAATTTGGGGGAAAAAAAAATCCCGGGTTGGGATAAAAAAAAAATGGGCCCGTAAAAACAAACCTTTGCCCTCTTTCCCCAAACATAAAGGGGGGAAAAAACCAAGTCCCCCCCGCTAGGGCCCCCCGCAAGGATTAAGAAAAATTTGCCCCCCAGCGTTTTACCCTTTTTCCCCTGCCCTCCCACAAGCACCCCCAGGGCCCCGTTTTTTTGGGGCCCCTTTTTTTTTTTTGCCCCCCTTTTTTCCAAAGCCGTTGGGCAAAGTCAATGTTCCCCCCCCAGAAGGAGGGAAAAAAAAAGTGACCATTAATTCAAGCCCCCCGCGCCTTGAAGCCCCCTGGTGAAAAAAAAACAAAGGCCCCCCCCCCCTAGGAAAAATTGGTAGGGGGATCAATACAACCCATTTATTTTTTTTTTAATTAATGACGCCCTCCCACAAAGACCCCGCCCTGGAACTTTAATCCCAGCCCTTCGTAACGGCTGAAGGGGAAAAAAAAGACAGCGGGTCCCCCCCCCCCACCGACAATTTAAATACTGAAACCGCGGTTCCCCCCCCCTAGCCCGAGCCACCGTCCCCCCCCCCCCGCCTGTTTTTTTCGGGGGGCAGGAATTGTTGCACCCCCCCGTCCCCCCCGGATTTTTGAAAACGGGCAAAAAGGAAAGGGGGGGAACCAGGAAAAAAATTCCCCTCCGCCCCCCCCCGCAAAAAGCCTCCCCCTCCCACCCAAATCCCCATGTTCCCCCCCCCCCCCCCCCCTCCTCCCCCCTTATTTCCCACGCCCCCTCCCCCCCCTTTTTTTGTTCCCAACACTGTTGGGGGGGGGCCCCCGGCAAGTGGGGCCACCCTCCCAAGTCAAGAATTGGGGCTTCTGCCAAAAAAGACACAGCCCCATTTTTTTTATCCAAAAGAAAAGCGCCCTTATCCCCAATTTGAACTTAGTTTACAGTTCCCCTTTTATGCCCCCTAATTGCCAAAGTTTTTTTTCCCCCAGCATTGGATTAAAAGACTGGGGGCAAAGCTTATTCCGAAAATTGTAAGTAAAAATTTATAACAGTCCCCCCCCCCCCCCCTCCATTTTTGAATGGATAAATTTTTTTTTGGATTTTGGAAACCCCTTTGCCAAACAACTGGAAAATACCCCCCATGAAAATTTTCAGCGGAGTGTTGGGTAAACCAATCCACAGGTTTCCCCAAACAAAGCTTTTTCCCCAGTTTTTTTTTTTTTTTTATTTTTTTATTTTTCCCAGCCAACCTCATTTATTGCCAACCCTGGGAATTGGGTTTAATTCCCCCCCCTGAAAAGTTGGGAAAACCAATGGTTTTTATTTTTTCCTAAAGTTTTTTTATGAATATATTTTTTTTTAATTTTGATTGGTTTTGTAAAAAACAAAAAAAACTTTTTTTTTTTAAACACCCCATAAACCAACATAAACTTTTTTTTTTTTTTTTTTTTAGTTTTTTTAAGCTTTTAAGGAGCTGCACTTCCATAGGGAATTTTTTTTTTAAGTAAAACTTGGATTAAATCCCAAATCATTTTTTTGAAAATAAAAATCAAAGTTTAATTTTTTTTTTATTTTTTATTAAAAACCTTATTTTTTTTTTTAAAACCAATTTTTTTTTTTTAACCCCTGCCAATTGTTTTAAAAAATTAAAAATTTTTTAAAGAAAACAAAATTTTTAAAAAAAAACAAAATGTTAGGTTCCCCCCCTAAAAAAGTTTTGGCCTTTCCCAGGGCCAGAAAAACCCCCAAGTGTATCCACCGAAACAAGTTTTTATTCTGTGGGTGGCAAAGTTTTTTTGCCGGCAGAAAAGGGTTTTTTTTTTAAAAAAAATATTTTTTTGGAAAAAAAACCAAAAAATCCCCGAATTAACAAAAGCCAAAAGGAAATGTTTTTTGGATTTCCGAATTTAAAACCCTTTTTTTTTTTTTTTAGGCCCTTTTAAATTTATTGGGTTAATTTTTGAAAAAAAGAAAATATTGGGAAAAAAAAACAAAAAGAAAAAAATGTCCCCTTTAAGTTTCAGATATTTTTCTTGACCCGGGTGGAACCCAAACGTTTTTTTTTATTTTGATTTTTTTTTTATATTGGAAATATGGTCTAATTTCTAGCCCCCTACAATATTGGCAAAAAAAATTGCCAACAATTTTTTTTTTTTGTGAAGTCCTCAAGAAAGAAATGGAAACAAAGCCCCTGTTTTTTCATGAAATTGGGTTATGGGGCCTTTTGTGTAAAAAAAAAAAAAAATTAAAAATTTTAAAATTGGGGAATTTTTTATTTTAAAGAACATTTTATATAAAACCTTATATTTTTATTTTTATTTTAAAATCAGTAATTTATTGGCCCCCCCCCCTCAAAAAACCACAAGTAAAAGATTATTTTTTGGAAAAAAACTTTTTTTACCTTGTGTTATTTGGAGTCCCCTTTATGCCAGAAGAAAACTTTTTTTGGTCCCACCCCAATTTTTTTTTTTGGGCCCTGTGGGCAAAAATAGCCCGGGTTTGGGAATTAGGGCAATCCAAGTCGGGTGGGGGGGTTATGGGTCTTTAACGGCTTGTTAGCTAATGGAGGGGTAAAATCCCAACACAACTTGGGGGCCCGAATTATATTTCTTCCCTTTTTAAAAACCTCGGGTCCCCCCCCCCCTGGCCCGCCAATCCCCCCCTCTTTTTTTCATAAGCTGCCCAGCCTTCCGCCCCCCCAAAAACTTTTCCCCAACATTGAAACTTGAAGGGATGTTTTTTTACCCCCCCCCCCCCCCTGCCTCCCCACCTCGCCTTGTTTGGGACCCAAAACCCAAAAGAACAACCTTTCCCAAAACAAACTGCCTCCCCCAACAAACAAGAACCCCCCCGAAAAACCCAGAAACGAGGCCCCTTTTTCCCCTTTTACCTGGCAAAGAGTTTCAGTTTCCCCGACCCGGGGGGAATTTGTGCGGACCCCAGAAGGGTTTGGGCTCCCCCTTGCCCCCAAAGTCCCTCCCCCCCGAACCCAAGGGGGAAAAACCCCGTTTTCCCGAAGGAGAAACCAACCCTGGGGCTGGAACCCCCCCTCCCCCCTATTCCCAAAACAGAGGAAGTTTTTGGGGCATGGCCCCTTGGGGGACCCGTGGGGGGGGGGACCCCCAACTTTGGGAAAACCCGAATACGGCCAATTTTTGTGAGCGAAGCCCCTCCAACTTGAAAGGAAAATTGCCCCCCTACCCAAAAGCCGAGTCCCCCAGGGAATAAGGCCCCCCCCTATCCTTCCACGAATGGATGTCCCCCCCCCATCCGTCCCAAAGCCCCCCCACTGGGGAAAAAAACATGGGGGGGGAGTGAAGAAGGTGGGAGGAAAAAAAACCGAAAAAAACAAATTTGAGCCCCCCAAAAACCAATGGGCAATGAGCATTCAACGGTCCCTTTTTTGATGTTTTTTCCCAAAAAACCAGTAACCAGAAAAAAGTTACAATGTAAAAACAGTAAAAAAACAGAAAAAATCAACATAAAAACCAATGCCCTTTTTTTCTTTGGTAAAAAAATAAAAAAAAATTTGCCCAAATTTAAAACACACTTTGGGTTACCCCCCCCCCAAGTCCCCCCCCCCCCTAGGTTTTTTTACCTTTTTTTTTTTAAATAAAAAAAGTATTTGGGGGGGGTTTTTTTTTTTTTATTTTATTCTCCCCAAAACCCAAATTAATTTTTTTTTATTTTGCTCAATTTCCCCCCCCTTTTAGCCCTTTTTTTTTTTATTTTTGCTTTTTGGCCAAAAAAAATTTTTTAAAAAAAAAATCGACCTTTTTTTTGGCCCCTTTTTTGCCCCGATAATGCCCCTTAAATTTTTTGGGGCCCGAAAAAACCACCAAAAAAAATGGCAAAATTTTTGTTTTCCAAAAACACAAATTTTGATTCCCCCTTTCCCTAATGGGCCCCCCTCCCCAAAATGAAAGGAATACCCCTCCCCCGAGGGGTCCCCCCCCCACCCTTTCCCCCCCCCCCCCCCCCCCCCTACTGTGTGGGCCCCCCACAAAATCCTCCCAAGCAAACTATTTTTCCCTCCAACCCAAGCGCAATTACCAAAAAAGCCAAGCAGGCAGTGGTTTTTCCAAACTATTTTTGGGAACACGTTGGGAGGTAATCCCAAAAGCATTTTTTATATCCCTGTAGGGCTATCTTGCCCGTTTTGGAAAAACCCTTTTTCAAAGGCGGGAACTCCCTCTTTTAAACTGTTGAAGAAGCCAAAACAGAGCAGCCCCCAACAAAAAAACAAAACCACAACCTCCCAGAAATTCCATTAAATTTTCACCAAAGAAACCTCCGGGGGAAACCGAAAACAAACCCCCTGCATTTTTTTAAAAAAACCAAAATTTTTTGGGGTAAAAAAAAAGGAAACCCCCAAAAAAAAAAAAAGAGGGCCTCCAAAAAACCTTTTTTTTAAAACAACCCAAAACTTTATCTTAAACCAAAATTTTTAAACAACCAAAAAACCCACAAAAAACCCAAAAAACAGCCCCTTACACTCCTGGGAAAACTTCCCCCTGATTGGGGACCTAAGAATTTAAATCCCCAAATGGACAATACCCTTCAAGTAAAAAAAAATTCAAAAAAAAATTCTTTAAGAAAAACTGCAAGAGAAAAATTTTTTTTTTTTTCCGGTCCCCCCCCCACCCCCACAATTTAACAAGTTATTTTTTACTTTTGCCTTGGAAATTTTTTTTTAAATAAGGTTAAATACCAAGAAACCCCAAAAACAACTGCAAAATTTTGCCCCAAAAAACAATTTAAAAGAAGTGGGACTAAAAAAAACCAAACCCTGGGGTTGCCCCCAGCCCATTTTAAACTTCCCCGCCCCCCCCACATGAAGATTTTTTGAAAAATTGTTTTTATTTTTTTCCTTTCCCCCCTAAAAAGGCGGGTTTTTTTTTTGGCGCCCCTGGAAGGAACCAAGGGAACCAAGGAAAAAGGGGGGGGGGCTTAAGAAGTTTTTTTGGGGGGCCGTTGGGGGGGGTATCCCCTGGGGGCTTATTTGTTGGAATTTGGGACCCCATCTTTTCAAACTTTGGGTCAACCACAACAAAAAAAAAAAAAAAAAAAAAAAAAAAACAGACATTTTTTTTTTATTTTTTTGCTGTGGAGATGTTTTAATCTGGGTGGTTATAATCATTTTTAACTGTTTTTCTATTATATCACATTTAAGAAACATCAAATCCCATTTACTAAATTAGTCAAATCAATATGTTGTTTTAAAATGTAATAAATCCTAACGTAAGAAAGATGTGGTCACGTGACTATTGCACTTCCTGGTTATGAACACGCATGCTGCTGTGTCAGATTTATAAACAAAACAGAAATACTTGGTTTATAATGCATAGTTTATAACAACGGAGCCCGTCTTAACTTGGAGGAACATGGTACGGCTGGCAGCTTTCTGAGCTCTGTGAAACCATGAGTGAAACATGCACGGTGTGGGCGACTAGGAGCGAAGTGGTTGCCGCAGAGCTAATGCTAATGCTAGTGCTAATGCTAATGCTAGTGCCGATGCTAGTGCCGATGCTAATGCTGATGCTAATGCTAGTGCCGATGCTAGTGCCGATGCTAATGCTGATGCTAATGCTGATGCTAATGCTAGTGCCGATGCTAATGCTAATGCTTAGTGCTAATGCTAATGCTAGTGCCGATGCTAATGCTGATGCTAATGCTAGTTTTCACGATGCGTCTTATATTATGTTTGTTCTTTTACAGATATCTCACTGTATTATTAGATTGTGTATAACTAGTAACCTTCAGTGCAATGATCGACAAAACATGACAATTTTATTGTGCGTTTTAGCAGTAATTCTGTCAGTTCTGGCTAGTTTTTATTTGTACTACGTTGGTAGATAACTATAATACCCGCAATAACCTATTGTAGTTTTTTGAAGTTAGAGGCATAGAGGTCATACCTTGAAGAGCAGAAGTATAAAAGTCCAAGCCTTTGTGAATAAATTGATTAAGAACATATTTATTTGAGACTATAAATGCTTCATACTGGTAGATTAATGCTGCTAAAATCTGGAGCAGTCTTCCTGAAGATGTGAGACAGGCCTCCTCTCTGACAATGTTTAAAACCAGGTTAAAGACAGTTCTGTTCAGCTGTGCATACAACTGAGGGATTTTATATTTGTATCTTTATTTTTAATGTTCTGTGATTATTTATGATTTTTAATGCTTTCTTGTTTTGTTCAGCACTTTGAATTGCCTTGAGTATGAATTGTGCTATATACATAAACTTGCCTTGCCTTGCCTTGGTATAGGACATATGGTGTAATTAAATGTTAAACTCCCAGAAGTGGACCAGTTAATACTACAGTTTGGTTCAACACTAGTTTAGGCCTGTCACATCTTTTAGATCAGATTATTCAGACAGAAAAGTGAGAACCAGAGGACCACCCTCTCTCAGCCAATCAGCTCACAGCCCAAAGCTTTAATCTGACTCTTTCCCCCTCACGAGTCTGCAAAAGATATAGCGTGTTACTTTGATTGCAAAATGTTTCTGTCAGAAACAAATAAAATGTATGTTTATGTGGAAAAACGTACCAAAGCTTTAAGACAAATGCTGCCAAATAGTAACAATTTTCACTGTTGTTTTAATTTTATTTAAAGTAACAAAGTAACAGTTTAAATTTTAAAATGTAAGGCCCTAAAGTTTGTTTGTTTGTTTGTTTATTTATTCATTTCAGGCATTTCACATGAGGCAGCAGTCACCTCTTGTTCATCATAGTTTCCAACAAAAAATTAAAATAAGTAAAGCATTGCTAAACATGCATGAAAATAAAATAAAAAAATAAACCAAAATATTTGCCTGAAAGTAAAATGATGTCTGAAAAATAAGTAAGTAATTTACTGATAAAAGGAAAACATACTAGACACTGGAGTACTTGCCTCCTCTGCTTAACCCTAACCCTTAACTTATTTTCAACATTCAAGCATAGTTCTTTGTTTGTATGTAATATGTAACTATTGGTGGGTTGTTTTGATTAATCTACTCCATTTCCTTTCAGGTCCCATCCGATTTCAAAACCCTGATCCAGAGGTTTTATCACCTTCAGTCCGAGCGCGTGGAGACATATCGCCTGTTTGAAGAGTAAGTTCTAAGCAGAAAACTAATGAAAAGAAAATGCTCTTCAATGACGCATCGGGTGCTCTGTTCTGTGTGTTTTTGTTTTCTCGTTGCCTTCCAGAGGACACGAGGCGTACTTGAGGACAGGACCTCACTATGACTTTGACCACTACAAGCAGCTGGTGCATGAGATAACCCAGGCTTTTAACGGCATCTCAAAGGAAGTTCTGGAGATCAAGGAAAAGCTGCACCTTGACTTGGACCGGCCAGACCTCTGCGAGCACATGGACAAGCTGCAGAGCAAAGAGAAGGAGAAGCTAGAACTGGTGAGTGCTTTCTTACATCATTCATTCAAACAAGAAAGGCTGCCTTCCCATCGCTCCCCATTTATCAAATACGCTCATCAAGAGTTGGATCCATCTGCACAACATGATAAATACCTGGCCACATCTTTTCTCATTCAAGCTTAGTGATTGCACTCTTGTCAATTAGAAAGGCAATCTATGCCAATGCTAAACTATAAAAATTGGCCATCAGGTAACTAGATCTGTTCATTGAACGGGTAGTTGGATATCCTGATTGGGCTTAGGTCTTTGTTGACCCAGGACATTTCACGTAACACGTGTTATTCCTTCCAGTAGCTCAGTTTTATATGGACATTATTATGAAAAGAGCATTGTCATGTTTGAGCAGTAGTGTTCAGGGCTTATGAACGCAGTTCTTTCTTTTCTAAAGTTTAAAAACGCCAGCATCATAAATGACCACAAGGGGGTGCTGTTGTGAACAATCAGTTTCCAGAGTTTGATTTCACAATATGTTATGAGGGATACACATTTGTGAAGAGTGTATAAAACTGCATGGTTTAAACTCTTGACCCTCCCAATGCAACTGTTCAAAGAGTCTGATCTATTCTCGTCTTCTCCATCTGCTCCTTTGTGGCTTTTGTGTGTTAGTATTTTTATTCTGCAGCACAATATAAACTATGGGCCTTCTTTGTATCGGGTTAAAACAGTTTTATTACCACTCTCACAGTTTATTATCAGTCTCTCTCAGATCCAATGACTGTTTGCCATAAATCAAATGTGATGTGCCTCTTGTGCAGACGGCCAAACTGCAGCTGGCCAAGCAGTGTGCTCAGGATCACCCAGAGGACGAGGAGGTTGAGGAACGCATCCAAGAGATCAAGCATAAGTAAGCCCCGACCCTGTCCTGGTGCTGGGACTGCTGGGACTGACTTGACTACTGGCTCCACAGACCACTGGTGCCACAAATTCACTTATGAAGAATATCGCAGAACTGTTCGAGGACAATTCTTCAAACCAATTTGTACTGAAGACTTTCTACTTTTTGACTCTAAGGTGACATAATGGAACATAATGATAGAAGCCACGGATCCAAACAATTACACTTTCATTGGCTCATTGCATTGGTTAATGAAATGTCTTCCAAACAACCATTAATTTATGGTTATAGCTATGAATCATATTTGTTTTAATATTGAACATGCATTTATGTATGTTTTGTCAAAAGTAAAAAGAGCACTCGATTAATCTAAGGCAGTGCTTCCCAAGTGGAGTGCGGGGCCTCCTGGGATCCTCAGAAGAGTGGGAGAGTCAATGGTTGACCCATAGACTGTATTTATTAACGAACATAGTCACGCCTAACTCCGCCGTTCTAACTAATGGGCCAAAAACTGGTTCTCATGGAGTGATTCAAAATGGCCGCGGGGGCTGGAAAATGTGAGAAAACACATCTGTGCATGCGTCAGCTGCACGAGCTCCATTCATTTAAACGAGAGACTTTAAAAAATCACAGCGACTAAACTAGACTGGTCCAGAACACCCCCCTCAGCATTGACACACATGTGGAACGGAGCTTTGAGCCAAGAGACAACTTTTGGACCATCCTGTAAAGACGTTTTCGAGAGGTAAGAAGATGCTATATGTTAGCATCGGCTAATTCTTATTCCGGGTCCACCCCCACAGGCCCGGGGTGGTATTGCAGCATGTCAGCGCACGTCATTTAAATTTAAAATTTAATTAAAACAAGTAAAAGTAATAATATAGTATGTATTATATCAATAATGTTGCATTTTTTACCAACCCATATGTTTTCATTTGTATAATCTATAATTGTAAAAAATGAATAGATTTGATTAACAGAACGTTTGCGAATGAAGCGTATCATTGAAGAGAGTGTCCCTGTTCATAAAGTGCATGGTGTGTGTGTTTTTCTTCAGAATCATCAAGAACAAAGAAGCTCTGAGTGAGATCATGCAGGACTTTAAGTACGACTCTGAGGACTGTGATTGACACTTGTGGGTCTCTTGGGACTGAAGACACGCCCACACTGCACTGACCCGGGCTTGAGTCTGCGTTGCCTGCATCGATCTGCTCCCAGCTCCACCCTCGCTGCAGCAGCTCCGTCTGTGCAGAGCATTGACTGTATAGATGGATAATGCTAACCCTCAAACTCCATGAAGCCCAATAGGGAAGTGGTATTGGACCAAGTTTTGGCTCCTACTGACTTGGAAAAGTAAACTCCTCTTACTCTCTCTTTGTGCCACTTTTGTGCTCATAGAAATCTTTGGTTTTTCACTCTCTATGATACTTATCTTTTCAGTGTCATATTGTCTTTGGCCAATCATTATAGACAGTATGTAATATATTCATTTTAAAATACATGTACATCTTCTGTATGTGTCATTTTAAAGTGGCGTTATAATGAACTCATTGACTGCCATTGACATATTTCTCTTGGACCCTCTTTTCGACTGGGGATAACAGGACAATAAAAATAGCTAAAAACAAACTTATTTTTGCTGATCAAAGTAGACAATCCAGTCTTTCAGAATCAGGTTTCACATTTCACATAGTCTTAGGAAATAATATTCTATGGGTCTTGAGAATCAGTGAAATCATCAAAAACGGCTGCCAGTGTTGAAATACAATGGACATGATTATATGTTTACAATTTAGTTTTTTGGCTCCGTTCACCCCGTCATAATAAATCCTCATGTAAGCATTTTTCAATTAGCTTCTGCATGAGGAAAACTATGGGCGACATTAACGTCTTCTATGGTCCACTGCACACATTATACACACATGGTATAAAGGTGATCAGTATAAACAAGAATTCACTCTCAATTTTTTTAATAAAAGTTCAGAAAAATATATTTCCATTTATATTGTACAATACATTTCACATAAAAATAATATAATTTATAGCTGTCCATGTTTATGTTGGTACTGTAGGTTGGTGACCGAATACAGATATAAGCAGCAGTTTACATGTCATTCTAGTTAACATAGAAGATTTTCTCTTTACATTTCAGATGTTTGTACTGCAGAGGTCCTTAAACTTGTGTCGTCACCGAAGAGCTGTAAAAATGTTTGAAAATGCTGCATTGTCTCTTCTGTTATGGTCCACTTGGGTCCTGTAAAGTGAAGGGGCTCAGGCCAAAGAGGCGTCTGCAGAGCCCCCGGACCTCTCTGGGGGCCTGTAGCTGTCAGTGCTTCTCCATACTGCTCCGGACTCCGACACAGCTGTGCTATGAATTATCGTCGCTTAGAATCTAAAGAGGCAAAAGCAGATGTTTTATAGCGGGACAATTAAACAAGGCAGTCATTTACAGTTATGTATGAAAGTTTACACACCCAGGCAGAAATGTTGACTATGAATGAATCTTTTATCGCTCATTGTCTGTGGCTGTCTGTGTGAATCCAGTTATTGTCAAATGTGTTTTCAAGTGACAATGAAAACAGTAGTTCTGACCCTGATCAGAAGTCTCCATCCCCCAGCTCTCATTAGCGGATCGCCCCTTTAAAACATCTACAAAATCCTCTCTGATTCCCATTCTCAACAAATGGTCAACCAATTTGGGGAAGACATTCCTGGGTCGCCTTGGCTTGCTGTAGTCACAAAAGATTACAGTCAAACATTTGCTCTTCTGATAAACAAAATACAGAATGAAGCAACCCAGAATGTCTTTTGTTTTTAGACATGTTTACCACAAGGCTTAATGACGCAAGGTCAAACATTCAGCTCAAAGCAGCCATGTCGGAGCTCATTTTGAGAGTTGCAGAGGGAAATCCAGGGGGAAATGTGTTTTTTGTTTAGTACTTTTCCTTGCTAAACCGTCTGCATACTATCCTTCAGTGATGCCAGCAGCTCTTTCTTCAGTCTCCATGTAAATGCTTGGGTAGACGGACATGGATAGTGCTTACCTACCTGGTTGCCTGTTTTATGAGACTTCTGCAGCCACACTCTCCACTGGTCGTATAGTTTGATGGACATGCCGCTGCAGCCGTAGGCATGTTTGCGGACCCAGCCGAAGAACTGCTTGAGCTCTTTACGCAGGGTGGTGTTCTGGTCACTGGGTTTGGAGTCGCAGGAGGCAGTGTAGAGCCGCTCTGCAGGACGCCGCGGTTAAACGGGATGGGAGACCAGGGACAAGGATTCACAAAGTCAATGCACAGATGAACACACGGCATGATACGGCTGCACCATTATAAACAATCCAAATCACCATTTTTGTCGTCCCAATCAGCACATTGCAAATTCTCCCATTTACCCCTGTGTTATCCTCGAGTTAAATTCATCCACCGCAGTGATTAAAAAATACCCTATATACAAAAAAATCAAGCTGAATTTTGATAATTTTTCCTAACTTGACCAGCCCTGGGTCATTTAGACCCTTTTAGAGTCTATTTTAGGGTATTTATCTTCTACTTTTCAATACTGTGGCAGGTCATTTTGACCCAAGGATAGCGACAGTTGGATCTAGAGCAGACATGCCCAACGTGACATCCTTTTACACTATTGCCCTCTGGGGTAGAGTCCTGGCCTGGGTTGCTGAATCCGTTAACCCAATGGAACTCAATTTGGAAAGTACTTATGTTTATGCCAGAAGATTACTTCTGAAAAGTGGTACAAAAATAATAATATTCTGAAATCTGTCAAAAGACGAGGAATAAACTCAACAAGAACAAAGTGTGACTGCATTATATGTGTCACTAAATAACTTAAATATGTGACATCACAACAGTCCAAGAAGCCGGTTGTTTAAAGTTGTTGTGAATGGCAGCTGAAAGATCTCGAGTTTACAAAGACCTCCAGTCTTCGTTTAGAATGTAGAATTCCTTGTCTGTTTGTATCCATTATTGATCTTGGCCAGTAGAAAGGACTTTCAGATGTGACAATAATATGCTGTATCTGTGAATCTAATCATTATGAAATTATGATCTGATAATGATAATGATTTGAAAAACATATTTTTAAATATTTCTTTTAAAAAATTGCTTCTTTCCCTTTACCCTTCCAAATGAAATAGAATCCTAAAAAATGAAGGCCTCGGTAACCAATGCGCTGCTCTGTCTGCCACTCTGAATTGTCCATGGCACACAGCAGATCTTGATAATGACTTCCTCGCTCTGAGTCTAAATACCACAAAACCCATGTAAGTCATTATGTGCTGCTCTTGGTCACAAACCTGCTTCCACTCAGCCTTTATAGACCTGCTTGTGTTTCAGACAGACAAGCAGCTTTTTAACTTGATCAATGTTTGAAGTTCCTTAGAAAAATCTATAAAATGTCCTCACGCTGCCTGCAGTTGCTTCTGATCCACAGTTCCAAGATCCGTATCAATGTTGGAAGCCTTTTGCAGCTCGGGTCACATGCGGTTTACATCTTTTTGTTCAGGATGTTAAAGCCCAGATAAGCACATTGTTCTCTGCTTTTAACTGACTCAGACGTCTTCATTAAAAGAACAGAGGCACTCATTCAATGGTCGGAATGTTTTAGATGTGGCCCTCACCGTTATTGGGTGTGGAGGCCGCAGTAGGATGGCTCCAGTCACTCCAAATGCCTGGTTTTCTGGACCCATAGATGCCCACGGGCCGACACCGGACCTGGACAAAATACACGGCCCCGGGATAGAGCCCGGCCAAGCGGCACGACGTCTGGTTGCCAATATCATCCACAATCTGGAAGGGAATTGGAACATTCTTTGAGTTTTGTTTTTGATTCTTCTGGTCATGATAAATAGGACTTTGGGATTGTCCAGTAAGAGGCTTCATTTGGCCTGTAATGAACTATTCTTTGATAATTGGCGGGTTGGCAGTTTATACTTTGATTAATCAATTAGTTATCTAGATGTTTACGACTAAGTGAATGTAGATTTTTTTTTCTAACTTGACCAAAACAAAAACACCATTGGTTCAGAGAGAGGACTTGTTTCATATTGGATTGTTTTACTAATAAAAAATATTGAAAAAAGTTCATAGAGAGCATCTCACCCTCAAATTGCATGTGTTCATTGTTATTATCAAGACGTTTTTGGCCTAAATGCCTTTTGTCAGATCAGTTTTCTGCACCGCATTAAGTATGTTTTGTGTGATTAAAATCTACATAAAAGTTCATAAACAGTTCATTGATTACTAAATGAGTTGACAGCTCTTTCCATAACAGATGAACTTGATACTGATGGATGAGTGAGAGCCCTAGATGCTGTATAGGTCATGATTTATACTTATTTCAGAGCTAACTGAATTGTTTAATGTAATTTTGTGGATGGTGCAGTGTGTAAGTTAGTTAGATGGATCTTCGCACCTTGCCCAGGGACAATAGTTGAAAACTAACTGGCACTTTTATAGAAATGTTCATTAATGTGCATTCTCCTTGTTCAAACACTCTGATAAAACAAATTATTTTCTAAAGTATTTCATAACACATCTTGAAAACATAAATGTGGTGCAGTGAAAAATCTCTTTCTGAAAGCACCCAGGCGGCTGAAACGCCGTCCGAGCAGTTCTCATTAGTGCTGTGTCGATGTCTCCTCAGACTGTGGTGTGGGGCGTACCTTCCAGTCAGAGCTGTCCTCCAGCCGGTAGCGGATCTGATATTTGGCCTGAAACAGGATGTCCTTGAGCTCAGGGGGACTGGCCCATCGCACAGTCAGCTGGTCATCCAGGTCCCCCACACGGCTCACCTGCACACTGCCCGGAGGGTCTGTGGTCACTGAAAAAGAGGACAACAGCGTAGCTTTTTAGAGATGTGTTGGACAGTGTTTCTGAACCACAAATGAAATAGATTTTAGGTTTTGTTTTATCCTTGTGCACTACGACACTGCGTCTGACAGAAGCATCTGTGAAACTGCAGTCTGCAGAAAACTGGCTTTTTAAACGCTTAGTCAGTGGTTCCCCTCCATTGGCTCCTTTAGTCAGCGAAAACTGTATTTTTACCTTTTGGAATAAAATTTGAACATAGGAACTAAGAAAAATATGCACTTCCTCAAGAAATGGTAGAAAGGATGAAAGAAATGAAAGAAAGGATGAAAGAAATGAAAGAAAGGCTGCTAAACGATAACTATGAACAGGTCCAGTCGGGCTTAAAGTTTGAGCAGCACAAGTCTAAGTGGAAACTGAGCCCACACAAAAAGTAATAGCAATGCCATGCTTGTGAGAAAAGTTATATTGGCCTAGATTGTTGATAAAATAATATTGTTTTTAATGATGACAGATATTTTTTTCAAGTTACCTAGGCTATATATAGACCAATAGCCCTATAATAAGTAACAAAGACAATATTAAAATACAGTGGAGTTCCTGAACATACAATGCACAAAATTGTAAATTTCTCCTTTGTGAGATCAATAAAGTATATCTTATCTTAAAGCCTCCAATGCACATGGATATATTTGTGTTGATTTTTACAATGCACACTCGGGTGTTTTGGGTCTCATAGACTTGTGCGGATCGCTCCTCAGAACATAAAACAACATGTGCAGCCGTGTGAAGTTGGAACCGGCTCTGAATACGGTCACACATAAGTATATAAAAGCATGTAAAGTCTAGTTCTACAGCAGGAAAGAAACAGAACCCCACAACTGCCAAAAGCCCCAACAGAAAGACCGTGTCATCCCTGACGGAGCATCCATCCTCCCATGGACCCACCTGTAGGAGGACCCGTGAGGGGCTGGTGCTATGAGGATTGGGAGGCTGTTAAAATGATATATAAGCGTTATGATACACCAAAAAAGGATGTTATGGACGCTGCGACACAAGCACACCTCACCTTTTTATTATAACAGCCAGTGTAAGATCATAAAAGGAGTCTTGAGTCTATGATGATATGATGATGATGAACTTATATATAAACTCTGCAGGGACTTAGATATTGTCAGAGTTTGGGCTGTTCACAACATCATGAAAAGCACCACACATAACAATAGTGTGAACGAGACTCCAGACGCATCACACCACTGAACCTTTGTAACCTCCACATCCGGCACAATCCAGGTGTGTCTTTAGTGGAAGAAAGGCAGAAATAGGCTCTGTATCTTTTCTACAACTAAAGAACTGGATATATTTTCATAATAGACATTTAGAGGAACTTGTAACATGGAACATGTGTTCTACTTTTATTGGCCTACGGACCACATACAGTTGATGCCTGCAGTGTAATATAAAAGTAAATGCACACGCAATAGTTCCAACGACTACTTGGTAGGAAGGACTATGGTTCTACGACACGGGTCCAAAAACACCTGTAGTGTTAAAAGGGCTATAGAAATATGTCCCCACTGAAGGACAAATAAAGATTTATAGTATTTTATCGAATCTTTGTGCCCGAGTCTATGTCATGGTTTGGACTTTTTGATTACTTTTCCTGGTTTTATTTTGATATGGGTTCTTTTTGTGTTGCTTCAGTTGATTTCCTGTCCCGCACAAATGTGTGTCACCTGTGTGTCCCTGTGTGTCCCTGTGTTTCACCTGTGTGTCCCTATGTTTCACTTGTGTGTCCCTGTGTTTCACCTGTGTGTCCCTGTGTTTCACCTGTGTTTCACCTGTGTGTCCCTGTGTTTCACCTGTGTTTCACTTGTGTGTCCCTGTGTGTCCCTGTGTTTCACCTGTGTTTCACCTGTGTGTCCCTGTGTTTCACCTGTGTGTCCCTGTGTTTCAGCTGTGTGTCCCTGTGTGTCCTTGTGTGTCCCTGTGTTTCACCTGTGTGTCCCTGTGTTTCACCTGTGTGTCCCTGTGGGTCCCTGTGTTTCACCTGTGTGTCCCTGTGTTTCACCTGTGTGTCCCTGTGTTTCACTGTCCCTGTGTGTGCCTGTGTGTCCCTGTGTTTCACCTGTGTGTCCCTGTGTGTCCCTGTGTTTCACCTGTGTGTCCCTGTGTTTCACCTGTGTGTCCCTGTGTTTCACCTGTGTGTCCCTGTGTTTCACTTGTGTGTCCCTGTGTGTCCCTGTGTTTCAGCTGTGTGTCCCTGTGTTTCACCTGTGTGTCCCTGTGTTTCCCCTGTGTGTCCCTGTGTTTCACCTGTGTGTCCCTGTGTGTCCCTGTGTTTCACCTGTATGTCCCTGTGGGTCCCTGTGTTTCACCTGTATGTCCCTGTGGGTCCCTGTGTTTCACCTGTATGTCCCTGTGTGTCCCTGTGTTTCACCTGTATGTCCCTGTGGGTCCCTGTGTTTCACCTGTGTGTCCCTGTGTTTCACCTGTGTTTCACCTGTGTGTCCCTGTGTTTCAGCTGTGTGTCCCTGTGTGTCCTTGTGTGTCCCTGTGTTTCACCTGTGTGTCCCTGTGTGTCCTTGTGTGTCCCTGTGTTTCAGCTGTGTGTCCCTGTGTTTCACCTGTGTGTCCCTGTGTTTCACCTGTGTGTCCCTGTGTTTCACCTGTGTGTCCCTGTGTTTCACCTGTGTTTCACCTGTGTGTCCCTGTGTTTCACTTGTGTGTCCCTGTGTGTCCCTGTGGTTCACCTGTGTGTCCCTGTGTTTCACCTGTGTGTCCCTGTGTTTCACCTGTGTGTCCCTGTGTTTCACCTGTGTGTCCCTGTGTTTCACCTGTGTTTCACCTGTGTGTCCCTGTGTTTCACCTGTGTTTCACTTGTGTGTCCCTGTGTGTCCCTGTGGTTCACCTGTGTGTCCCTGTGTTTCACCTGTGTGTCCCTGTGTTTCACCTTCACCTGTGTTTCACCTGTGTGTCCCTGTGTTTCAGCTGTGTGTCCCTGTGTGTCCTTGTGTGTCCCTGTGTTTCACCTGTGTGTCCCTGTGTGTCCTTGTGTGTCCCTGTGTGTCCCTGTGTTTCAGCTGTGTGTCCCTGTGTGTCCTTGTGTGTCCCTGTGTTTCACCTGTGTGTCCCTGTGTGTCCTTGTGTGTCCCTGTGTGTCCCTGTGTTTCAGCTGTGTGTCCCTGTGTTTCACCTGTGTTTCACCTGTGTGTCCCTGTGGTTCACCTGTGTGTCCCTGTGTTTCACCTGTGTGTCCCTGTGTTTCACCTGTGTTTCACCTGTGTGTCCCTGTGTTTCACCTGTGTTTCACTTGTGTGTCCCTGTGTGTCCCTGTGGTTCACCTGTGTGTCCCTGTGTTTCACCTGTGTGTCCCTGTGTTTCACCTGTGTGTCCCTGTGTTTCACCTGTGTTTCACCTGTGTGTCCCTGTGTTTCAGCTGTGTGTCCCTGTGTGTCCTTGTGTGTCCCTGTGTTTCACCTGTGTGTCCCTGTGTGTCCTTGTGTGTCCCTGTGTTTCAGCTGTGTGTCCCTGTGTTTCACCTGTGTGTCCCTGTGGTTCACCTGTGTGTCCCTGTGTTTCACTTGTGTGTCCCTGTGTGTCCCTGTGTTTCAGCTGTGTGTCCCTGTGTTTCAGCTGTGTGTCCCTGTGTTTCCCCTGTGTGTCCCTGTGTTTCACCTGTGTCCCTGTGTGTCCCTGTGTTTCAGCTGTGTGTCCTTGTGTGTCCCTGTGTTTTACCTGTGTGTCCCTGTGTTTCACCTGTGTGTCCCTGTGTTTCACCTGTGTGTCCCTGTGTTTCCCCTGTGTGTCCCTGTGTTTCCCCTGTATGTCCCTGTGTGTCCCTGTGTTTCCCCTGTGTGTCCCTGTGTTTCACTTGTGTGTCCCTGTGTTTTACCTGTGTGTCCCTGTGTTTCCCCTGTGTGTCCCTGTGTTTCACCTGTGTGTCCCTGTGTTTCAGCTGTGTGTCCCTGTGTTTCACCTGTGTGTCCCTGTGTTTCACCTGTGTGTCCCTGTATGTCCCTGTGTTTCCCTGTGTGTCCCTGTGTTTCACCTGTGTGTCCCTGTGTTTCACCTGTGTGTCCCTGTGTTTTCCCTGTGTGTCCCTGTGTGTCCTTGTGTTTCACCTGTGTGTCCCTGTGTGTCCCTGTGTTTCACCTGTGTGTCCCTGTGTGTCCTTGTGTTTCACCTGTGTGTCCCTGTGTTTCCCCTGTGTGTCCCTGTGTTTCACCTGTGTGTCCCTGTGTTTCCCCTGTGTGTCCCTGTGTTTCACCTGTGTGTCCCTGTGTTTCACGTGTGTGTCCCTGTGTTTCCCCTGTGTGTCCCTGTGTTTCACCTGTGTGTCCCTGTGTGTCCCTGTGTTTCACCTGTGTGTCCCTGTGTGTCCCTGTGTTTCACCTGTGTGTCCCTGTGTTTCCCCTGTGTGTCCCTGTGTTTCACCTGTGTGTCCCTGTGTGTCCCTGTGTTTCACCTGTGTGTCCCTGTGTGTCCCTGTGTTTCACCTGTGTGTCCCTGTGTGTCCCTGTGTTTCACCTGTGTGTCCCTGTGTGTCCCTGTGTTTCACCTGTGTGTCCCTGTGTGTCCCTGTGTTTCACCTGTGAGTCCCTGTGAGTCCCTGTGTGTCCCTGTGAGTCCCTGTGTTTCACCTGTGTGTCCCTGTGTGTCTCTAAACCCTGTCCTCTCCTCAAAGTTTTTGGTTTTTCTCTTGTGTTTTTGTCTCTGTTTTGTCTTGGTCTGAGCTTGGAGTTGTGTATTAAATCTTACTGCTAATTTACACATCACGCGTTACAGCACGTATGCGTTATACGCGCAGCAGACGCGCATAACTTTTTTCCATGTTAACCTATGATGATATTTACACTTCTAGCGTTATACGTGTGTATGACGGACGTATGACGCGAAGTTGCGCTCTAATTTATGATGGATTTCTAATTTTGTGCGCGCACCAACGCGTCTCCCATTGAAATCTCATGTAAAACATGATTTTTCTAGCGATCCTTGGCTCTAGATCGCATCTGCACACACACACACACACACACACACACACACACACACACAAACACACACACACACACACACACACACACACACACACACACACACACACACACACACACACACACACACACACACACACACAGAGACCATGAAAACAAACACATGCATGTGATTTGTGTTGCTCTACATCAGTCCTCTGGCTCGTACTGTCCTCTACACTGCTCCATAGACTACACAGGGACAGCATCAGAAGACGCGGACCTGCGCGCACGGCCTGTGTAGATACTCCAAAAAAATGTTACGCGCAGAGAGTGCGCAGTAAACGCGTACGCGCTGTTTACGCCTACTGTGTAAATTCCCTGTTATAGTGGCAGACATTTTGAGTCCTTCTGTTCTGCAATCGTCACTTCAATTCCAGATAAACATATCTTACCTACGTCCAGGATGTCCAGAGTGGTGATGTCAGAGACTGCAGAGCCGAGCTGATTGGCTGCTTCCACCCAGATCTCGTAGGGCGTGAAGAGGGCGGGGTTCCGGGGGATGTAGCACGAGTAGCGCTGTTTTCCCGTCCTGTAGTTCCCACACTCCTCCTCCCTCTCATACCACCTGCACACAGGCAAACACAGCCTGTCACTGTCAAGGCACACACACACAGCAGACAGAACCACAACAAAAATCAATGAAATGGCAAAGCAGAACATGTAAGTAAGTAAGTAATGTTTATTTATATACCGCCTTTTCACTGCAGATCTGAGTCTCAAAGCGGTTTACAATTGTTTTTATTTTGGGCATTTGTCTTTCACTCCACACAGAGATGGGAGCGGGGCCAGTACAGGAGGCACATGCTAGAACTATTGTACATGTTTTTAGTGGTAGGGGAAACCAGAGTACCCGGAGGAAACCTACGAAGACACGGGGAGAACATGCAAACTCCACTCAGAAAGGCCTGATTGTATATTGATCAAAAGATATTTCATATACTTCATATATATTTCATATACTTTTAGATGTTAACTTAAACTTCACGACATTAGTAAGTAAGTAATGTTTATTTATATAGCGCATTTAACAGACCAAGGTACAGACCCAAAGCGCTTTCCAATGTTCAGAGTCAGATATTGTTCCAATCCTTCCACACACGGTGATGACAGAAGCGAGTCCAGAACACACTGGACCATCAGCTCCAACACCATCCATTCACTCTCTCATCTACATTCAGACCTATTGTGCATGTTTTTAGTGGTAGGGGAAACCGGAGCACCCGGAGGAAACCTACGCAGACATGGGAAGAACATGCAAACTCCACTCAGAAAGGCCCTGTTCAGACCGGGTTAGGACCTTCTTGCTGAGAGGCAACATTAGCTTTAAACAATGTTCAGGGCATCTGCAAACTCTCTGCACCAAACGTACAAACGTATTTCATGATCCAGATTCCACCCTGACTACAGAAAGAGAAAACAAAAAAGTGCCTACATGTATAATTCAACTTTAAACACAGACTTTAAAATCAATGTGCAGGGAGCTTTTCAGATGAATAATGCATTTGCTTCGTCCAACCACTTTTCAAACTACTGTGGTTTATTTGTTGTTTCGTGTCTATTGCTTTAAAAACATTAGCAGAGAATAATTACTATACTTAGCTGTGTGTTTTTATGACATGGACAGAACCAAGGATTGACTCAAAACGCTTTATTTACTGTGTGTAAATAGAATTCCAGAGAAAAAGCCACACGCGCTCCAGGTGTGGGTGTACCTGCGTGTGGTGGGCGGCGATCCGGGCGTGGCCTCACCTCAGTTTGTACTTGAGGGTGTACTTGGTTCGGATGTGGGTCTCGCCCCTCCCCCCCGGGCTCCACTTGCAGCTGAGGTCTTTGGCATTTCTGGACCAACAGGTCAGATTCACAGGCTTCTCTGGAGGCGCTGAAGCAAATACATACAACAACACATTACTAAACATTTTATATTTACATACTGAGAGCTTTACTGTTTAGTATCTATTAGTATCTATCTAGTTTATTTTTTAGTTTTCATCAATTTAGTATATTACATTCAATTACTTTTATCAAAAATATGATGCTTTGTCTATTAAAGCTGGTGTACCCATGGATCTATTATAATAACTGGATAGGGTGTTACTAGCTTGTAGCTGAATAACTCATGTGCTCGGAGGATTCTCGCGGTACTGCAGACTGAACCAGACCAAATTCACGAGGGCTACCCAGAAATTTTCCCCATAGAACTCAATGCATATTAAAACAGCTCAACCTCAGCTGACAGAGAACCTGACAGAGAACCTACAGCTTTCATAAAGGTCGGATTTTGTGGGGATTTTAGTGTCCCTTGTCATCCTGAACTTCTTTTCTTCTTAAATCCTTCGGTTTTGTTTAAATCCACACTTTACTGCCACAAACTCTGCTCGTCTGGCTCTCGCTCTAACTCCCGCTCTGATGAACTGCTCTGATTGGTCAGAACGCAGCCGAGCCCCTCTGTGCACGTGCGTGAGACCCGGTGTGAGACCCACACACGGATGTTTGACGCAACGCATTATGGGAGATCATCCACTGCGCAGAACTGGGAGGACCAGACGATGCCCAAATACAGGAGAGTTTCCCATAGATCTTTGAGAGTTCCAGGCGACTTCCGCTAATCTTTCAGCCCCCATGCCGTCACAAAGCGCCACTGAGCACAACCATTCATTTGAATAGGGCGCCATCTTGGATCGCCGGGGCTTGGGTGTACCCCATTTACAAAGCACAACATTGAGTTCCTTGCTCTCAAAACAGTTTTCACATGCATAATAATAATAATAATGATAATAATGATAATAATAATAACGATAATAATGATAATAATAATAACAATAATAATCATAATCATAATAATAATAATAACAATAATAATAATAACGATAATAATAATAATGATAATAATAATAATAACAATAATAAAGATAATAATAATAATAATAATAACGATAATAAAGATAATAATAATAATAATAATGATAATAATAATGATAATAATAATGATAATAATAATGATGATAATAATGAAAATGCATGTTCTTCTTGGCCTTTGTCACATTAGCTTGCTCAAACAGAAAAGTGAAAAAGAGAGGCCCACTCTCACTCAGCCAATCCGCTTTAAGCCCAATGTGTCAAATACTGACTCCCAGGGCTCTGCAATTACAATGTTTTCTAATAAGATAAAGACAATATGTTGTGGTCTGATTTCAGGGCTCTTCCTGTCGGGGAAATTCCTGGAAATTCACCTGTAAATAGTAGTTACTTAGTCATAATTTATTCTGGTACATAACTAGTTTTACCATATTTGTAGAACAGACAATACAATTAGGGATTACTACTCCTGCTCAGCCAATCAGCATCTAGCGTTCAGTGCCATACAATGTACATGTTTACAGAGTATTATTGTCTATCCATCCATTAAAGTCTGAGGCAGTTCTACAGCAGCTCTTCATAAACGTTACAATAAGTGACAATTCATACCCGGGATGTTTAAACCGAGGCCCTGTAGTTTTAGACTCTCATCATAAGTGGTAACGATGTGTGCACTGATTAAAATCACATTCCAAGTCTGCAGTAAATATAAACCCAGGTAAAGGCCATTTCATAAAGTTCTTGCTCTTTCCATCTCAAGAAAAAGATTAAACGCTGCTGTCTGGACAAACTCTGTTGGATTTGGATGATTTCGCTGCTTCGGCATCTTTCACTAGATTTAAGGTTTTACGGTAAGGTTTTTAATCCTGTTCCATCTCAGGAAGTTTTAACCAAAAAAGCCAAATTCAAAGGACCCAGTTGTGGAAGGTTCGAAGTATTGCAATTATTGTTTTATTTTTACATGTCAAACACATTGTATTTAAAAACTTTATTCTTTCAAATATCTAATTGATATTATGTATTTATTCTAGATTATGAATGTATTACTAACAAATGCAACCTTATGAACTTTATCAACATCAGGTTTTGGAACATTTCAAGCGCTCGAGGATTTGACTCCAAGGGTCAAAGTGAACAGTTATCAGACATGAAACATGTTACCTAAAAAACACAATGCTCCTGTTTTAAAGTGCTGTATTGTGAATCTGGCTCCAAGCTGCAGTAAAGGAAAAGACCAATGAATTCACCATTAAATAAGCTTTTTACACTTTCAAATCAGCATTAGAAATGTTGAGAACACAACAGACCACAATATGCTTCATCATTTTAGAAAACGTGCTTTTGTGTGAGTCACTCTTTGGGCTGAGAGCTGATTGGCTGATGAGTACAGAGGCGAAAAACACTATAGGGATGTCAATCTTCAGGGTTAGATGATTAATCAGTCTGTTTGGATGGTCCTCACATGTGAACTGTGAACCCCCCCCCCATGTGTTCACTGTCAGTTTACTTTTTGCGCAGACACTACGTATTTAAACCCACTGAGCTAATGACTTTACTTCAGTACTTAAACCAAGGTTTATACTTATACCATATACTTTTTATAGTTTGAGGTTTATTAAGCCTAAAGGTTAAAGATAAAGAGCATGTTTTATTGTTTTGTTTGTGAGTGCCTCATTATTGCTCTGTAACCTGTGATGCAACACTGACATTTATCTCACTTTGGGACAAAAAAAAAAAATCTCTTAATCTTAATCTGAATATAGGTGTCCCAGCTTTAATCATCACTTACTGCCCACGTAGAGACAGGAGCCGGCCAGGATGTGTCCGTCGGCCCCATGGCACATGAGGTTGTCCCCAGACTGCTGCCTGGAGCCGCGGAGGTTCTGCAGGCTGACGGAGAGCGTGCGGGGGCTGAGGACGGAGTAGCAGCTGCTGGGCACACGCGCTCCGTTTAGGGTCCAGAAGAGAGAGCTGGCCTGGAGGGTCACCCCGGGGCTCAGGGTGCAGGTGGCTGTGACCGAGGAGCCGATGGACAGCACTGGGTCCTGAGGGGAGATGGCTGCCATGTCTGCGAACAGAGATCGGTTTTATCAGAAGGGGCAGGGAGACAAACCGTAGAAAGCACTAGAAAGAAGGACATGGGCAGCATGTGTGGCAGAAACCAAAAATTGGTTTAATTCATTTAGAATTTTAGATATTTTTCATATACACAAAGAGAGACATTGAGTGCCATATTATACGTACAATATAGTCTACTTTTAGTCTACTTAGTCTGCATCCATATATTGACAAAACTCATTCCATAGTCATCAATCTGTAATGTTTTTATTCAATCTTCTTCATCAGCCCCATTACCGGTGTCTCTCAACTTGAATGCACATGTTGATAATCCAGATTAAGATTCAAGTCTCAATTTCTCAACCTTTTGATTTTGGTCTGCCTTTTCAATCTCAAATGACCTTTTCATGGGGACGACTGGGATATGCTCTGTAAATGGGGATGTCTGCGCCCTCTATCAACGTGTGAAATGCACAAACCCAAAAGCATGAGCAGGGCCGGTGCTGTTGCGAGCTGCAGCAGTATTCTCTATATATTTATGACCTTGTAACAAAAGGATTTATGATCTTTAGCAGGAGGTCACTGCAGATGGGGAGATGTGCCTTTGAATGTTTTTCCATGCAGTGCCCCGTCTTGGCCGTGTCATGTCGGTCCGCCTTCATTATTGATGCTTTTGGGAGCCCTTTCGGTGTGTCTGAATGTTACCAGTGGACAGTTTCACACTCATATGCAGGTTAATGTGCGAGGTTTATGATCAGTGTGCAGGTGGGCGCTCCAAGTAATCCAACACATGCAGCAAAACGGCTTGGACGAGCCCCCAACAACCAAACACGCCACAACAGAAGATTTAGAAAAATGTAGAGGGAACGTTTCAGGCAAAATCGACTTTTCTGAACTTTTAACCACATAACATAATTTTTCCCTCATCAAAAACAGACTTCTTTATATCCATCCATGGTATAATCAGGAACTGCAGGCACAAACATGTAACTCCGCCCCTTCTGTCTAAAAGTATAATGTATTTGTACCACTATGATATCATGCTCAGAGCCGTTTTCTGCCTTTTAAAACTAAAATAATCTCCCTAAATTAGTGTGAGCAATTTACATTACAGGGCTTGGTTGCAGCTGGTCCTAGTTCAAAAGATTAGGTATCGAACACCAAAAAGCTCTTGACAAGATGCAAATGCAAGAGGAATAATTTCAGTTACAAGAAAACATGGCACAGGAGGATCTATGTTTACACCTGTGCACATGCGCCCCTCGCCGGGTGGCAAGAAGACAGAGCGGCCCATACTGAAGCGTGGATGCGACGGGTACTTTTAAAAGACTCAGTGGGCGAATAGCACCGTATATAAGCACTTTAATGCAAGAAGATCAGAGGAGATATAAAGACAAGCTAAAAATAAGTATATGAGACCGAACTGAACAAATCCAAAGCCCAGATGAGACCTGGGATGATGAGAAGAAACATTGGTCAGACTCAGCTCTGTCTTGGCACCGATCTGCTGGGACTGGGAGGCATTTATTCTTACTTCATAGAAAACCCAGGACCCTTCACTCATGAAGGGTCCGTGGTGAAAATCCATCCATCGTAAAGTGGTCCGGCATTTCGCCGTCGTGGTAAAGCACATTAAAAGCGGGTTGCCTCTTTTTGCAGTTACTTACGGTAAAGGTGGAACAGGAAGCCGCGGGGATGAGCAACCAAAATGCAATGTTTAAAATGAATCATCACAGTGAACAAGTCCGCAGTGAAAGTAGTTGCAAAACTTAGATTTGTTTATGAATTTTGATCCCCTCATCCCCCCGGCTCCCTGGTCTACGTTTACCTTAGGTAACAGCATAAAAGGGCAACAACTTTACCACAGCCGTTTTTCACTGTTCTTTTATGAAATCATTTTTAAAAAAAACTTAATCTGTCCCCAGCGGGCCGGACAACCGACCACACAACAAGAACGGACCATTTGATTTAGTAAAACCTCTCTCCAAACGTGTAAAAATAGCTAACTCTCTAGCATCCAGGTAGCTTTCTGCTTTAGTTCCACACAGTCACGTGACCGGAGCGGAAAAACGATAAACAACGACGTCACTCCAAGATCCTCCTACAAACGGATGTATTCTTGTGAGTCCAACGAAAGAGAAAAGAAGAATCTGATGCAGGCTATAACGGCTGGAACTTCAGTAAATACTGTGCCTCTTGCGCAATTTGTCACGTTTACAACCATCAAGATTTTACTTTAAATGTTTTACTGAGAGTTCACACACAAGTAACAGACAACTGTGACATGAAAGCAATGTTATTTACAGGATTTTGTTATTATGTCACAAATAGAAAAGTGTATTATGAAGCCTAAGGAACACCCCAGAGAGGTCAGTGGTGGAGAAGCATCAAGATCAACGGTTGAATATGTCCAAGGAACAAATATCAGTCATACAGACACAAATCAAAGAATGAAAGTGGTAAAAAGAAAGTCTGTATTGAAATAGAGATGAGTCCAGAATGTGTGGCTTAAAACTTCCCACTCCCTCTTCTCCGTCAGCGCACCCCGTCCCAGTGTGATATATGGGGGCGGCATTATGTTATGGGACTGCTTTTCTTCAGCGGGGGCAAGGAAGTGTGTGAAGAAGGTGGAAAGATTCAGGGCAATATGGGACGAAAAGCTTCTGGAGATGGGGATTTCACATCGTATGAACTTGCGCTGTGTGATTACTTGAGTTTTAGATTTTTAATGCGCAATGCTGTGTTATTTTGGTTGCCGGGGGTAACAGATTCTAGTCCTCTCTCTGGTGGTAGCAAAGGGAGTTACAGGTGGAAAAATACTGTATGTTTTACCCTTCGTATTCATGTGTCACTGTAAATATGTAAAATGGACTGTTGGTTCACATTCTGGAACATCAGAAGTAAATAATATAATTTTTTTATTTGATTGCGAAAAAGAGTATTGGCCAATAGAAGAAGGTGATCTTTCAATGTTTTGTTATTCTATGTGGGATTGCCAGATTTCGGCAAATTATCTATCCAAGGGCGGCACGGTGGCTGAGTGGTTAGCACGCTCGCCTCTGAGCAAGAAGATCCTGGGTTCCAATCCCGGTCGGAACTGGGCCTTTCTAAGAGGAGTTTGCATGTTCTCCCCATATCTGCGTAGGTTTCCTCCGGGTGCTCCGGTTTCCCCTACAACTAAAAACACGTACAATAGGTCCTGTACTGTCAACCCCGCTCCCATCTCTGGGTGGAGTGAGAGACAAATGCCCAAAAATAACAATTGTAAACCGCTTTGAGACTCTGGTCTGTGAAAGGCGGTATATAAATAAAGATTACTTACAATAGACCATTGCTGTCATGTTTTTATCAAGTTTGAACTGCACTTAATACAATGAACAAACGTTGATTAATGTCACATTTTTATTATTAATGATTACATGTTTATCTATATTCAGATTGTTTTAATAGTTTCAGTCTTCACTCAATTATTAAGACAAGATAGACATTTATTCGTCCTACAGTGGGGAAATTTCAACGTCATTGTTGCGCACATGACGGCAGAATAAAACATTAAAGGAGGAAATAAGTCCACTCAGATTGCACACTTCCAACAGGAACTATTATTTAAGATAATAGACAATAGTAAAATTATTCTACTATAAAATAAAACTCTCTGGAGCTAAGACTGCACTTGGTTCAAATATAGTACATTAGTAGAGTATACACTGGAGTCAGCAGGAGGAATTTATAGCTGTTTATATTGTACTTTAGTAGCAGAGAATACAGTATAACCAGAATAAACAATAGTATTAGTGAATTATCAGAACAGAACTATCAGATTATCGATTTTAGCGAATGATGTATTAACATAAAAAGGTGTGAAATGTATTGTTTTACCTCAAATGGGAAAAACAACCGGACATTTCGTCTTACCAACACTCACACACTTAACAGATTCATATTGCAGCTCTAACACCACTTGAGGATGTCACCAATTCATTATTTTAAGTTGTGTTCCTTCGGCAAGTACTCAATCTATACTGCACAATGAACACAGCTGACCGCGGGTACATGTGCCACTCACCTGTAGTAAGTTTGTGCAACACTGTGGTCCATCCTGGAACCCCCAACTGCACACGTTATTGTGAAATGACAGTTTTATAGTCTATACTTCAGCTAATATTTATGAAAAAAGCATAAACATGTTTCCTATTCTCTATTATTCATTGTTTATCATGTTGTAAAGGTGTGTTTATTTAATATAAGTAAAGGGAGTCAGTTTGCTAGAGAAGTATGGTAACTCGAGCACTATCCTCTCCGCCTTATACTTTATCTGTTTAGCATTATTAGGATTTTGACTGTAGTTTGTTCATTGCTATTCACCCGTTGTCCCGTTGTCTGTTTCATGGTACGATGACGGGATCTCTGAGCCTGGCCTCCTCCATCTACACCTGCGGACTGCCCCGCCCGACCCGCCTGGGAGTGCTTCAGTCCTGCACCGGACCTGTCCACGTTCAGCGGCCACTGGTCCACGTTCTGTAGCTCAGGTCCTGGATCTAGAGCCTGTCCGTCCGTGGGAGCGGATCCCTTTCTCAAACCCTGGGTCTCCCCAAGGTTTCTCACTTTTTCCCACTGGGTTTTCTTATGAGTTTTTCCTCTGATGCAGGAGTCTGTTGGGCAGTTAGTGTCCAACTAGAAGGACTGTGATGATCCAGGACACTTTAACATTCTACAACATGTATGACATTTATCAACATGTGTTCTATATTCTTTATGTGTTTAAACTGTTGATTCTCTGATCTGTGTTAGTGATTTCAATGGTTTTGTTAAGTCTCTGAGATGACTTCTGTTGTGATTTAGAGCTATACAAGAATAAATTGTATTGTATTGTTTAGCCATATGTGATGAGATGTATAGGCACGCTTAATCACGCTCACATTGTATTGTTAAAAGTTTGTCATCATGTCCCACTGATGAACGCTGCTCAGTTCTGCCTCTTATCTACTTTTATTAAATAGGCTATTAAACAGGCCTCCAGGAGCGTGACAGCACATGCAATAACTGCTGATAATAGTATGTAAAAGACAGTTAGATGGCCTTTAGTACCATGCATTACAAACCCAGTCCAACACAGGCCCCGGGGTTACACACCTATGATCATTTCAAAGGTGCGGTGTTTTGACTTTAGTCGAAGTCAAGGAAATTTGTGCGGTTCCTCTGATCAAAGACACGCAAATGTCGCTCATTGATAAGAGTTGCCAGATCTTGCCCTTAATAAGTGGATCATAACACACATATGGCCTAATGACATTGAAGGACCACAGTAATAGACTACTGACAAAAAACGTCCAAATTCAGTGAACTTACGTGTTGTACAGAGTAAGCCATGTGGAGCGAGTAGGAGGAGGACGTAACAAAGCATGGTAAAAAGTCAGTCTGCTTTTCGCGTCTTCTGTGGTCCTGGTGCGAGCGAGGGGGACCCCGAGAGGCGCAGCGGAACTTCCTGTGTTCCCTTCACATTTGCTTCATGGAGAAACCCGCGAAGTCCCAACGCTGAAAGCAGTTGCAGTTTGTGGAAAGACGAGCAGTTAGGGGTCCATTTAAACTTTGTTGTAATGTGGTTGTGCAGAGCAGCGTCAGGTCGGCGCTGTTTGCTCCTCCCTTGTTTTCTCTCTCTGTCTCAAGTCATTAGTGCGCTGTCCCTCCCAGTACACTCCCACAGCCCGCACGCACTGTAGGCAATGTGGGTCCATGTCCTTCATCATCATCATAAACAACAACAACAATAACACACAAACAAAGAGACACTGATCTTATGAACTGTTTTGTCCCATGGGCAGGTGGGGCACATGGGGCCAATATCTTTATACCGTCAAAGGTAAAATTCTGAAAACTAGACCCACATGTGATCGTGTATCTGCACTAGTGCTCTCACTCCCCCCGGCCCCGGGCAGGACCGCGCACCGCAGTGGAGGCTCACATCCGTGCGTGCTGCGTGCTGATGATGATGATGGAGGTGTGACGCTGGGTCCAGTCCCTCATCAGTGGCGCGGGCAAGAGGCGATCTGAGACAGCAGCATCCACATCCACAGCAGCAGTGCAAGTGCTCCAGAAGCAGGTCTCCCTCTGCGCCTGTGTCCCAGCAGCTCTGTCCCAGCAGCTCTGTCCCAGCAGCTTTGTCTCAGCAGCTCTGTCTCAGCAGCTCTGTCTCAGCAGCTCTGTCTCAGCAGCTCTGTCTCAGCAGCTCTGTCTCAGCAGCTCTGTCTCAGCAGCTCTGTCTCAGCAGCTCTGTCTCAGCGGCTCTGTCCCAGCAGCTCTGTCTCAGCGGCTCTGTCTCAGCAGCTCTGTCTCAGTCCGCTCCTCGGCTTCAGCTCTTCTCGGTGGAAACATGCACTGCTTCTCCGCACTGCTGTCCGTGCTTCTGGCCGCCCTCGCGGCTGCCTCCTCGGATCTTTTTGACAACCAGCTGGGCGACATCAATTACTGCAAAAAGCAATGCCAGCTCACCATCAAAAACAAAAGCCCTGCTAAAGTAAGTCGTTCATCTTCCTCCCTGCTCACTGCAGAAGGCGCATCATAGCAGCCTCTGTGACTGCATTTCAGCCTCCGCTCGGTCTATAGGTGATTGTCTTAGGCTTTCTGGATCGTGAAAACAACACACAAATGTTCGATGTTTACATATGCATTGACTTCATCTATATGCATGTGTGTGCTAGAATGCTGCAGCTGCCTTCGGGTCTCCGAGAGGCTGGAACACTTAGGCCGAGATACATTCTGTCATTGTTTATCCAGAGACGCTGCGCTTCGAGTTCACATTTGGCCACATTATTACACAGTGTTTTCCGGTGTGAAATTCATGATCCCCTTGCGCCTTGCGTGAGCAGGGCGACTGTGAGAACAGTTGTCTTCTTCCGTGCCAAGGCCAGAACAGGACACCAGGCTTCAGCCTATTAGACCTCAGTAAGGTTTTGATGCGCCTTGTCTTTCCTGCGCGCTCAGGTGTGGTTCAGACTCCTTCAGGAGCAGAAGCTGCATAGGCCCTGTCACCCGCTGTTCACACTGGAGTTAGGCTTGGATTGAAATAAATGGTCTGTGAACGCCTGAAGCCCCAGTGTTTGTGACACATGAGCAGTGGCTGTATGTTATGAAACATAACAAAGAAAAAACACAGACAGGAAAGACGGTGACAGGCACAATTACAGACCCTTCACGGTCGACTATCTCTTTGTCTAGCCTGTTCCTAAAACACTCACTAGAGGGCGACACTTCTTCACACTGCGGTGCAGTTATAACAAGTAACGAGTTTACGTTTTATTTCCAAAGCGTGGACATGTATTACTTGGGACTGTGTGGACCGTGTAATAATTATTCTAAAACAACATATGCCTATATCTAAAGGCCAGACGACCCGTGTGCTGTAATCTTGGGTCTGTTTGTGTGTTTTGCAGGACTCTATAATGAATGCCTGTCACCGCGGATGTCGTCTCTACTCCATCTGCCAGTTCGTCAATGGCAATGCAGGCTTCAACACCAGCAAGGACGAGTGTCAGGGAGGTGAGGCCCATCTCCTTCTGTGTCAACAACAAAACAGGGAAACCGTTTCTTAATTCCCTTAATGGGAGCAAAAGATGTAGACTATCTCTACTCTAGTTTGAAAACAAAGTGTGAATCTCCTCCTATGCAGAAACCCTGTGTCTTCGTTCTTGCTGATCAGAGAAGGTGGCTCAGGAAGTATTTTCTGGTGGTTCTGTCTGTTCGACTGCTGAATTGGAAATCAATTCTGTGATTTGCTGTCCAGACAGCACATGCCCCATTGCCTCCTCTTTCACAAGTGCTAACGCCTTGTTCATCACATTTGTAGAGCCAGTCATTATTTTACCACATGAAACTGTTTGCAGCACCTGGCTCTTATACATTACTCTAATGCATGGTATTACTCAGTATGAATAATAATGATAATAATAATACATAATAACATATAACACACAGTGCTTTTCATGACACCCAAGGACTCAGGCCTGTGCCCTGTGTGCAGCATGTCAGGAGGCTTACATGAAGCTGCTGGAGCAGGATGCCTGTATCACCGGCTGCACTAGTCAGCCTCCTGAGCCGGAGATCCAGAGGAGGAAGGTGAGTGACACTGTTCATTATAATAAATGACATATTTACCAGACACGTTACAATTTCTCTTTTGTCCACAGTTGAGGGCCATGACCCTGCGGCCTAAGGCCCCTTCCGTGATGGAGGCGGTGTCCAGTTGGTGTAACGACATCGTGAGCTCGGCCCAGAGCTTCATCTCCTCCACCTGGACCTTCTACCTGCAGGCCGACGATGGCAAAGTGGTGGTGTTCCAGGTAGATCTGAGCTTGTCATGTGTTTTGTCCCTTATATGCAGACCTATCACTGAACACATTATAACAAGTGGTAACAATATCAGCAGGAAAAGCACATTTCAAATCCTTCATAATTTTCTTTAGTAAGAGTGGTCAAGCTTTCTAGAATCTAGAGGGAGTCAATAGACAGATAAATACTTTTTTGTTCCCCTGTGGGAGAAATGCAGGTGTCCAGCATTTATAAGGTCCATGTCGGACACACGTACAGCTACAGTTTTCTCAATGCATAAGACGATTGTATTATTGCACCAACCCCTTTATCCAAACTCTGGTCCTGGTTTCCTGGTTTACAAACAGAACTCTGAACTCTTCCTCTCTCTTTTGCAAAACATCGTACATTATCTTCAATGTTTATGTCTTGCTGTCATTTACAGCACACATGATGCAGAAATATTAATGCAGTGCTATTTGTCAAAAATCTGAAACTACATTTTTCATTGAATACTATATATCTATATGCTATACATATTTGATAGAACATAACGATTTTGAGAGTCTAATATTTACTGAATTTATAAAGAGAAAATATAAATGTGTTTACTAAAATATGTATCTTCATTGAGATCACCAGTGACATAAAATATAAATTACTTACACTTTAAATTGTGCAAAGGTTAATGTCAACTTTCAATATATATCAAAGATCATGTTTTGTCCATGAGTGTGAAGTCGCCGCATCCCCACCAAAAATAATAGCTATACAGATTTATTTAGTGGTCAGTGATTGATATGAGCTCTCTGATCCCCCCAAGGCCCTTGTGCTATACCCTCAGGTCAAAATGACTCTCCACAGAGACTATAGACCCTTTTAGAGCCGAGTTAGGGTCCAAGAAGAGGCAGGATGGTTGAGGTCAAAGTTAAAGAATTAAAGGGCTGATCAGGGGCCGAAAGAAGAAGTGGGTTTCATTTATTATACTTTTTTGTAATTTGAAGGTATCTAAATAACTGACTTGTTTCACATTAGTTAAATTGGACAATCTTTTCTGATCAACTTAGTTCAGTTACTGTGGACTGAACCAAAACTGGACCAAATATTGAAGGTATATAGGAAGATTTTCGGGTGGATCATCAAGACTATTGGTCCTCCCAACTGTCAATCATTCTGGTGATTTGTGCTCGTCAAATAAGAGCAGAGAGATTTGTTCAAAAGGTTGAGAGGGCGGTTCTTTCCTTAGAAAATCTGGGAAATCCTCCTTCATACCTTTGAGACGAAATGTAATGGAAGACTCGTGAAATAAAACAACAATACATGTTGGCTTAATATTTCTTATGGAATTACATTTTATGGTTGTTTTCTTGAAAAAATTAGTAATGGAGAACATGCCATTGTTGCCTATAACCATCAAGGCTGCTATTCAATACAATAATTTCAATTAGTCTCAGGGGCCACTGGAAATGGTCTCGCGGGCCGGATCTGGCCCCCGGGCCTTCAGTTTGACACCTGTGTTCTATAGAGAGGCACGGTGGACAAGTTTACTTATGCAAATGCTTTTTTGTGTTAGCTGAATTTGGCTGGATAAATATAAGACATAGAGCTGATGAATTGGATCAGGAAATGGTTCGTGCTCAATGAAGGACTGATTTTCCTCATTCCATAGAACAGAAATCTATTATCTGTTACCAGCTGCAACAATCTTACAGGACTCTTTCTCTGCTCAATGAAAAACCACTTTTGTTTCTGTTGTCGGAGTTCATCTTTTTTTTTTGTTGTGGAAAGTAACAATTGCCTTTTCATCCTCCGACTACTGTGTCCTCAAAACAAAACAAAACCAGACGCGCTTTAGTGTCGGAGGCTTCGCATTTTGCAACTATTCCGTAAATGTAGCTTTATAATGAAAGGCCTCTGTGTGAAATGACAGTGTTTGTGCACCATAGCCATACAAAGCACTGCTGTGGACAGGAGCTCTGCATTAGGTCTGCTCAGATTTATTACAAGATATAAGCAGCCGTCTGAAACCACAGATGCAGTCGCAAACATTTGACATGGAATTACAGACATTGGAGTAATTGATGCTGTTTTTAGCAGTGACAGCGGAGAGAAGGGTGTGTCTCTGTCAACTGAGTTTATATGTATTAAAGGTGCATTCCATAAAGTTGGAGTAAGCAAACTTAAAAACCAGGAAAAATAGATATGTTATCACATCCTAGTTCCTCGCTCTCAAAACAGTTTGGTTCTTTCACTCATTAGAACAGCTTTCCCACTCACTCTGGGAACACCACAGTGAGGCGGCCGCGGCTGTAAAGGACCAAACTGACGTGGTGTCCTTAGGCAAGACACTTCACCCACAATGCCTAGAATGAGTCTGGTGTGGTGGGAGGGCCTGATGGCACAGACTGGTTGCCTCGCTTCTGTCAGTGTGCCCCAGGGCAGCTGTGGCTACAGGAGTAGTTTATCACCACTGTGTTTGGAGTGAATGAATAATGACATATGAAGCGTATTTGAGTGTCCTGAAAAGCGCTGTATAAAACCAAGGCATTATTAGTATTATTTTTTCAATAAAACAAAACAAAGCAGGTATTAAGTAAGTAAGTAAGTAAGTAATGTTTATTTATATACCGCCTTTCACAGACAAGGGTCACAATTGTTATTTTTTTGGGCAATTGTCCTCTCACTCCACACAGAGATGGGAGCGGGGTCGCCGAACAGGAGGCGCATGCCAGATCTATTGTACATATTTTTAGTGGTAGGGGAAACCGGAGTACCCGGAGGAAACCTACGCAGACACGGGGAGAACATGCAAACTCCACTCAGAAAGGCCCTGGTCCGACCGGGATTCGAACCCAGGACCTTCTTGCTGAGAGGCGAGAGTGCTATCCACTCAGCCACCGTATCCACTCAGTATATTTGCTTCTCAAAAGGAGGTAGAAGTCAAATAACTTCTGAGCTACACTACATCCAAAGTACTTTCTGTGCATTTGACACAACATTTCTTGTTTGTATTCACATACATATTAACAAGTAACAGTAATAGTTGTGACAAACCACATTATTTCTTCTTTCCACAGATAAAACGTGTAAACCTAGTGACATCCTATGCTATTTAGATTAAAAGAATCAGTCAGAAAGACATTTTATGGTACTTGTGTACAAAAAGGACAGTTTAGGAATACATGTTTAATAGTAACATTTTAGTTATAAATATCTTGGGAAAACCTCTAAAGCGTCCTTAGCTGTGAAGTGTGGTCTGGAGCACGTGTCACATGCTGTAACACTGTACATTTCCATGCATTTCATGTTATAGTGCTCACTCTGAGTGGGTTTGAAAGGAACAAAGTGAAAGAGTGTGCGAACAGAAGTGAAATGGAACAAGGCGCTCTGTTGGTAATTTGGCAGAATTTGGAAAAGGAGCATGAAGCTGCTTCCCAAAGGAGACGTCATGTTTTCTCACCTCTGCAGAGTCAGTGTGTTAGAGCCACGTGTGACGCACTTCTGGGCCGACTGTATTTGGCACAAACGCCACGGTCCCCGGGGAGTAGAGTCTTTTAGGTGCTCCACAGGTTTCTTCTCTTTACTCACCTGATCTTTGCCTTCTGAGCTTTGTCGCTGTTTATTTTCTGCAAAATACGTTAAATACATACAGGTGCAAGTGAAATACAATTATAAGTCATAGATTGTTTGTGCGTGTGTGCGTGTGCGTGTGCGTGTGCGTCTGCGTCTGCGTGTGCGTCTGCGTGTGCGTGTGCGTGTGCGTGTGCGTGTGCGTCTGCGTCTGCGTCTGCGTCTGCGTCTGCGTCTGTGTCTGTGTCTGTGTCTGTGTCTGCGTCTGCGTCTGCGTCTGCGTCTGTGTGTGTGTGTGTGTGTGTGTGTGTGTGTGTGTGTGTGTGTGTGTGCGTGCGTGCGTGCGTGCGTGTTGATATGAAGATAATGTTCCAAACTTTAAGAGTCTTAAAGAGGTGGACACTTTCATTCCAAGTAGTTTGCGTAACCATGGAGATAGAATAAACACATGCATGAACAGTCTCCGTTGGGGGTCATTTAGACCGTTTGACCGACAGTGACTTGCGCCCCTCTTGAGTTCACTTTTTCAAAGCCTACTAGAGTTAGACATGCTCATTTTCAAGTAGGTAAATGAAACTCCATGGAGCACTGCTCTATGACCCACAGGAAGCCTGCCATGATGACATTTGGATTCTATGTTGACTATTTTTTTTGTATTTGCTCTTCATAAGAATGAAGACTAATTGAAAACAATCTTTCCATTGAAGTTTTAGAGTTTGCTGATTTGTTTGGATATTCTTCATACTTTTTTGTATTCAACAAACTATGTCTATTGTCATTCATCTGTCAACCTCTTGAAACTATTCAGAAGGATCTGTTCCCTTTTGTAACACAGACAGCTTTGTAGAGTCAAACCTTCATGAACCTTCTCTGAGGAGGCTGACAGAGAAACTCACTGTTGGTTTGATGTATTTATTATATTACTATGTAAACATATTTCTGCTCTAACAGACTCAAAATCGTTCAGTCTGTTCAGGGACGGTGGCTGAGTGGTTAGCACTCTTGCTTCTATGCAAATGGACCTGTGTTTAAATCCTGATCAAGTCTCTTTGAAAGGAGTTTATTTGAGGGCTCCGGTTTCCTCTACCGAATATTTTGAATATTGAATGAATATTTTTTATTTAAGTGTCGTACACATACAGTATGTGCCCAGCCCTCATGGGCTTATATGACACTATCAACAGAAAGGAAGATAAAGCCACAAAACATACAGATGCAGTTACTCTCTCTCTGGATATAAAGTCCTTTGTCTCAATGTCCAAGCCTTTTCTACAAAATTTGCTACTGTAAAAAAATAATTTTCAAATATCCAACACAATCTGTCACCATCAGAAAGCCAAAACAAATCAGGATTTTTACATTGAATATTTGTGAATAAAACCATTCTCAATGCATTGTACAAAGGACAGTAAAACAAAAAGTGAAATTCATCCTCCACTACTCCCAGCTCACACAGAGCACA